AACTACCTCCACTGTCTTCTGGGTGTTTAGCACCAAGTTATTGTGGCTGCACCAGGACACCAGCCGCAGGGACGAAATTTTGATTTCAGAAGTGGGGGGGACACAGCAGGCTTGTGCGGATTTGGGGTGGGGGTGTTATGTAAAGACCCCTTGACACGTCACATGCCCATCTCAATAATTTTTCCATCCTCAATATATATATATATCAAAGTTAAAAAATGTACAACTCTATTATTTTTTATTTCTTATCATTATTGAAGTGCAGTTTTGGCTGTTGACAATGGATAGGCCATTGTATTTATTGTTTTGGGTCTTTTTTATTGTTTTTGGTGCAACATTTTCTAACAGGGAGTGAGATTCTTTTTTTATTTAATTTTTGTTTGTTATTTTTATTCATTTAGAAGCTCTGGTTCTGGACATTCCAATGTTAAATGAAGGTTTATTTGTTGCATTTTAAAGGGTGTACTTGCATTATTATGATATATTAACATTATATTAGTGGTTATTTTGGTCTAGATAATGTTGACAATAGGGCTGGGCGATATGACGATTTTAGACCGTTTTACGATCTACACATCTGACGGTCTGTCATTTTTGAGAGACCTTTTTATCACGATTCACAGCTCTGCTGTTGAAATTCTGCCTCTGAATGAAAAGGGAACTTAACTCCGGCGAATGACACGCCTTTGTTTGACCCTTAACCAATCAGAGTGAGTCATAGTAATATATTAGTGCCCAGCTTGTTTTCACTTGTGTGTGAACAAACATGGCTTCGGCCGCGGCTGAGAGCGACAACGAGGTTTTCGTTCCGAAGAGGAACGCAGGGTTTCCTTAGCGCGCGGCGCTAACAACTTAGCGACGTGACATGTCTCGGAGAAAGCGTAAAAACACATTGGATGCTTCTTCTGAAGCAGGAAAATAACACCGCTTCTTAAGCAGAGCACGACGTCGCCTCGGCTCGTTCACCCTCTGCCGAGCCGGTGTCGGTACCGGACTGAGCTCGGTCACTGGGTCGATGGAGCTGCCCCGTGACTGCGTGATGGAAAACCAGCGGGTTTCATCAGACTCGTAGTTTCTTGTTTTTGTTGGGACCCCCTGTATTTTACGCTCCCTCCTGCAGTCTTCCCCTATTAACATTTAAAATGATTCTGTAAACTCCGTGTATCAATAGAAACAATCTCTGCCTCTGCCAGCTGCAGTAAATGTAGTTTCCAAATAATAAGAGGTGCATTCATCTGTGTATCTCCTTTGATCCACATTAGTGATGTTTTCAGCACCAGAACAGTGAAGCAAAGAAAGATTCCTGAGTTTGTTAGTAATTTTATTTATTAGGTGCATAACCTGTTCTATTTTTCTGTGAATTGAGATCAAATCAGTGCTTCTATGGGTTGTCTCCAATCTGCACTGGAAAATTTTACTTTATTTAGATACTTGTTGCAGAAAATATTCAGAATGCGCAGATTTTTGCTAACACAAGCGATCTCTGGTCCAGCCGCACATCAGAGCCGTATTTGAGCTTAACTATCCACTACATGAGCAACTGGGAGCTACATAGTATTTTGAACAAGTTAATGTTTGCACAATACGTTTGCAATTGACATGTTTGCACTTTAAATATGTTTACGATATTAATTTATGTTAAGTTGCTTGAAAAACGAGAAAAACTGATTTTTGTAATTGTTTCTCTCAGGGCTTTTATCATCTCTGGTGTGAGTTTAAAATATAAGTGTGTTAGCACTGTGCTGATTATCCCTAATATGAATAAATGTTTATTTATTCAATGTTTCTCTTCTTTAATACGCAATTGAAGTTGTGCTATTCATGGATAAAAAATCGTGATAAAATGGAAATCGTGATAAAATATTCGAAAAATCGTGATATTCTATTTTTGCCATATCGCCCAGCCCTAGTTGACAATGATATCGTTTATCATCAACAATTTGTTGGACAATATATCGTCCAGCAAATTTTGTTACTTTCCCAGGCCTATAGTCAAAAGTATAAAAATTATTTATACATAAACGGTCCCTCCTGAGATCTGTCCGTTTGTTCATTTGCTGTGTTAGAGGACATGCTGAACTAATGTTTTACACATGATCATCACCCTAACATTTGTCACAATGATCAATTTTATGTCTATCGTATCTTCATTATTTCAACCTCACCTGTGAGCCTCCAGCCTCTGCTCCATCTCCTCCAGGCTCTCGTCCTCCATCTCCTACAGCCTCCCCTGCTGTACCTTCACCGGTCTCTCCTCCTGCATCTCTGTCGGTCACCTGAAAAAAAGATGCATGAACTATAAACAGTGGGAGATTTTGGAATGGAACAAACAGAAATTTTTACAGGATGGTTCTAGTCTGATTCACAATTATTAATATAATGTATAAATTATTCATTACCAATTTGAGTGTATAAAACATATTAAATATGTGTTTTCCCTTAAAAGTGTTTAAACAGTTGTTGCATTTCAACACACAAAAAATAAATGGAAAAAATAAGATAAATCTAATGAAAAGTGTACATCTTTGACATTAAGCTTAAAAAAAATCTCTGTTGACGATGATGATACTGTTCATTTTTCAGAGCCTTTTAATGTGAACATATACATTGGAATAGATACGTTTACAATAAAGTTAATGATAAAAGTTTTGAAGTTACACTTCTACTACTACTACTAGTAATAATAATTATGATAATAGTAATAATAATAAAAAAAATAATAATTATAATAATACGAATAAATTGTGTCTGAGGAGTCAGTTATGTGGAGGAGATGAGTTTGTAAAAGTTAGTTTTGAGTATGTTTGTGAAGGAGGAGGTGAGTCTGAGCTTAATGCAGGGGTGTCACATGTTCCAACTTACGTTTTGACTTTGAAAGAAGTCTCTTATATCCACTTTTCGTTTTCTTGACATGCTGCCGAACAGTTGTTCAAATGTTATGTAATGGAAGCTGAGCTGAGCTCTGATATTACACAGCGTCTAGTTGACGATGTGACTCAGTACCGGTGTTCCCTAGCGGCTCCAAACTAGCAAAACAACGTGAGCACGTTCTGACTGTTTACAACTGGAGTGACAGCAGCAACAGCCAATAATACGTTAGCAAGTATCAACAGAGCCAATAGATTAGCTTTTGGGCGGGTCTAATAGGAAACCGGTTTCCGTTTCGGTCCTAGTGCTCAATCAAATCCATTTAATGGAGCGTAATATTGTTTTTGGACGGAAAAAAGTGCAGGGGACCAAAACTGCCTTTTGAAAAAGTGGGGGGGACATGTCCCACCCGTTCCCCCCCCCCCAAAATTACGTCCCAGACCAGCCATCCCAACTCCATTCTGTAGGCAGACTCATCCCAGACAGAGATGAGTCTGATGACGGTGGTGTCGTCTGCAAACTTGATTAGCTTGCTCTTCTTTCACTCTAGCTGGCCATCTACTGAATATTTCAAACAAAATCAATAAAAACATTTATGTGCAGTTAGAAAAATTTATCCTAATCACTTTCCTGCTTGTTGAGCAGAACCAGGCTGCAGGTTTATAATGATTTCTATCATTTTTCTGCTGGTTCTCCTGGTTCCAGTGTTTCTGAACAGCTGGATGTAGTGTGGTTGGAGGTGAAGAACCTGGTTCTGTTTGAGCTCAGAAACGTTAGTTTTTATTTCCTTTTGCAAAACTATTGGTTTAAGTTTCATCTCAGCAAACAGAAATAAAATCTGCTTGTAGGAACTTTGGCTGAACTTGTAGTTTGCAGCTTCTCGCAACATCTCATCCCCTCATCCTGAGAGCTGCGGCTTGAGTTGTGTTTGTGGTCTCAGAACGTCTTGAAAACATCTCAGAACATCAAAGAATGTCTCAGAACGTATCAGAAGAGCATCTCAGAGTCTCATAATGTTCATTTCGGAACATGTGGAAATGTCTCAGAGCATCTCAGAATGTCTGAGAACATCCAGAGATGTCCTAGAAATACTCAGGACATCTTAGAGAGTCTTGAAATGTCTCAGAGCATTATCCAAGAACATCTCAGAACTTTAAACCCTCTGCTCCTAACATCCAGAGCTCTTCTAGACTTCCTCTGCCATTGTGTCCCTTCTCTCCTTGCTCGTCCTCCTCCATCAGCTGCTTTCTCATGAACCCTTGATAAGTTCGGCCCAAACTGACGAGCTGCCAGGGAAAACACCAACACAAGCTGGGTCAGAACCAGCCCACCGCCCTGTTTCCCATCATGCATCAGTCAGATCAGGCTGTGTTGTGAAGTTTCTTTTTGACTTCTGTCTAATTAAAGTTTTCTGAATGTTCCTAGAATTCAAACTTATAAAAATTATTATTATTTACAGTAACAATAAAGTTTTTGTTTGTTCTCGCAGTATATCATAAAACCTTATCCGAGCAAATTCCCTTATTTAAATCTAAACTTTAGTTTTAAATCCCAAACTAAATGGTTTTCTGCCGGCGTTTCCTTGTTGGCAGCTTGATTTGATCTCAGGTTTGATGCTGAAACTGAGTCTGAGCTGATGGAGATAAACAAGCTCCTCACGCTCAGCTTTACGTGCGATAGGTCCTGACTCTGCCACATCACTCGGAGAAAAACGCTCCAGGCTTCTGTTTTAGTTTGATGATGACGGACAAAGATGCAAGCAAACTAATGTGGTGTGAAAACGCCTTTTGGGGTGGGAATATTGCTGGAGTCAGACACAGGATTCAAGGTCTGATGAGGCCTGCTGAGACACAACACTAAAAATAACTCTCAGGTTCAGAGTTCACCTGCACAAAGGTTTTCTGTTTCGTATCAAACCTGGAGGCTTTAGGGTTAGTTGTGACGTAAAACAGAATTAACCAGGAAAACCAATTTAAAACCCTCCATCAGAAATGCAACAATAATTTCTACTCATTTTGTGTTTTATCGTTATGAGTAAAACAGTTTTGAACCTGAATTAATTAAATCAGTCTGATCAACTCTTACGTTTAGACATATTTGTATTTATAAAAACAATAAGCTGCTGTTTGAGTAACATTTACAAATTTAACTGCAAAACATTTATTTGAATATTTTACTCTTTTTAAAATTGTTCTTCCTAAACATTTACTTATCGTTTCAGCTTCTGTCCTCAGTCAGAAGTCCTCCTTCTGGCCCATTTTATTGACATTAATTCATCTGAGCTGAAAACCTCACGGTGTTTCTGAGAGATTTGGGTCAAACTGCTGAACAAGATGCACGTTGTTCTGCTTATTAAAGTCACAGCAGAAACCAGCCGTGATTGCTGCCATAAATCTGTTTTAAGTGTCTGACTGAGAGCAGCAGGACGACCACAAAGGTCTGGACCAAAACAAGGACATGGCTTTGACTCAAGGGGTTAAAAACTTCAGTTATTTAGGAGCTTTGTGATCGTTTTTAGGGATCCTAGAATGTGGATTTCTGTCGTTGGGGTTTCTTGTTTCTGGGTTTAGTTTTCAGTTCTGGTGGCGTGACGGGGATTGTTGATTTTATGACTCAGAGACGAACCGTTTCCCAACATTAAGTGTGAGTGCATGACTCCCCTGAAACTAAAGTGCCAAAGAGACAGTTTCAGGTCAAACTGGTCAAACTTTGGATTTTAACTTTAGCAGCACAGCATGGGGGTAATTCTTTATTCAGAATGGCTTTTTACACTCGTGTCATTCTATTTTATTCCACACTTTTTAGTGATTCTGTCTGTTTGTTCTTGGTTTTTAACTTTGTAAAGCACCGGATGCCTCAGCTGTGACGTCCTAAATAAATAATCCAATTCATGAACTGTAACAGTGGACTAGGATTAGAAAAGTGGGACTATACCAGCAGGGCTCAATAGACGCAGGGTTCAACACCCTCCGCCGAGCCGGAGGGGTAGGAATGGCGGGAGGTGTGCATGCATCGTGCTGTTATATTGTATGCTGTATGCAGTGCTGTTTCATTATATAGGCTTGTGTGTAGAACGGCCAGCACCCCCCGTCCCCCGGTCCAACAATCCAGCAGCAACTATTGATTACAATGAATTATTGAAGACAGATAATGGAATGTTGATAGTGAGCTTCACTGATTTTTGAAGCTCATTCCAGTCGTTGGAAGCAGCAAACTGGAATGAGGAGCGGCCAAAGGAGGTGCGAGCTTTGGGAATAACTATAGAGTTAAGTTACTGGAACGTACATTGCGCTGGTTGTTGGAAGTAATGAGCGAAGATATGATGGGGCTCTACCGATGACTGTTTTATATATGAAGAAATTTTTTGGAAGCAGTCCAATAAATGATGTCTCTGTAATCTGAGATGGGAAGAATTGTCATTTTAACCAAGGTTTGCTTTGCAGAATGAGTAAAGGATGGCCTGTAGTGGTACAGAAACCCAATTCTAGACTTGGCTTTAGAAAGTAATGAATTAATGTGAATGTCAAATGAAAGTGTGATGTCAAGCCAGATACCCAGATACTTATAGGAACTGACAAGTTGTAGTTCTGTACCATCCAGGGAAACAACACTAGGGTGAAAAGTTACGGTTAAAGATCACGAACTTTGTTTTACTTGTGTTTAAATGAAGATGAAGGTTGGAGAAGACATGCTGAAGACAATTAAAGTTGTGCTGCAAGGAGGACAAAGCTGTGTTCAAGGAAGAACTGCGTGTATATAAAATGGTGTTGTCCACATATAAATGTATATGAGAACTGTCAACAGCATGAACAATGTTATTAATACTTTAAATGAGGTTGGGCCCAGTATCGACCCTTGAGGAACGACCCATAGATAGAGGTAGAGTAGCAGACTCTGTTCTCACTGTTTGTGTACAGCATAAGATAAAACTTCTGAACCAAGCCACGGATGCCTGAGAAAGTCCTATATGCTTGATCGATCCTGCTAAGTAAGATGTTATGGTCGACAGAGTCAAACGCTTTAGCCAAGTCAACAAACACAGCTACACAATATCCCTTATTGACAATGGCACATATTGTGTCATTTAGCACTTGAAGTGTTGCAGACACACATCCATGGCCAGTTCGGAAGCCGGACTTCATGGGAGTAATAATACTGCTGGATTCCAGATAGTGAGTTGGCGGTTTATTGACTAACTTTTCAATGACTTTATAGAGCCAAGGCAGGATAGAGATAGGCCTATAACAGCTTAGGTCTGAATGGTCTGCCCCTTTAAAAGGTGAAGTAACAGATGCAAATTTTCATTTCTGTGGAAATGTACCAGTTTGTATGGACAGATTAAATAGGTGGGTAATAGGTGCAGCAATAACACGTGCTGCTATTTTCAGAAAGAAAGGGCCAAGAGTATCCAGTCCGGCCGATTTATGAGGATCTACCCTGAGTTACTCACCAAGCACCTCATTTACTTGAAACAATTGAATGGAGAAACAGGGATTGTTTGCAGAGAGGGAATCATTACTTATAGCTGAGTCGAGGTCAGAAACCCCAGAGACATGTGAAGCAGTAGCAAAGGCATGACCGGACTTGAAAAAAGTGATTATTGAAATAATTTACCATTTTAGTTTTATCTGAGACAACAATGCCATCAGATTTGATTGAATTTGGCAAGTGTGAGGACTTATTGGTATTTTCCATAGTCTTGACAGTCTGCCAGAACTTTATGGGGTCAGAACTACTCATCAAAAACTGGTTCTTATAATATTCAGATTTTGCTTTTCTGATTGACTGGGTACATTTGTTCCTTATAGATCTGAAGGATTGCCAGTCCCTCATATTCTTGGATGTCTTTGCTCTTTGCCAAAATTGAAATTTTAGAGGAATCAGTTCTGACAGTTCAGTATTGATCCAGGAACTGAAACAATTTTTAACTCTGACTTTTTTAAAGGAGCATGTCTATCTAAAATCGAGATTACGGAGTTTTTGAAATGTGATCAAGCATCCTCAACAGCAGGAATTAGCTACATGCCGTTGACCCCAAGTCACGTAAAAAAGCCTGCTCGTTGAAGTTTTTTAGAATTCGTTTTGTCATTATTTCATTCTGTTGGAGTAAAACTTTGAGCAGGAAAACTACTAAAACTCATGTTTGTGACATTCCCGGTGGAAGGTAGAAGGAGCTGCTTTAGAGGGTCTGAAGGACCACAGTGACGGGGTCCTGCTTCTGACTAATGACACACATCAGGTGTCGTCTTTATGAATTATTTGATTCAGCTTTAAACGGCTGCTTTTTTGTATTTTTAGATGAAGTTTTCTCTGTTAGAGGAGCTGCTCCACTGCAGCAAAGCAGCTTTTGTTCTGGGAGTGAGAGGAAGTTCAGACTAGTTTACTTCTGAATATCAATGAGGGAATTCCCTAATCTTTGAGATTCCTACTAAATCCTCTCCACCTGTAATTCACTGCAGAATCGTCTCATTGTATCCCCTTTAACTAGTGATATGGATGCATTCCCAGTATCTGCAGCCCAGAGCAGAAATATGAAGTCTAGACTTTAGCTTAGAGACCGTTCAGAACTGTGACCTTCTGCAACCATCAGAGTGTGTACCAGATTCAGGCAGAAACAACTAAAACCCCTCAGGAGGCATCAAGTTATGGTTCTGACTTCTTCAGTTGTAAAAACACACTGAGCTGTCAGAGCAGAAACCATCTTTACATGATCTGTGACTTCTGGACACAGCTTCTGTTTACATCTTTTTTATGTCAGAAACCATTCTGGTAGACGTGGTTCTGGGGGGGCCGAGCGGCTCGTTGATTCATGTTCCAGTCAGAAAAGACAAGGAAGTCCAAAAAGGAAGTAGCACAGAGCTGGGAGCACGGATGAGGGCTGAAGAGATCTTCTTCTTCTGGGGGTTTTGTCCCTAAACTCGGTTCAGACTACAGCTAAACGTTTCTACGCAGACCAGGAGGTTTGAGGCTGAAGCAGCAAAACTGACACAAAGTAAAGCAGCTGCAGGTCTTCTGTTGAGTTAGAGCAGGTGAGCAGCCAGGTAACAATCAGGTGAATTATCCACCACCTGTTTCTGCTGCTGTGATGCACCAGCAGATGATGGTTCTGACCCACGCTTAACTAAACCTGCTCTTTGAATCTGGTGTTTCCCTGAAGAACGAGCATCAGAAAGTAAGTCCAGTCTTAAATTCTGTTTTTTAATGCATCTATGTAATATTTAAACAAACAGCCAAGATGAGTCCAGGTAGACTTCACATATCCTCCACTCACCATCTGTTAGAAGCACCGGTTAGCTAGAAGAGTCTAAAAGTGTGTTTTATGGATCTTTATTTGATTTAGTCCCTGAATAAACTGATGAAAACAGTCTTCACTGGGTTTAACTCTTAGCGGGTTAGCATTCTAGCATAACAGAAATGTCTTATTTGTAATAATTACATTAGTGATGAATTGTGGTTAATCTCTACAGATTGTTAATCCAGTTTTCAACAATAAATCCTGGATTAAATTTGTTGTTGTGGCACTTGATCAGCTGTAAGCTGAGGTTCCTGTGGAGGTCACCAGAGACTGAACTGAGATGGATTGACCTTCTGTGTGTGTTCAGCATGCTCTGGACTCGGGCTGAGTCGTGCTGACAGTCGGACTAATGAAGGAGAATACCATGGAGGGTTTACATGATTACTTACTCAGACTTTCTGCTCCTCTTCCTCCTTCCTCCACATCCTGCTCCTCACGTCAAAAGGAAAACTCGACCCAACAAGATGTCAGTTCTTCTTAAACAGCTGAGAAATTCAGATAAGATTCCGTTTTTCTCATCTGGTCCATAGAAGACCAAGGAGAACCTGGGAGGAGAACAGGAACACAGAAGTAAACACCATAAATCTGAACACCAGAGACAGCAATCCGTTTCTGGTGTGACACAAACGTCTCTCGTCCAAGGTGGTCAAACAAAAAATGAACGAAATAAAATCCTTAATTTTGTGTTTTATTTTTATTGTTTCAGGGTCTGAAGAAGAGATGAAGATCTGAGATTTTCCAAGCTTGGATGTTTAGAGCAGAAAAACAAGGTAGGAACAGAAATGGTTCTGATTAACCTCACAGATGCAGTGGTTGTTTATGGGATGGATTCCAGCCTGTTTTAATTCACTCTGAAACTAAACGCTCCGATAAATCCAGAACGTCTATCCTATTCTACTGATAAAAATAATCAGATAAGAATTATCCTGAACAGGCCGCGTCGTTATGGAAGCCCATTCCCGCCACTCAGATAAAAAAAATTAATAATTATCTCATAATTATTACTCAGCTATCTCATAATGATGAGATAGCTGTCATAATTATGAAATTTTTTTTTTTATCTGAGTGGCGGGAATGGGCTTCCATATGTTGCAGAGGAAGATGGTGTTTGTAAAACACCACAAAGGAAATCCAGGCTGAGCTGAGATGTTTGGATCAGAACAGAAACGGTTTCCTTCAGAGGTTTTCAATCTTTGGACTGATGTGTAGGCACAGAAACAGGAAGTCAGGAGATGCAAGAATCAGCTGATGGAGAGGAACAGAGATGTGATGAAGAGGAGAAGAGGGATGGGATTATTCTGAGAGAAAAGGCAGATGAAGAGTAAACACACAGAGCGTTTCACACTCTCCAGTTTAAATGTTCAACATCAGGTCCTGCAGCAGCTTGGTTTCTGCTCAGTTAGCGTCATGCTGGAAGAAGTACCAACATGAAAGCTCAAATATTTCTAATGGTCATTCTGAAATAATGAGACACTTTTAGAGAAACACGGGCTGGTCTGGCCCATAAGCTGCCTCTTTGTGGTCCTCAGACCAGACCTTAAAAAACAGGGGGACTGCCATACTGTGAGCCCCAGTTGCTCTAACAGCACCCCCCACCTCTCAACGTCATATTAATCTTTTAATGTAGACACTACCAACAAAGCTTGTCTTGTTTTTCACCATAAATGCACTTAGTATATTAGCTACTATGTTACTTAGGTATGCAGGGTTGTGTGTATATTGCCATGGCGTGTAGTTGATAAGAACGAAGCAAATAGCTTGTTTAAGTCTGAGCGATGAGCAGATCAGCTGAGAAACGGGATGACTAATTGGATGGAGCAGAAGGAAAAAGTCACTAATGAAGCCACTAGAACCACATTTAAATTCACACCACAACCGGAGAGGGGTGATCTGAATTCCTCCTGTTTTTAGGTTTGTCTGATTCAGCCACGGAGCTGTTGGCATGCAGAAAAACTGCAGAAGGGGCTTGTACATTTTATGTAACACACACACACACACACAAACACACACACACACACACACACACACACACACACACACACACACACACACACTAACCTTCCAGCTATTCACCATGAGACCCTGTAAATCACTCACATGTTGGAGGTAATTTCTTACAGAGCACATGTTATGAGTTATCTTTAAAAGCACACCTTTTACATTAGACGAGGAATGTTCTTCCCCTAAATCTCATTCTACTTCTAGATTTTAGTTAGTCCGTAAAACACATTCATTTCTTAAGTTTGACATACTTTTTCATGACATTGAGATTCATTTTCATCTCCTTTGTCCATTTATTTATTTATTAATAGTGAAACAAGATGCTGCAACAGATGATGATGATGAATCCTGAGGAAATTCTGTGAAAACAACAAATGTTCTTGCTTCAGAGCGTTTGTTGCACACAAGCAGTGTTTGAAGTTTCCTAGACTTTCTGAAAGCTTTTCTCTGAAATTTCAGTTTGTTTATTTAGCGCCAAATCACGAGTCTCAAGGCACTTCACAATGTAAAACATCCTAGTTCATCAAGCTAATTAAGTTTCCTGTATGAGGAACCCAGCAGGTTGCATCGAGTCACTGACTAGTGTCAGAGTCTTCACAGCAGTCCTCATACTAAGCAAGCATGCAGCGACAGTGGAGAGGAAAACTCCCTTTTAACAGGAAGAAACCTCCAGATCCTGGCTCAGTATAAGCAGCCATCCGCCACGACTGGGGGTGGGGGTGGGGGGGGGGGGGGGGGTGCAGTTTTTATCTCTGCATTAGTTCTCAAACCTGAGGGTTTTTAAAGGTTTTTGTTCAAGCCACTCAACTCTATGATTCAGGTAGAAAAAGGCTCCATAACTCAAGGGATGAGCCAAATTTGTGGAGACATAACAAGAAAACCTACAGAATCAGTTTTATGCTCATGTTGCTCATTTCTTCCTCGTGTTTGGCCAATAAGACGAAACCCACAGAAGCCGGCATCTCATCTGCATCAGTGCTGTTAATCTGCACATTTTAAAACAATCTTTGTGCACTTTTAACATTTAAGTAACCAGATGAACAGTTGAACTCTATCGGTCTTATTTTAAATGTACTGAAAGTCTGATTTAAGTATTTTGGCTCTGAAGTTTTTACTAATGAAGGAAAAAGATGTGATTTTTGCTTCTCTACAGATCCAGTTTGGTTTTAATTCACACAGGTGTCTCGAGTTAATCAGCTGCTGCACATCGTTCTCATACAGCTGCTTTCACTGTAAAGTTTTACCTCATAGGTTGGTTTCCTCTGCCTCCTTCGTTTGATGTAACTATCTCGTATTAGATTATCCAACACGGCTCTGATTCATAACGACACGCTGAATCGAAGGAAATCTTCAAATTGCTTCAAACACAAAGACGAACCTTTTTAAAAAAACTATTTACTTCACGAATAATAAAACATAATTTGTTATAGCAGTTTTTTAGAGACGTGAAGTGAATTATAACTCCATCCAGAGTCCATAATGGGATGGGTAACATGTCTGATGGAGCGTTACAGTTTATTTTATTAAAGGTGTGAAATGTGGCTGAAGTTTGTCATCCTGCTGCTGCTAAAACACAACGGTGCTGATATTTTGTTTCTTTAATGAGAAATGTTTCTTCTCAGCCGTTGGGTTTTACATCCGTGGGTTTTCTGCCAATCAGAAACATCATATCTAATATAAATGAACATCTTGTAACCCGTTATGTTACGCCCTAATTCAGAAACACCTCAAACTAACAGACGTCGTATAAACCTGTCTGAACGTGATTGGTCCTTTTGAGGATAGTTGAACAGATTTAGTTTATTATTCAGCGTGACAGGAAAAATGAAATCATGACCGTTTCAGACACCGATGTTCTGTGGGACAGTTAAATGGGCTGTTTGGGTAAAATATCTTTATAGGAGCTGTAAACTATTGTCACTAATGCTTTAGGTGTTTATGTTTATTCAGAAGGATAAACGTCGATTAAATGTTGTTTTTTTTTTGTTTCCTCTAAATCCACGTGAGTCGTAGCAGATGGCTTACAGATTGTTTGCATCAGAACTTAAAAGCATTTTGTTGCTGATTTTCCTTCATAAAGAAGAAAGTCTTTGTTTCTTTGTCTCTGGTTAATGAATACTTTCCTTCTGCTGATGGTAAACCAAGCAGATATTAAGTAAAAATATAAACTCATGCTGCTCTAACTTCAGCAGAGGATTCAGTGCTCCGAGGAAAGATTGGGGGGTCTTTTTTTATTTTAATTTTTTTTGCAGTTTCTATAGCCTGAAATATGAGATAGTTTTAAAGGTCAAGGCCAGCTTTATTTCTATAGCACACTTACTGATGCTCATGCAGCCCAAAGTGCTGCACATAACAACAGCACAAACAATGCACCCAAAATGAACTGGTTCAAAAAGACAATAAAAATAATAAAACCAGGAGAAAATGACAGGTTGAGAGTAAAACAATAACTACATGATCAAGTAATAAAAGCTCAGTAAAACTAGATAAAAAGTAAAAGAACAGCTACACAGATCAACCAACAAAGCCAGGTCAAGGACTTAAAATCCTCCAACGTCTGAAAGGCCCTAAGCTGTAAGGGGAGGCTGTTCCAGAGTTTCTGGCCAGCCACTGAGGAAGCTCCATCTCCTCGGGTCTTGAGACGAGCCTTTTGGAATAACTAACAGGGACTGGGAACTAGACCTCAAATTCCTGACAGGAGTGTAGGTTGACAGTAGATCGTCAATGTAGGGAGGGTCTACGTCGTGGAGAGATTTAAGAACAAAAAGCAGTCATTTAAACTGGATCCTGTAATGTAAAGGAAGCCAGTGAAGGGAAGCGAGCACCAGAGTGATATGATCACGCTGCCTTGTACCTGTTGAGACGAGCTGCTGCTTTTTGAACCAGCTGTAAACGATTTAAAACCAGAACTACTTTTTGTTTAATGCTAATATAATAACCTGTTTAGTTATATTATGTAATCCTTTGACCGTAATGGTAATAATGAAATAAAAATGGCCCTTGCCATCTGTAGATCCTCCACCAGGGGGCAGCAGTGCTGTATATGACTGGTCTATGATGAAGGCATTAAGGCTGGGTAATAAATCAAAAATAAATCGTTATCAAAATGTGTGACTCTTATCGTGATGATTTTTTGTGACTCTTATCGTGATGATTTTTCCCATGCCAATGAATTTGACAATAAAAAATAACGTGTGTAGGTTGGCAACGTTCATGTCCCTTTAAGAATCTGTACCACCTTGAGTCAGTAAAAATGTGACTCATTGTGATACGTGTGATAGGCCCGTCTAGTGGACAACTTGTGTCTCTGCACATACCTGTAGTTATCGTAGTTATCGTCCATTTTTCGTTATCGAGGAGAAATCCTCAATATATCGTGATATTGATTTTAGGCGGTATCCCACAGCCCTAGTACTAATCCTGATGCTCCACTTGAAGGCTTTGAGGGCAGAAGTGGTTTGATGTGGATTTGTGATGGACCATATAAGGGGTTAAAGATAAAACAAGGACTGAAACCTATGAAAGTTAAAAATGTTTTTCCAACCTTTAGATTTTTATTTACCTTTGACATTTAAAATTGTTTTAATGAGAATTTTTTCTTGACATTTTGACTTATTCTTAGTATTTCAACCATAAAATAAACAGTTTTACTTTCCTAAAAAATGATCATGTGAACAATAATTTTAAAACCCAAAAATCCTGCAGAGAATTTTTTTTTTTTTTTTAGAAGTGCAGATGTGCTGTTGAGGTGCTTTTCATGTCGTTAGATGACATCAGAGGGTCCTTCAGCTCCTCCAGGCAGAATAATCCCAAAGATCAGGGATTGATTTAATCTTGATCAAAAACAAGACTTGAATTTCCAACATCCTCTGGAATGGAGCTGGTTCTAGTCGCCTCAGGGAGGTTGAGATCTTCTTAAAAACTGGTTTTGTATCTGTGCACCACTTGGTGAACACATTTGTGGGCTTGTTGCAAGATGTTTCTCCCAAAGAATCCCAGAGACGTTGCTCCGTGCTTTGGTTTCTTGCTTTAGATCGTGTGAGGATGGGGCGGCCCTCTTAGTTTAAATGTTTGCCATGACTGTCCAAAGTTAAAAGAAAAACCGAGAACAGAAACATTAGTTTTATTTACAGCCTTGACTCTGAGTATAGCTCTAAAAGGGTCCTGAAACAGCAGCAGATGGTGTCTGGTGAAACGAGATCTCAGAACGTTTAAATGTAAATCTAATAAGATCACAAAAGGGTCTTACCCTGCTGAGTCTGTTTAGTAATAATAATTAAAACCATTATTAAATTAGCAGAAAGATTTCTACTATTCCACACAGAAGCAATTGAAGACTTTTCTGTTTTGGTCTACAGGATGTCGGTGAAGCTGCGATTTGATGCTCCGGCTGATGGAGGTCTGGTCCAACGGAGCCGGTCCTTCGCTGGGTTCGGTGCTCTGAGCGGTCGACAACGGTGGGAATACAACCAGAGCAATAATGTGCAACTTTATCATCCTGTTATTAGATCTAAAATCTTCATTTACATCCCTGCATCAACTCAGAACAGATGTTCTTACTCAGAGGCACTTATGTCAGGTTTCGGTCAAAACTTTGATTTTGATCTTCTTTAGAATTTTATTTGATTAAAAGTACATTTATAATTGAACTACTATTTGTCCAGAAACAGTGTAATCATTATATTGCTGTTATATTAATATTAGATGTAAAAAGTACATTTTTCAAGCTTTATTTATTAAGGTTTAATCGAACCAAGACAGCAGTTTCTCACGTTCACAAAGTCGGCACCTTTAACAAAATGTTTCAGTGTTTACACACACACACACACACACACACACACACACACACACACACACACACATACACATACACATACACATACACATACACATACACACATACACACATACACACATACACACATACACACACACACACATACACACACACACACACACACACACACACACATACACATACACATACACATACACATACACACACACACACACACACGTCTGTGCCTATGTTTTATGCAATAATCAACAAGACAAAGTTATTGTTTGTGGTGAATGTTAAAGGAATGACCTCTCTGGAATCTCATTTTCAGGATTAAAAAACAAAAGTCAGACACTAATTAAAATCAGAGCCTGGTTCTCATTAGGAACTCTGACCTGGTTCTGGTTCGGTGTCGACTCGATGATCTTCCTCCTATTAAAGTTGTTTGAATCTCTTCACCCTCAGCTGACTTTTTGATGTGATTTCTGAATGAAAGAAAATAATCTGTTGAATAGGAATCAGCTGTCAGCTGCTTTCTGTTTACGAGCTCAAACACAAACTAAATCACCCAGACACGTTTTCTCTTCTCAGACACAGAAAACATAGAAAACAAACTTGAACCATTAGTTTCTCCTGTGATTTGTCATTGTGGTGAACAGAACCACAACTTGAACACAAACACGCAACTAAGGAGATCCCAATTTTTTTATTACAGATGACTGGGATTTAATCTGAGAGAGAAAGCGATAAAAATAACCTGATTGTGTGAGTAAATGTGTTTATTTACTCATGAATATTGGATAAAATCAGCTTTCTTAATCAATCTTTATGGATGTTATTGATGTTTTACATTAATAGATTATATCTACTTTCATTATTTTGCATAAAGAAAAATAAGCTGAAGAAAATATTTTAATAAAGTTAAAATAATAATGTGAAAAATAAAACTCCTGCAGAATTAAGTATGTATCAATTAAACAGAAATGTACACAAGCACTTTGAGTGTTATTTATTTGTACTTCATTCAAGCATTTATAATTTTCATTATACACTCACCTAAAGGATTATTAGGAACACCTGTTCAACTTCTCCTTAATGCAATTTATCTAATCAACCAATCACATGGCAGTTGCTTCAATGCATTTAGGGGTGTGGTCCTGGCCGAAACCATCTCCTGAACTCCAAACTAAATGCCTTCCTGGTAAGGTCCATTCAGGGGTTCTGGAGAGGAGGGTCCGTTGGATTGTTGAACCTCAAATTCAGGAGGAGCAATGTGGTTTTCGTCCTGGCCGTGAACACTGGACCAGCTCCATACCCTTAGGGGGATCCTGGAGGGTGCGTGGAAATTTGCCCAACCAGTCTACATGTGTTTTGTGGATTTGGAAAAGGCGTTTGACCGCATCCCTCGGTGGGCCCTGTGGAGGGTACTCCGGGAGTATGGGGTACCAGGCCCTCTGATACGGGCTGTTAGGTCCCTGTATGACCGGTGTCAGAGCTTGGTCCGCATTGCCGGCAGTAAGTCGGGCTCGTTCCCAGTGAGAGTTGGACTCCGCCAAGGCTGCCCTTTGTCACCGATTCTGTTCATAACCTTTATGGACAGGATTTCTAGGCACAGCCAAGGTGTTGAGGGCATCCGTTTTGGTGGCCTGAGGATCAGCTCTCTGCTTTTTGCAGATGATGTGGTCGTGTTGGCTTCATCAGAACCTGATCTCCAGCTTTCGCTGGAGCGGTTCGCAGCCGAGTGTGAAGCAGCTGGGATGAGAATCAGCTCCTCTAAATCTGAGACTATGGTCTTGATTCGGAAAAGGGTAGAATGCCTTCTCCGAGTCATGGATGAGGTCCTGCCCCAAGTGGAGGAGTTTAAGTATCTCGGGGTCTTGTTCACGAGTGAGGGAAAACTGGAGCGTGAGATCGATAGGCAGATTGGTGCTGCATCTGCAGTGATGCAGGCGTTGCACCGGTCTGTTGTGGTCAAGAGAATGCTGAGTCAGAAGGCGAAGCTCTCAATTTACCGGTCGATCTACGTTCCTACCCTCACCTATGGTCATGAGCTTTAGGTAGTGACCGAAAGAACGAGATCACGGATACAAGCGGCCGAAATGAGTTTTCTCCGAAGAGTGGTTGGGCTCTCCCTTAGAGATAGGGTGAGAAGCTCAGTCATTCGGGAGGGGCTTGGAGTAGACCCGCTGCTCCTCCTCATCGAGAGGAGCCAGTTGAGGTGGCTCGGGCATCTGGTCAGGATGCCTCCTGGACGCCTCCCTGTTGAGGTTTTCCGGGCACATCCAACTGCGAGGAGACCTAAAGGTAGACCCAGGACACTCTGGAGGGACTATTGGGCCATTCCCATCTGCACCGGGTCGGCCCGGGCCGTTTAGCCCCGGTCGGCCCCAGCCTGGCCCGGTTGATTCCACACATCCTTGTCTTAAGCCCATGTAGGCTGATTCTACCCACCAATCAGAGGCTTGCTCTAATGGAAGGTGTGAATTTGCTGTCAGCAGTGGGTGTGTTGGCCCTGGTCGGCCTGAAGCAGACCCCCTTGAGAAGAGGGCTGAGAATGAGCCTTGGTTGGCCCGGAAAAATACCAGGCCACCCAGATATGTAAACAACCTATGCTACCCGGCCCGGGCCGACCCGGTACAGATGGGAATGGCCCTTATGTCTCTCACCTGGCCAGGGAACGCCTTGGGATTCCCCCGGAGGAGCTGGCCCAAGTGGCTGAGGAGAGGAAAGTCTGGGCCTCTCGCTTTAGGCTACTACCCCCGCGACCCGACTCCGGACAAGCGGATGAAAACGGATGGATGGATGGTTGGATGGGACCTTTAAAGTGAGAGTCAAGGCATTGGTGGAGACTTACTCAACCAAACTTCCTGTCCCCCTCAACCCACAAACTGCAGCATTATTTTGATTTTACCTTCAATTTCTTTTTTTGTTTACTTTGTTACTCAAGTTTATTTGTTTCATTAGAGACTGAGTCAACCCTACAGGGAGATGACGTCTCATCAATCTGTGTGTCTTCAGCTCATCTTCTGTTCGTGGCTCTTTTCGCTCCAAAGCTGTGACGGGAGGGAAATCTCCCAGAACGCATCTCTCGTCTCGGCGAGGATCAGCAGCTTCCTGGTCGGAGCCTGAGCAGGTGGACCAGATCTTCCAAGCACTTCGCAAAGGACTAAAGTTTGTGAAATTTCTGCCATCCCATAACTTTTAATCCTAATCATCGGTCCCAAATTGTAGGGATTTCAGGTTGAAATTTACTTCCTTCTTGTGGAGTTTGTTGACACCCAGTAAAAAAAAATTTAAAAACAGAATTAGAAGTTAAATCATTAGAATGGTGACTTGATTTAGGAGTAAAAATAAGAAACTCATAAAAACTTGCTAATCTGTTAAACTTATTCCCTTTTGTTATTTAGTGTTAGACGCAGTGACATCTAGTGTCTCCGATTACAAACTGCAGCGAATCAGATGTCCTTTCTTTGATCTGCAGTTATGAGATCCTATAACTGTTGGCCACTTGTCCCTTCTAGGCTTCTGTAGTAACATGGGTGTGCAACTCAAACATGTTACCCGCTATTATCGAGCTTTAAATTTAAAATCAGGATGTATGTTTATGCTGTTTGACTGCTGATAAACCAAACAATGTACATGCTGTGGGTGTTTAAATACTATTACAGCTGTTTGCATGTGGTGGAACCAAAAAGACCCCCTGCTACCTGAAATGACCACTGACTTTAAATAATTTTAGGGATTATTTAGCGATTCACCAGGCAGAGATGGATTTTCTGTCTTCACAGCAGAGAGAAACCAAGAGGAACTCCAGACTGGTGAGAGAAATCAACAGAATTATCTAATATTCAGGATGTGTTTTCACAGTTAATGTAATAATGGTACTTCTCTGTTTCCAGGGTTTTCTCTATGACCTGGAGAAGGTAGATGTGTAATTTGTTTACATTCAATGCTACGCTCTCCACCTGGATCTGACTCATGAATCTGTTCACAGGAGATCAGAGCAGTGGAAAGATACATACGGAGACTGGAGTTCCAAATCAGCCAGGTACAATCAGAGGTGTACGGCAACACGTTCTCACACAAACCCTCCATGTTTGTGTCTTTTCTGAGCCGAGATGAACTGTGACGTTTTTCTGTTCATGCACCTGCGCAGGTGGAGGAGTTGTATGAGACTTACTGTATTCAGTGGAGGTTGTGCCGGGGAGTGGTCAACATGAAGAGAGCCTTCTCCCTTTCTCCATCCTCCAGAGCCTCCAGAGAGAGCCTGGTGGAGCTCAGCCGGAACCATCGACACAGTCTGCAGGTGCTTCCTGTCACGAACATCGTCTAGTTGGTTACAATCATCTGATCGTAACAGATTTAAATTAGGGGTGGGACTTTATTATTAATTAATTAATGTTTCAGTAACCGATGGATCTATTTCTTACCTCGGGTCAAGATGCACCATGCCAGCAAATCGGCGTAACCTTGCTACCACGGACTGGCTTGTGTTATGAATGCAACGGGGCAGCATGGTGATGCAGGAATTTTGTGGCATTTGTGCCGCCGAGCTTGGTAATATTAGTGCAGCACCAGGCTTGTGGATGATGGGTTAAGGTTGAATGAAGATTACACCTTGACTCAACACAGGACGATGTCGTGATCACATGTGGAATGTCTGCCGAGCTCTGCCCGGCAACTAAATTGAAAATGACGGCAAACTGGAGCGATGCAGAACTCTGGGAATTTCTCCCCGTTAGAGCTGGAGCTCACCTGACAGTTCATGGGGACTGTGGAGGACAAACATCTTTAGGAGCAACTTGTGAAAAAAACTTCATTACAATAAAAAGCAAGTTATGTCCAAGCTAAATGGATGTGCGTGACGGCGGGGAGACCGCCCCCTTTATGAGAGCCATTGCTTAATCTTTAGTGAAACGCTCGTGATCGTGCTGCATTACTGCCACGGTCTGACTGCTTATTATTACGACAATCATAATGACTTCAGATTAAATACCTGCCACAGAATCAGCAGATTTTAATCAGATTTTGAGCTAGACCTGGGATAACATATTTTGCTGGACGATATGTTGTCCAACAAATTATTGACGATAAACAATATTATTGTCGACATTTTCAAACAAAATAACCACTTATGTAATGTTAATATATCATAAAAAGGCAAGTTCACCCTTTAAAATGCAACAACTAAACCTTTATTTAACTTTGGGATGCACAGAACCAGAACTTCTAGATAAATAAATAAAAAAATAAATAAACAAAAAAGGACTTTGGCTCTGTTAGAAAATATTGCACCAAAAACAATTTAATTCACCCTGCCTCTCCAAAACAATAAATACAAAGGCTTATCCAGTGTCAACAACCAAAACTGCACTTCTAATATCATACTAAATAATAACAGAGTTATACCTTTCTTAACATCGATATATTGAGGCTAGAAAAATTGAGTTCATTTTCATCTGTCGTTCGATTCATTGATTTATCGTCCCAGCCTTATTTTGAGCTAATCTGACTGAAGTTACTGTTGTCAGTTTTAAATATTATTTCTGTTTCCTCTAAATTGGTGAGTCTAATATTTCATCACACCAGGGGATGAGCTACAATGTAGCCACAGCTGCCCTGGGGCGCACTGGCAGAGGCGAGGGTGCTGAACACTGGTGCCACCGGTCCCTTCGACCACCACCAGCAGGGAGGGAGGGTTAAGTGTCTTGCCCAGGGACACAATAGCACCATTCTCAAATGGGAGCCGGGACTGAACCTACAACCCTCCGATCACTGCTCTACCTCCTGAGCTATCACTGTATGAACTTCAGCTCCATGATTATCTCAATAGCTGTTTGTTACCTTCTGCTGCAGGACATGTCAGCCATGGAGGGAGAATTGGAAATCCTCCTAGGGGAGCTGCACATCAAAATGAAAGGTAGGTGTGTGTGTGTGTGTGTGTGTGTGTGTGTGTGTGTGTGTGTGTGTGTGTGTGTGTGTGTGTGTGTGTGTGTGTGTGTGTGTGTGTGTGTGTGTGTGTGTGTGTGTGTGTGTGTGTGTGTGTGTGTGTGTGTGTGTGTGTGTGTGTGTGTGTGTGTGTGTGTGTGTGTGTGTGTGTGTGTGTGTGTGTGTGTGTGTGTGTGTGTGTGTGTGTGTGTGTGTGTGTGTGTGTGTGTGTGTGTGTGTGTGTGTGTGTGTGTGTGTGTGTGTGTGTGTGTGTGTGTGTGTGTGTGTGTGTGTGTGTTTTTTTTTTTTTACTGAGGACCATTTTCCCCACAATGTGAGGACATTTTTCAAAGTAAGAAAACGTTTTTTAGAAGCTTACCAGTTGGTTTTAGAGGTATGGTGTGAATTAAGTTTTAGGGTTAGGTTAGGGTTAGGAACAGGTCAGCACTGGTTATGGTGAAGGTTGGAGTATGGGTTAGGCATAGTGGAGTCACAAAAATGAATGGAAGTCAATGGAGGTTATTGGTGTTTATCTTCAAACCCTTTACCCAAACACTTCCTTCCCTTGCAGGTCTGATCGGTTTTGCCCGGCTCTGCCCTGGAGACCAGTATGAGGTCAGGTTCTCCTCCTAACCAATGCGGAAATATACATTTATGCTGGTGTATTTCCAGAGCTTATTCTTTTACTGCAATGATTTTACAGATTTGACTTCTCTGCAGCTCAGATTCTTTTCTTTTACCAGCTTCTAGATATAATAAAATTAGTTTTTGTTGTAGAACTCAGGTGTGATTTTGTCACATGACCAGGTGGTGGTGCGTTTGGGCCGGCAGCGATGGAGGATCAGAGGGAGGATCGAGTCTGATGACTCTCAGTCCTGGGACGAAGAGGAGATGGTGTTCCTCCCACACATCCAGCATAACTTTGACATTAAGGTAGACACATACACACACCATGGTTTGTATGATGGAAGATCCTTTTAACATCATAACGGACTGTAACATTTTTCTTCTCTCTATGGGAATTAATCAACATGTTTAGGAATCTGAAGACAAAAATATTAATAAAAATAAATGAATAAATAAGTTGTAAATATAAGTCATTGTTGGAATTAGCCTAGCCTGCCAGACTCGTCCTGTTTAGTTCCACACTTCCATAAGGAAGCATGGGGCTGGCTGCTCAGGCTACCTTGGAATGATCATAGATTAAAGAACTTTGTCTAATATAGCTGGCAAGTCGATACACACACACACACACACACACACACACACACACACACACACACTTATTGTAGTTTAAACAAACTACTTTTCCTTTAAATCCCTTTTCTGGCTACACTCTGTAAAATTTTTTTTATTTACTTCAATTTTAAAATAAACTGTCAATACACACTAATAATTTAAAAGGAAATTAGATGGTTATTAATGGTATAAAACAGTTTTTCACACAACTTTAATAGAAAATAAACTTGATGAGCTGTTTCCCTTTAATCTACACCCTTTGAGCTTAATCAGTGTAATTTCCTGCCCTAGGTGATGGAGGCGAAGGGTTTGGGTTGGCTGCTGGTTGGCATGGTAACGTGTGCCAGTGTGGACTTCTTTGTGGCGAAGCCGCAGCTGATGCTGGTGGACATCACAGAGTTGGGGACCATCAAACTACAGCTGGAGGTCACCTGGAAGTAGGAACACACACAACTGGCACATATGTGCACACGCATAAATGTGCACATGCACAGAAGTATTTCTGTTTCTCTGCATTAGATCAGTTAGCAGGATTAAAACATTAGCCAGATTATCAACATTCCTAAAATCAGAGACATGAAAATATAAATGTTTATAAGAAGGTTTACTAATGAGCTGTTTAATGATCAGTTGGGTTAGGGTCAGTTTAGTTCCTTTTTCTAATCAGTTTTATTTTGTGTTTTCTGTTTCTCTGGTTTATTAAACTCCAACATAACAAAACAAACCAATGGTTTCTCTCCACTAAACCTGCATTAACCAGCAGAAAGGAGCTTTCGTGTTCTGGCACCTCTGGATTAAAGAAAGGCAACAGAAATGAGAAATTAAGTGGCTTTTTTGTGCCTCAGTAAATCCTACAATAATAATAATAATAATAATAATACCACTGAATGAGATCATAAAGAAGGCAAGACGGCTTCATTTGTATAACACATCTCATACACAGAAGCAATTCAATGTGCTTTCCAGTAACAAGAATAGCATTAACATTTTAAAAATGTGACGGCACAGTTAAAATACACAAATTTCAGATTTAGGAATCAGAAAAATGGTGAAGTTAAAGGGTGAGCACTTACAGTGCAGAAGGTGCAGCTTAAGCATTCGTTCAAAGGCTGATGAATACATGACGGTTTTTAATTTTGATCTAAAAGTTTCTAGAGTTGGGGCACATTTGAGGTCATGAGGAAGCTGATTCCACCTGTGAGAAGCATAGTAGCTGAAAGCAGCTTCACCCTGATTGGTTCTGACCCGGTTCTACCAGCTGATTGCTTCCTAAGGATCTCGGAGCCCTGCTGGGCGTAGATACCTGAAGGATATCTGACTTGTATTCTAGCCCCATGCCATTGAGTGATTTATAAACTAGTAGAAGCACTTAGAAATTGATTCTGTAGTTTGCTGGTGACCAGTGTAGAGATTTAAGAACAGGAGTGATGTGTTCGGTTCTCTTGTTTTTTTAAGACTCTAGCAGCAGTATTCTGAATAAGCTGCAGCTGCTTCACAGCTTTCTTGGGAAGACCTCTTAGGAGACCACTGCAATAGTCTAGCCCGCTGTAGATGAATGCATGAATGAGTTTCTCAAGGTCTTGTCTGGATTTGAGACCCTGAGTCGTCTTTATGTTTGTTTATTTATTTAGCAGACGCTTTTATCCAAAGCAACTTGCAATTTATAACCTATAGGGCATGTTGTGATCTGTGGGGGAAACGGAGTACCTGGAGGAAACCCACGCATGCATGGGGAGAACACGCAACTCCACGCTGAAAGGCCGCAGCCGAGTTTCGAACCTGCAACCTTTGTGCTGCGAGGCAACAGTGCTAACCACTGCTCCACCATGCAGCCCGTGTTATTTGATGCAGATGTTAAAATGCTGATCTAGTTATAGTATTAATGTGACCAAGATTTACAACCTGAGTCTTTATTTTCTTCATTGAAAATATACATAAATGTTCTAGGTTAGTTTCCTTGATGAAATGATGAAATGTTCTGTTTGTTCAGATCATTCATTAAAAATGATCTTTTACAAAAAAAACTGCATCCGATTTAATCTGAGTAGAACAAGCTCCGGGGAATTACACAACATGAAAGCACAAAGTTCATAAAGTTGCATGTTTCAGGTTTTCATGGTTAAACGCAGAATATTTCTTAAACTGATGATCCATAATCCAGGTCAGTAACTTGATTTTGTTTTGGTGCCTGCAGCCCGTTCGACAGCAGCGAAAAGATGAAGATGAAGCTGCAGTCTGTCAGCAAACAGTCAGTGTCAAGCAGAAAGAGTTCAGTCTACAGCTGGACGGCTCCAAACACCCCCTCCTTCTCAGAGAAATACTTCTTAGTGAGTACAAACCCACACCGTCTGCTGTAACACCTCCCATTTCTGTGGGATTCTTTCTGCAGGCCAGAAGTTTCCAGAAGTAAGATGACAAACAGCATTCTGGGTAAAAATCTGGGCTGATTTAAGGGAACGATGAGAAATGTTTGTTTTCCTGTTGAGGAAATCATTTCCTGTCACTGTTGGCATGGATCTAAACTTGAGTCAGGCTCCGCTGCATCAGGGAGGTCTGGTTCTTCTGTGATGAGCGTGATCATCTGGAGGGTTTCAGTTCAGTTAGATCCTTGTGATTAATAATCTGATTAATAATATACTGAGATGCCACAAACTAAATGTGGCTTGAAGTCTCTGAACTGTAAAACCAGCCCAAACCATCAACCCTCCACCACCGTGCTGATGTTCTGTTTGGGTTTATCCAGTCGTACTGCTGTGCATTATGGGTAAACATCTCCGCTTTGGGACTTTGATTCAGATAATCAGACACGTAGCTCAAGGCTGGATCCAATGTTCAACATAAATCTTGTGGCATTATCGTCTTTTCGTCTGATACTTTTGTGTGAAAGCTGTTTTCAGTCAAAACTTAAAAAAACTAAAATTTCCTGATCTTGTTCTCTGTAACGCTGTGTGATCCGGCTTCTCCAGTCGATGGTGCGAGAGTTGCAGGATCAGGAAGGTTCTCTGCCATCTCTGGTGTCTAAAAGTCGTCGCAGCCGAGGGGGCGTGTCTCTGCTCAGCTACCTGTCGGACCCGTCCCACACCTCGGTCCTGCCGGGCCCGTTCAACCCAAGGTTTGTGGCAAAAGAAGGAAAAATGGGGCTATAGTGCAAAATTCTGCATTCATATAAAATGTTTCCTTTGTGAAAACGCCAAGAAGTCTCAACTATTCTGTTTTAACTGAGTCAATAGTAAAAATGTTAGGTTTGTAAGGCTACACATATTCCAAATCTATATATTTGATTGTTTCATTTTTAAAATTATAAAATAAAAATTGTTTTCTTACTTTCATCATATGAAGAAAAAAAGTTTTGTTTTGTTGTTTGCTCTGAGAACAGACCGTGGCTCGATGGCAGGCTTGCAGTTTACATTTGCTTCCTCATCCCAACATGCCTGACATAATAATTTACTAACAGATTAAAGCAAAAGATAAAATGGTTCAAAAGTACAAATGAGAAGGTAGTTTTTTGTGTTTTTCTGTTGAACTGAACTCCCGCAGTCTGACTCTGGCTCACAGCTACCCGACCAATCCAGGAACCAGTCTGGGAGGAAGTCAGACCCAGCTTTCCTTTGGGGAGGACGAGGAGGTGATGAAGAGGAGGATGGATGAGGAGGTGGGAGAGGAGGAATGGGGAGAAGTGTTAGCGACTCCTTCAGAGGAAACGGCAGCCTCTGTCGTGGCCTTACAGAGGTGAACACGAGCACAGAAACGGATTTTTATTTAAAGTTCATTTAGAATAAAACTTTGATCCACTTGAAGTTAAATTTTGAGAAAAAATACAAGAATTGCTGCTTTGATCTGAAAACTGTTAATATAATCCCTTTGGGTTTCAGGAAAACAGAAGCTGGTCCACCACAGTGGAGAGGGCAGACAGTTTACCTTGAGTTAGAAAGATCACATTTATTATTTTAGCTTTTGTAAAATAAAATTTTATCTTGTTCTTTGACGGTGTGAAGCTTTACTGTTCATTAAAATAAGTGGTGAGTGTTGGGTGGATGAATAAATGAATGATTGAAACATTAAAGTAATAGAATACGTTTGGCACACACCAGCAAACAGTAACATTACCTTTCTGAGAACAGATTTAAGATTTATTAGTCGCATTTACGTAAAATATGAAGCAATGAAAACATTTGATATTTTTAATGGGAAAGTTCTTTTACATTTAACACGTAAATATGCTGGTGAATGTTCTCTGTCATCCAGGTCATGGCAGTCCAAAGGGTCCAAATGAAGGAAACTGGACTTGTTTGGTTTCTTGAAGACATTTTGCTTCTCATCCGAGGAGCTTTGTCATTTCTAACTGGAACATGGGAGAATTAGAACTGACAAAGCTCCTCGGATGAGAAGCAAAATGTCTTCAAGAAACCAAAGAAGTCCAGTTGCCTTCATTCGAACCCTTCAAATAAGTAAATAAAATATTTAACCCTCCCACTGTCCTATTGGGTGACCCCTCCAGGAAAGGTGACCATTGAGCAGGGTTAATAGTTTATCCATTGAGGTCCACGTGAAAGGGGTGATGAGTGAGCATCAACTCACCCCAGCCACGTGGACCTCAAGGATGTTCCTCGGCCCGCCGTTAGTGTTTCTGATGATGTTTCTGCAGGTCCAGCACTCCTGACATCCTGAGACAGAACCCATCAGGAGAACATGAACCTGAGACGAACAGTCCAGCTCTGCAGCAGGAGAAGGTAAATGAGACCATCAGAGATTGGGCTGAGGCTCGGTTCTGATAGAACCTCTGAAGGGTCGGTTCTGGTATGTTCTGTCCTTTAATCATATTGGGTTTTTATCTAATACTTTTTATCATTTAAAAACAAAACTTCAGTTGTTTTTTACGATAGCCAAGCGGGGTGCAGCAGTGGCAGTTGCCGAGGCAAAATCTCGGGCGTGGGAGGAGTTTGGTGAGGCCATGGAGAAAGACTATCGATCGGCTCCAAAGAGGTTCTGGCAAACTGTCCGGCGCCTCAGGAGAGGAAGGCAGCAACTCGCTCACACTGTTTACAGTGGGGATGGGGAGCTGCTGACGTCAACTGAGGCTATAGTCGGACGGTGGAAGGAATACTTTGAGGAGCTCCTCAATCCCACCAATGCGCATTCCGAGGAGGAACCAGAGCTGGGAGGCCTGGGGATGGACTGTCCAATCTCGGGGGCAGAAGTTGCTGAGGTAGTCAAACAACTACACAGCGGCGGAGCCCCGGGGGCGGATGAGGTTCGTCCTGGGTATCTCAAGGCTATGGATGTTGTAGGGCTGTCATGGTTGACACGTCTCTACAACATTGCGTGGTCATCGGGGGCAGTTCCTAGGGAGTGGCAGACCGGGGTGGTGGTCCCCATCTTTAAGAAGGGTGACCTGAGGGTGTGTTCCAACTATAGGGGGATCACACTCCTCAGCCTCCCTGGAAAGGTCTACTCCAAGGTACTGGAGAGGAGGGTCCGATCGATAGTTGAATCTCAGATTGAGGAGGAGCAATGTGGTTTTCGTCCTGGCCGTGGAACTGTGGACCAGCTCTATACCCTTGCAAGGGTTATGGAGGGGGCATGGGAGTTTGCCCAACCAATCCACATGTGCTTTGTGGATTTGGAGAAGGCTTATGACCGTGTCCCCAGGGGCACCCTGTGGGGGACGCTCCAGGAGTATGGGGTGGGTGGCTTTCTGTTAAGGGCCATTCAGTCCCTTTACCAGAGGAGCGTGAGTTTGGTCCGCATAGCCGGTAGTAAGTCGGACCTGTTCCCAGTGAGGGTTGGACTCCGCCAGGGCTGCCCTTTGTCACCGGTTCTGTTCATCACTTTTATGGACAGAATTTCTAGACGCAGCCGTGGTGTGGAGTGTGTGGAGTTTGGTGGCAGGAGAATCTCGTCTCTGCTTTTTGCGGATGATGTGGTCCTCCTAGCTTCATCCAGCTCTGACCTTCAGCTCTTGCTGGGTAGGTTCGCGGCCGAATGTGAAGCGGCTGGGATGAGGATCAGCACCTCCAAATCTGAGACCATGGTTCTCGACCAGAAAAGGGTGGCTTGCCACCTCCGGGTCGGGGGAGAGGTCCTACCTCAAGTGGAGGAGTTTAAGTATCTCGGGGTCTTGTTCACGAGTGAGGGTAGGAGGGATCGGGAGATCGACAGGCGGATTGGTTCGGCGTCTGCAGTGTTGCGGACGCTGAGCCGATCTGTCGTGGGGAAGAGGGAGCTGAGCCAGAAAGCCAGGCTCTCGATTTACCGGTCGATCTACGTCCCAATCCTCACCTATGGTCATGAGCTTTGGGTAATGACCGAAAGAACGAGATTGCGGATACAAGCGGCCGAAATGAGTTTCCTCCGTAGGGTGGCCGGGCTCAACCTTAGAGATAGGGTGAGGAGCTCGGACATTCGGGAGGGACTCGGAGTAGAACCGCTGCTCCTCCAGATCGAAAGGAGCCAGTTGAGGTGGTTTGGGCATCTGGTCAGGATGCCTCCTGGACGCCTCCCCGGGGAGGTGTTTCGGGCATGTCCTGCCGGCAGAAGGCCCCCGGGTCGACCCAGGACACGTTGGAGAGGTTACATCTCCAATCTGGTCCGGGAACGCCTTGGGGTCCTGCTGGAGGAGCTGGTGGACAAGGCCGGGGAGAGGACGGCCTGGAGCTCCCTAGTTGGGATGCTGCCCCCGCGACCCGGACCCGGATAAGCGGAGGAAGACGACAACGACGACGACAGTTGTTTTTTTCCGCAACAAAAACTCCCGGATCTGACCCACTTTTCCATTAGGGCTCCTCTGAAGGCCCGGCTCACTCTGCCGCAGCCGCCCCCTCCCCCCTGGCTGCTGCGCTGACCCTGGGGAGGTCTGGCGTGAGTGGAGCCCAGCGCCAGGCCCAGGCCCTCAGACTGGGAGTTGTGATCATGGAGCTGGAGAAAACGCTGCAGAGTGGGAGCTGCAGGGAGAAGGAGCTGAAAGCGTTGGAACATCAGGTTCTTCACCTGGCCACCATCCTGAAGGTACCACTGTTCCCACGTACTGAAACAACCGTCAGGAAACGTGTCTGATGTTCCTCTATCCTCTTCCAGAATGACCTGTCCCTCCTCAAGACCACCTCCTCAGAGGAGACTCTGGCTGTGGAGGAAGTCCTGGGCAGCTTTGACTTCCTGTCACATGACCTCACTGCAGACGATGACGCTTCCTGTTTGGGCAGCCTGAGGCTGAAAGACAGTGGGTGAGTTTATGGAGCAAAGATGGCCGGTCAACATGGAAATGTTCTTCAGTGCGTTTATTTAACTGTTCTTTTAGCATCAGCTCGTTCCAGCAGAGCACTCTGAGGAGTCTCGGCCTCCTCTCTAAAGACAGCCAATCGGCTTCTGAGGAAGAGCTGGTCATCGCCCCACTGACTTCTGGGAACTGGGGTCTGGACCAGGCCCTGGAGACACACCTGGATATCTGCTGCATCCTGCTGCAGGTATGAGGAGATCCACACGCTGTTTGGGTCCGAACCTGTTTAGCTTCTCACGAGTTCTGATCTTGTAACGCGTCTCCTCAGGCGATCCCAACGACCGACTTCAGCCCGTCTCGGAGGGAGCTGCTGGAGGAGATCTCCATCCAAACCCAGGTCCTGAACCGAATCAGCTGTCTACTCCTGGAGAAGAACGACAACATCTCAGCTCGAGACAGTCAGTGTGAAACCCAAATGTGTCTGGTTTTTAAATAGATCTAGTTTATCTTCATGTTTCTGGGTGAACAAAGACAAATGTTAGACTCTGATTCTGGTCATGTCCCCCTGTAGTCCTCCCTAAAGCCCAGAGGTCCAGGGACACGCTGCTCTTCTGGCAGGAGTGTGGGGACAGCAGCAGTTCTCCTTTCTTTTGTCACGTTGATGACTTTTCCAGGATCCTGAAGAGACGTTACACTCACAAGGTGAAGGCCAAGCAGCCCGGCCAATCCGACAAAGGTATTCCCAGCAGCCAGATGCTCCTGAAAGCTATTAATGGTTTTCATTCTCCAGACTGTCCTCCTCCTTCTTTCTCCTCAGTGTTTTCCCGACTCCTGCTGCAGCTACAGGCGCCCTGCCGGCTGGTTCCCTGTTCCCGATCCATCTGCAGTCCAGAGAGAGTCTCGGTCTTCCAGCTTTCAGCTTATCTGAAGCGCTGGAGCTTCCAGGATTTGGGAGAGCACATCTCCTGCCTTTCCAGAGAAGGTAGGAACTCATCTCATCACATTCATGAGCTGGTATCAGCGGTCCGTTTTAGAAATGTTCTGGTGTTAAAATCCAAGATGGAGGAGCTGGAAATCCACCAAGAAATTCCATCCTAGTGAAACAACCCATTAACGCCACAGCTGATTGAACAAACCACTGTTTTAGACTGGACACTGAGAAGAAGACTTCAGGATTTGAGGATGATTTGTGAGTCCGCCTGGACGCCACATTGAGATATTGGTTTTATTGGTTCAGATTCTCTAAATCGGTGTAGAACGATGGAGATGATTCAAATCACTTTAATTGTGAATCTGATGAAACAAGTCTGTCTTTATTCATTCTGGAGATGAACCAGAACAAAAACACAAAACTTCCTCTAAGATGAAAAAAAACAAGAATTAACTCTTTTTTTTTACCCTGAAACTATTTTTAGTGTTTTTCTACTATTTAGGAGGAGGATTTATAATTGTATTTGTCTTAACAAATGAACTCATCTCATTCTTTTTGTTGTTTCTGGTTGTTTAGAGTACATCCTGTCGGCACTAAACAGCCCCAAAAGGAGGCGGGCTTTAAATAAACTAAGGGGGCGGGCTATATCAGAGCTCCTCCCACTGGGATTCACCCTCCAGACTCTTGGTGCCCTGCTGATCGACTCAAACCACCGAGTTTGCAAAGCTGCTTCCAGCTGTGTCTGCAGAGCTGCAGGATGCAAGTCATTCAGGAACAAGGCGAGTTGAGTAAAATGGAAATACGCCAGAGAACGCTCATCTAGTGAGGAAAACATAAGGATGTTGAGATTAAACACCAAATGTTGAGAAAAAGGGTCAACGGGGTATTTTCAGTCCGACAGGCTCATTACTTAATGATGTCATTTAAACTGAAACTTTTATTTCAACATTTTCTTTTTTGACTTTAGTCTGCTGACACCAGTTTTAGACTGATGCTCCGCAGTCCTGGGTTTACCTGAGGGTTTGGTCAGATATTAACATAATTTTGGTTGTGAAGGGATGAAGATTTGCAAATGTACTCCAGATAATGTGTGTGTGTCTTTGTCCTGCAGGCGGTGGTTTTCTACACTGAGAGTCTGAGGAGTCCTGATGTTCTGACCCAGTTGGGCTCCTGTTTGGCTCTGAAGTGTCTCAGGGTGAGTGAACTCTCCCGGGAAATCTCAGACAGTTTTTTCAAACTAAATCCTGAGCAGGTGTTTTTGTTTGTCAGGCGACGGAGAGCGTGGACCACATTTCAGATCTGTGGAGATCAGAGGACGAAGATCTACGCAGCGCTGCCAGAGAGACCGTCCTGTCCTTCGGTACAAAGATCCCTGCTACTCCTCCAGCAGCTGCTTGTTGTTTGTGTTGTTTCATGTTGTTTATTTTCAGGTAAAAAGGGACACGAGGCCTTCCAGAGGATGGACCAGCTGTTCACTGAGATGCAGGAGGAGGCCTACAAAAACCAGGAGACTGAAATCACCATTTTATAGAAAGATTCTGGAGTTCCAAGCTCTGATTTGCAAACCTGACAGGATGCAGCCACTTTCTGGATGAGGGAAGATCTGCTGATCTCGCCTGGTTCTGGATGAGCTGTTTCCCGTCATCCTGCAGAACTCTCCTGAGAACTTGAATATATTTGTTTAAAAGAGTTTTGTTTAAGATGCTCTGATGGAGCCGCATTTAACCTGAAGGTTTTTGGCTGATTTCAATTTAGAATTTTCATAAAAACCTGTTTGTTGGAGACTTATAAATTTATTTTCGTTATAATTGCGTCCTGAGTTTGTGGCTGAGGTGTATAAGTTGTAAGAACGATGTATCACATGTATATTAAGCCCAGAGGGACTGAATAAAACCACAAAGAGCTTCAGTGTTTTTGTGTTTTAAATAAAACACAGGAACAAGTGCTGCCCTCTGCTGGACCGCTGAGGGGCGCTACAGTTGCTTTCAAACTTCACTCCTGGAGGATTAGATGTTGGTTCTGTTTGAATTCAGCGGCTGTCAGAGGAAGTTTCATTCTTTACCCAATAATGAGTTTTGGTCTGATATGAAATAGTTTGGTCCCAAAACAACTAAATCCATCAGACCAGAACCTGTTTGTGGGAGTTAAAAATCCAGTTTTCTGTCACTAATCATTGGTAGTTTTCATAGATTTGACTAAAAATGAGATTTTGTCTTGAGTCAGTCTGCAGAAACAAGTTTTAAATACAGGTTCTTTAACGAGTTATGTTAATTTTTATTTGTCACATCTTCAGCTCATACCTTGAGTTAGACATGTTTTACGCATCAGGTCTGCCGATGTGAATCAGAGCAGCTGGCAGCTAATTAATCAAAGTTACAAATATATTGCGTAAAATAAATGTGATCACTTATGATTTCAAAAATTACAATGTTTTCAGACAATATTTAAGGAAATAAATGGTTATTTGCCAAACAAGCATGGCTGAAAACAGGTTATTTAAAAAGTGAAAAAAAAAATTCTATTTCAGTCAGCACAAACCGCTGAACTCTAAGAAAAACCTGTGAAGAAGCTTCAGAGCATCTGGAGAACAACAGGAGAGTCATATGGCTGTTTTTACCAACCACATCATTAAATTGCTAATGGGATGTTTAAATAAAACTAATTCTATTCAAGCAATTAAAGGAAAGATTTTATTTAAATTAAAATCAAAGAAATCTTGTTGCAGTGAACATGTTCTCTCTCACACACACACACCCCTCTTACTGTGAGCATCCAAAAACTAAACTTTACCACTTAAGAGCAGAAAACAAGGAAACTTAAATTCCAGCTGAATGTTGAACCAGAGAACAGTTCTGCGTAGATAAAAAATCTGATGGTGCTCCGTTTCCTTTACGTCAGGCCTTTGGGTCTCAATGTGATCAGAAAAAATACACACCCATATTTATCCATGTGTCTCTCACACACACACACACACACACACACACACACACACTTGAAAACTTTCAGCATTTTATTTAGATTCAATAAAACCTGTGAAACTAACGCTTCAGAAAACAAAACAGCAAACCATGCATGAGAAAGACTTGAAAATGGAGTCCGTCACTGACGTGGGGGCGGGGCCACAGCATCACGTGTGTCACTGATTGTCCACCGTCGTGTGCTGTCCTGTTCGAGAATGCGGAGTTTGGTGATGTGGAACAGCAGGAGGAATGCGGATCTGTACAACTCGTCTCAGTTTGGGCAGTTTGAGGGAAAAAACATGTTTGTTTTTTTTAAAGAACAACAGGAACACTGAAACGCTGTACAGAATAACGTCTACTTTGAAATCAAACAACGCTGAGAATGAAATGGAGAAATCTTCTCAACATCAAGCTCACACTTCCCTTTTGCTCCTCAGATGCATTAAAGATCAAACATCCTGGCCTCGCCACCCGCAGCCTAAATCTCTCCAGCCTCCTCATAGGTTTCATCTTTGGCTGAGCGTTTTCCTCTTCTCGTGTGACGTCCACCCCTCCCTCAACAGCATGGCAGTATCATTCTACAGTAACACTCCCTCCTCAGTAGACTTCCTCGTTTTAGGTCCCGACGATGGCGGGGTCATGGGCCGCGTTCGGCAGTGCAGCATCCTGGCAGTGGTAGAGGAAGCAGTTGCCCCAGCAGCTGTAGCAGAGGAGGAAAAGCGCAGCCAGGAAAACCAAGGCACAGATGGTGCAGGGTTTCCTCTCCAGCAGGAAGCTGAGCAGGTAAAAGCCCATGAACATGGAGTGGTTGAACCACAGAGCAGGATTCAGCGGCTTGGGGATGAGCAACACAGGGAGCAGCCACTGCAGGCAATACATCGTCACTTCTGGTTTTAGAAAAGGGTGATACAGTCCTTTGTTAACCGAGGTCTCCAGTGGGACAGTGGTTCTATCCGACAGAGCTAGGATGAAGCACGGAGAGGTCAAAGCAGCACGATGTTGCCGTCAGATCGTCCCTGGGATAAAAAAACAAAACAAAAAAGAGGCCGTTAACATTTTCAAACAGTATCTGAGAAAGAAAACAAATATTAAATAATCTGTAGATTACACTCAAATCATTAAAGACATTTCAGCGTGTCATGACTTAATAAAAAAATCTTCACGCTGATCAGTGATTCCAACTCCTGATCCAACACCTCTAATAAAACACCTAATATCTAATATGTTTGCTGTTAGTGATGGACAGGCTGATAGGTGATGTTAGACAGGAGTCTCCATGGACTCTACAGATGACAGAGAGCTACTATGAGAGCAGGGTGCAGGTAGAGGAGAAGCTCCTGAGGAGGAGATATGTACCGGAGAAGATAGGAATAAAACAGAATCCATGTGTGTAAATGCCAAAGACACAGGTGGAGCAGTGATGTTACAGGAAGGAAGCAGAAGTAAAGACGGTAGAGGACTTCACCCTAGAAGGCACTATACAAATACAGGTCATTTACCATTAAGCTTCTTTGCTTCCTTATGCTCCCTCTCAAATTACAATTATTGATTTTCACTTTGTGTAGTGTTATTAGAATGTTTTTGATTGAGGTAAACAATAAAAACATCAGAGATTCAAACTGAAATTACAGTTTCTGCTAGAAAAATCGCAATTCATGCTTTTCCTAAAATCGTTCAACCCTACTCATCGGTGTGAAAATGTGCAGATTTTCCGCTAAAATGCCCGTTTAAGGAAGTTGGCAGAAGGACAAAGGCAGATTTATTTCTGGCAGAAGCAGCTGTTAGCAGCTGCCACATGGCCTCATCACCTTAAATACACCCTGCTGGTTCAGTCTAACCGGAGTTAACTAGTAATCAGCGGTAAGAGTTGGGTATAAATAATGATTACATCTTTACAATGTTCATTTATTTTTAATATACTGCTAAAATTATCGAGGTGACGATTAACGCCTAACTTGTCAGGTACTCATGACGCCATTCACATCTACCTAGTCAATACAGGAAGTAAGGGGTAAAAAATACCTCATAAACCTTTACAGTAATTAATATGGTTTTAGTGTTTGTTAAATTTTAACATAAACGCTGTTTTATGGCTAATCATTTCACTAAATAAGACCCTATAGTAACAAATGCTAACGAATAAGACCCTATAGTAACAAATGCTAACGCGGCTGGGTCTTAACATCTTTAGTCGTTTCACCTCTAACTGACGATCATTACGCTCTCTGTTTGTACCAAAAAAGAGATTTATTAGTCTAAGCACGGATCACTGTAAAGCAAAGTTAAGGCCCGGAAGATGATTTCGTTTGGAAACACGGTACAAAAAAGAGAGCTAACTAGCCAACATAGCTTCATAAGCAAACACTTTCTGAAAGACAACATATTTAAACACAGCAACCTGCGTCTGTAAAATACAAAATCATTAAACTGTGTGAAAATTTTCGTGCATATTAACCAACCTGACATCTTTAGGGTTCATTCTCAGCAAAGACACGCAACCAGAACGAAATATATCGGCCACTAACTGCGAACTGAGTTGCTTGCTAATCTGCTAGCGCGCTAAGCAGCTAACAGCACCTCAGTATAGGTGTCTACGCGGCGCCTGAACTATTATTATTATTGTTGTTGTTGTTGTTGTCGTTGTTGACAACTTTTTTATTGACTACAAAATTGAAATATATAATCAAATTAAAATAAAAAAAATCTATTTAAGCAATAAGATATTAAGTAATATTGTTTTTTGTCAAATTAGAATTTTCTCAACTTATTTTTGTTTACTTGACAGTTTTAAAGATAAGAGCTGATCATAAATTATCTAAGTTCAAAAAAAGGATTTTTACATTTTTTTTGTAGTTTTTTAATGTTTTTATCCAACAACAAAATGCCATCACTGAGGAATAATAAAGGAATATTCTATTCTATTCAGTTCTGTTCTAGACTATTTTATTCTAATGTCTTACATTTTGTTTAAATCTCAGACATGGCACTCAAATATTTGTTTTGTTCTGCTGTCTGGAGATTCAGAAATCATCCTCACATCATGAGAAATACATAGTTTTATTTCCTTTTCAGAGTTAGTCCTAGAGTCAGGTCTGGTAGAGTTACCATCAGAATCTGACTAAACTAAAATTTCAAAGTCCTTATCGAATCCTTCATTTTCTTTCTTTTCAAATTAATTTTTGAAGGTTATTCTGACTGTTTTGGTAACCAAAATTCCCAAAAGGACGCCTGCAATAAAAAAGGCACCTTTCTTTCAGGATTCTGTCATAAATAAATAAATAAATAAATACATACATACATACATACATACATACATACATACATACATACATACATGTAAACTGTCAAGTAAAAGGCTACACGAATGATCCTAAAACAAAACCTCTCCCATTTATTCTGTTTATCATTATTAACCCAGGGTTCTTGGTGAGTTTTTAGTGAGTAAACTATAAATGATGAAGCACCTGATTGAAAAGGACAAGGATTTGTACAAATCCTGCTGTGAACGTATTTGCGTGCAATGGACACATACATTAAACATGATTATCAAAACTTTACTGTGATAAAGTACAAAGTAATAAATCATCCTGTGATGCCGTCATACCCACCTTAAACAGATCATTTCTAGATGTCTGTATCACTTAAGGATGCCGCTGTCATCAGTCGCCCATCTCTGATGTTTAACTGCTGTGGACACCAATGTGGGTCACTGTTTTATTCTAGTCCCTCACTGTTGTTTTATTTGCTTGTTTTGTTTTATTGATTTATAATACATTTAATGTGTTGTTTTTACTTGTTTCTGTGAAACACTTTGGTGGCATGTTAGTGTAGAAAAGTGCTAAACAAATAAAGTTTGAGTCAGGGCGAGCTTATTTATTTTGTACAGAAGAATCTTGAAATAATAAAAAATATACTACTACTACTACTACTACTACTACTACTACTACTACTACTAATAATAATAATAATAATAATAATAATACATTTTATATTATTATTATTATTATTATATGGTAATGTACAGCTTGTTTGTTTATTTCAGAGGAAAGAACAACACAAAAACTAATTTAAATCTAACTTTATTTTTGTACACAGGCAACAAAAGAAATGAAAACCTAGGTGATCTAAAAGCTTATGAAAACCTAGAAAATCACTGTATCACTGTTACTGGAGTATTACAACACAAAGCTATTAAAATGAACAAAATATTAAACCAAAACCATTCCAGTCTAATTAGGACATAAACACATTTCTGCTACAAATGAGTGCTCAGCAACCTGAAGCTAACATTAAATTATGAGAGGAAAGGAAATAAAATAGACCAATTAGTAATATCAACAACAAAAGCACATTTAGAAACATTTGCAACATTTGTTTATTGTGATGATGCTAAAAGCTACATCCTCATCTGTTCTGCTTTACAAACGCAGTCTGTGCGGCAGGCAGTCGTGTATAAATTCTTCTGATTGATGAACATCCAGCTAACACTTAGCTGACAGAGCGGGATCAGTCGGCAGTATATGAATCCATAAGGGCTGAAACACCAGACGTATCTGGAATAACTGCAGCAGGAACAGAAATGCACCAGTGCAGCTTTAAAAATAGCAATCAGAATAAAATAAAACAAACAGAAACACGACTCAAATGCTTTTGGTTCATCTGCCAGCAAACATGAATAAACATCCCGTTGCTGTCGACCTCCATAGAGACATTTATTAGGACCAAACATAAAGAATTTGTGATAAATTCAGCAGAGTCCTCAGTTCAACACAAACACCAATCGGATATAATGTGGGATTGTTTGGACAATCAAGGAGCTTTAAGACAAAATGTCATTTCAATTTGTTAACTTATTCTGGGCTGAAATGTTCTCCAGACGAACCCAAAATGGGACAGCTACATCTTAGTTTCTTATTCTGAAAACTTCAGATTATTCATCAAACATTTAGTTTCAAATCCTTAAAGGAAGTCATCAGACATCAGTTGGTGTTTTGGATCCTTAATCAGGTTTCGGTAACTCCAATCTGACCCCAAACTGGGCCTCGGATATGAGAGAAACTTAGATGTGACAGAATCAGTCCAAAATAAAAGCTATGATTCAAACACGTTTCCCTCGTTGGTTCCTGGACCTCCATGTTGAATCTTACATTCTGTTAGTACGACTTCATCAAACAACAAGGAAGAGAGTAAGTTCCCTTCAGCTGCGTCTACTTAAACGGGAGATGTGACGACTCCTTCCCACTGATGATTCTGGTTGTTTTTCAGAATATAACTTCAGTGTTTTTACATCTTATTTCTGCTGCTCTGGCTGATCAAGAACACATCATCATGGCCACTGAGAGAAATAAACCTCCAGAAAACCTGAAGCTCATCTGGAAATGACCTCTCTAGTGTTTTGTAGTCTTTTGGCTTCTCTCACACGGGCGTCCACAGCTGAGCTCAAAGAACTCCCTTTAAAGTTTCACAATAAGAGTCTATAAAACACATCAAAACATCTGAAGTTATGAAGATATTAAAACATTTCTCAGAGAACAGAATAAAAACTGTTTTTATTTTAACTTGACCGATTGCTCAGGTTTAGGCCCAAAGTTGAAAGTCTGAATTACCACTAAACAGTTCAACACCTGCTGACATAAACCTGTGTCTGCAGCCGACTTAAAATGCCAACTCTTCCTGTTTGTTTCTAATATTAAAAGTCAGGATTTTGATCTAAAATGTAATTTTCCACGCTGGAGCTGCATTTGGTTTCTATGAACTCTCTGGTGTTGTAACTTTAACACGATTAGCAGGGAAATAATCAGACAGAACTGCAACATCAAAGGTTTTTCTGGTCAGTCAAACATGTGATCTCTGACTCGTGATGTGACATGGGTTAGGGTTAGCCTGCGTGTTGCACACGGCATGTTTAAGCACATCAGGCTATCGGGGCACAAGCAGAGCTTCAGCCAACGGATTTAGAGCGCACAGGAAACATCTTCAGCAGGTACAAGAAATACTAGAAGCAAAACAGAGATAGTTGTGCAAATGTTAAACATGATGCAACATTTTGGTGACGGTCTCGTCTTCCAGGGGAGTCGATAAAGTGGCAAAACTTTCACAGTAAGAGTTTCTCTTCAGTAGTTGGAGCTGAGGAGTCGCTGCTGTCAGACTTTAAGAATTTAAATGTGTTTTTCCCTTCAGGGTGTTCTGCATTGGACATGCCGGTTGGTAGAAGCCATCACTAGACATCCAGAATATTGCAAAAGTAGAGATGATCTTGTATGAAGTGTTTTATTGTGAAAGTACGAGTGTTGCATTACTACATTTGCTGCTTTTTGTCTTTACATCTACCGATTAATGTGTCTGCTTTATTTACAGTTTGATATCTTCATCTACAGTCATGCATTATTTCACGTTTTACATGAGTGTGTATTTAAAGTTACATTCCACTGCTGGTAATCACAGTAAACATCAGACCTAAAGGCGCTCTCCAAGCTGAAGAAACCATTCCTCCTGTGGCCCAACATGGCTTCTTTACATTCAAATGGTGCAGGTGGAGAAAGAAGCTTCATGCTGTGATTTATTGTCTCTAACACCGAAATAGTTTTGTGCAGCCACCCTACGAAGAGCTAAGAGCGCAAGGCACACTAAACCCAGGAGGGATAGGATGTTTCCAACATCAAGAACAGGTTCTAACTGGAGTAATAACTCTGATCCTCTAAATGACATCAGCGACTCCTCCAGCTGAGCTCCGTGTCTCCTCGGCCTTCACTAAACTCTGACAGGACATCATGTCTTCCTGTGTGTGCCCCATGTAACACATTTTGTTTTCTTCCTTTTCTGTCGTCATGGTGATCTCCTTCTCTCCTCTTGGCTCCATGTATGAAATAAAAATCTCCTCCTCATCAGTCAGAGGTGTGTGTCCTGCTCCTCTTCATCATCCTCAGTTGCTGCTTGGTTGACGAAAGCCTGAAAAGCGAAGAGGAATGTTTGTGTTGTTGCTATGACGAGCCGAGATCAAAATACAAATATCATCTTTCTAAAATAATCATCCAATCACCTGCCAGCGGCTGTCGTTTCCTCCCCCGCCTCCTCCCACCGACGCCAGCCCATTGGTGCTCGGCTTCCTCTCCTGCATCTCAGGCTGGGTGTCATTGGTCACGTCCAGGGTGGGGTTGTCATGGTAACCGTTCTCTACAGAATGAAGCTCTTCAGTGGGAAACTGTTGGAAAGCAGACTGATGGTTTTGAAACCAAACCTGGAGCTTTTAAGAGGAACAGTGAAGTTTGAATCTGAGCGCCGACATTTCAGCCTGATGACCCTGAGCTGTTAGCCATGTGATCTGGTCATGCTCTCAACTGCGTCTTTATTTATATAGCGCTTTACAGGAACAGAGGTAACACCAAAGCGCTGTACAAGAAATAAAAGAAAAACAGAGTAAATGAAATTAGTACACACTAAAACAACAAGCAGGTTCAAAATTACAACACTAATGGCAGGAAGGAAAGGCCAAATCATATAAAAACGTCTTCAGCCTGACTTTAGAAACTGCCACTGAAGTGGAAGCCCTCACAGAGATCGGTAGCTCATTCCAAAGCTCAGGGCCTTGCACAGAGAATGACCTGCCACCTCGTGTCTTTAGAGATGTTCTGGGCACAGAGAGCAGGAGACGGTTCTCTGAACAAAGTGCCCGTACCGGGGTGTGTGGCTGTAACAGAGACGGAGCTAAACCAAAGATTCAAAGATTTAAAAAAAACAATAAAAGGATCTTAAAACCAATTCTAAACTTTACAGGCAGCCAGTGCAGTTGAGCCAGGACCAGAGAAACATGGTCAAACTTCCTTTTACCAACTAAGAATTTGGCAGCCGCGTTTTGCACGAGTTGTAGCCTCACTAAGGTGCCCTGACTCACCCCATTTAGGACCGAGTTACACTAATTAATGTGGGTTTTAGTAAAAGCATGAACTACTGCCTCCGGATCATTTCGTGTCAGGATTGGTTTCACTTTTGCCAAACGAGGAGGAGAACACTCCATTTACATGTGCATCAAAACCCAAACTTTACTCCAAGGCTAACAACTGATGCCTGGTGTTGACCTACCATGGTCTTCACCGCCGGCAGACGCCTCTGCCAACAGATGTAGATGAATCCAGATGTGATGATGATCATGCAGATGGCACCGATGATGACCAGAACCACAAACAGTTTACCGTAGTCGCTGCGTGTTTTACTGGGGCGGGACTGGCAGCTGGTGGCCGCACTGTAGTTCTGGATGCCCACCTGACAACACACACACACACACACACACACACACACACACACACACACACACACACACACACACACACAGGTAAAAACTTTACATAATCTTGTTTTCAAAAGCAAACAATCATAAAAAGTGATCTGGAATAATATTTTTTCTCTTAAAATGTTCTTGGGTTAAATTGATTATACATTTGTTATAAATTTGTAATAAACTTTTAATAATTAAGTAAAACAAACCAAATCTGATGAATGTGAAACTAACAGAAGTTCACCTTATCCAGGCTTTTTCTGATCTCTCCCAGAATGTCCAGAACATCTTGAGTAGCAATCACACCTGGAGACAAGAATCCAACAAGCTGACATGTGCTTGTGTGTATGCAACGCATGTGTGTGTGTGTGTGTGTGTGTGTGTGTGAATGCGTACCATGCCCAGATGCCACGTTCATCAGCAGCTGATGTTGCTGATGTGTTGGCTTGCTAAGGTAGATTACCCATGATCCTTCAGGGCTGTTCATTCTCCGAGCAAACACTCGCTCAATAATCTTCAACAACCTAACACCCTGATCCACACGGAACTCCTCCTGTTACACACACACACACACACGCATGAACACACACGCACGCACGTACACAGACACACACACACACACACACACACACACACATGCACACACACGCATAAGTCAATCTTCACAGACTAAAAAGCACAGCAAGATGAAATCTTGTTGCCAGGGCAACTAATAGTTTCCTGTTGTGGCTTGTGTTATTGTCATGGCAACAGATGCAACATTTTCTACTGAACACGCCAGAACAGGTCTGTGATCAGCTCTGTTCAGAGCTGGGCTCAGGGTAGCCCACATGATTTGATGTCACCTCCTGTTTAAGATCTGAACCAGTCCAAACCGGTCCCCGTGATCTGGACCAAGTCTTGTTTCTGATTCTGAAACCTGACTCTGGAATCTTACACAGTTCATGTTTTTGGTCATGTTCAGGATGACGTAGCCTCGAGCAGCCAGTTCACTCCAGTTCAAACAAACCACCTGAAACGTAAACCAAAAACACATAACCATTTAGAGCCTCAGTACATTTTAGAAAAGGCTGTTTTCACCTGACACAAATATCTACACACACCTGTCGTTGTTCCTCCGGATCGGACCTGAGCTCGCTCTCCGTGAAGCTGACGGTAGGAGACGGATCGGTGGTGAGCGCTAGGATGGGCCATACTCTTGTTTCCGCTCTTCTCAGCGTCTCTTTCTCATTTTTGTCTTTTGGTTTAAACTCTGGATAAAACCAGAAGGTTTGATAAAAGTGTTTTTGAAGTTGTTGGATTAGTTTGTGAGCAATGACCGTAAAAGCTGTGATGTCACCATGTTCACCTTGTTCCCAGTACTCCTCCTCTTCGAAACTGGGCTGTAGAGGCTCCCTGCTGGGAGCTGAGCCAACCTCTGGAGCTGTGGGATTCTGGGTAATCACACCTGTAAACATCAGGCCTGGTTCCTCCTCCCCTGTTTCATCTGCAACAACAAACCAAACATGAAACACAAGCATCAGAAATAATTTTCTCTCGTTTAGATGTAAGGGTTCATAATGAACTCTGGTCTGAAGGGCAATGTTTGTGTTTGTATGTGTAGAGGCTTGCTTTTGTAGCTTTTTGGAAATTAGGTGTACAAATACAGGCCATCTACCATTTTCAGTTATTAAACAAATAGAAATCAAGTTTTGAGAATACCCCTTGTGTAACTTCCCAGAAGCCCAAAGTCTGTGCCTGTGTCCGTTTCTGGGGTGGCAGTTCCAACATCTGCAGAAACATCTGGAACATCAGTGCTGGAGGCTGCTGTAGGTGCTGATGTTGACTGAACCAAAGAACTGGAAGAGCGAAGAAGTCCGTAGCCGCTGGACTGAGAGTCTCCATCCTTCTCTGCTTCCAGCAGCTCTCGATCGAAAGGACCTACCTGTTGGACAGGCTGGAGGTTAAAGTTCCTGACAAATGAAATATCTTTGATAATTATCCGATCACTATGACATGTGGGGTCCCTCAAGGCTCCAATCTAGGACTGCTACTCTTCAAGCTCTACATGCTCCCCTTGGGTCAGGTCATACTTAATAACAACATCAACTATCACAGCTATGCTGATGACACCCAGATCTACCTAGCCCTATCAGCTAGTGACTGCCGGCCACTGGACTCACTCTGTCAGTGCCTAGAACAAGTAAACGACTGGATGCAGTCAAACCTCATTCAGCTAAACAAAGACAAGACTGAAGTTACTGTCTTTTGCAACAAGAAGGATAGGATGGATGTTATTGCTCAGCTAGACTCCAGGGGAATAAAGACAAAGACCCAGGTTAGAAATCTTGGTGTTATTATTGACTCCGACCTGAGCTTCTCTGGACCTATTTTGGCTGTAACTAAATCAGCGTTTTATCACCTTCATCAAATATCAAGAGTCAGAGGTCTCATGTCCAGACCAGACTTAGAGAAAATCATTCATGCTTTTATTTCTAGCCAGTTGGACTACTGCAATGGTCTCCTAACTGGTCTTCCCTAACTGGTCTTCCCAAAAAAGCTGTGAAGCAACTGCAGCTTGTTCAGAATGCTGCTGCTAGAGTCTTAACAAGAACTAAGAGAACGGAGCACATCACTCCTGTTCTTAGATCCCTACACTGGTTACCAGTAAACTACAGAATAGACTTCAAAGTGCTCCTACTAGTTTATAAATCACTCAGTGGCATGGGACCAAAATACACGTCAGATCTCATTCCTGTGTATACACCCAATAGGGCTCTGAGATCCTTAGGTAACAATCAGCTGGTAGGACCTCGGGTCAGAACCAAACAGGGTGGAGATGCTTTTAGCTATTATGCTGCTCACATGTGGAATCAGCTCCCCCAGGACCTCAGATCTGCCCCAACTCTAGTGTTGTTTAAATCAAGACTTAAAACCCTCATGTACTCATCAGCTCATTGTCTCCACTGTAATCTCTGATGTAATTGCTCAACCTTAATTCTGCCTTTTCTTTTTGGCTCTAAATTATAATTTTATCTATGTATAGTTTTAATTTGTGTCTCCTGTTTATTGTCCTGCCATTTCATGCCAATTGTAAAGCACATTGAATTGCCCCTGTGTTTGAAATGTGCTATATGAATACAGCTGCTTTGCCTTGCCTATAATATTATATCCAGTAGTGGTTTGGATTCAGATCCATGTCTTTGTCTTTGTCCTTACCTCCAGAACTGAGGAGCCACGATGCTCCTGCAGCCCAGAATCATGCTCCTCATTCAGGAAGGAGTTGCTGTCGGGCTCTTTGGACGGATGCAGGGATGACGTGTAGCCTGTGACACAAAGATACATGCTAGAAACCTGTGTGTGTTGTCATTATAGTTAATAAATGATGTTCAGGACTCCTGCTGGATAGTTTCAGTCATGCTGATCCGGTTTCTGACCTCTGGCAGACATAAAGCAGCACGTTTACAGAAATAAAGGATCATAATTGATGTTTGGCTCCAGATATAAGTGGATCTACGATTATTACAGGCGGCGAAAGGTGTTCTGATTAAGCTGTCCACTAACCGATCAGAGCATCCAGGTCTGGAGATGAGTGATTAACCTCTAAGACTTCTGGGACATTGTGTTCATCCATCCCTCCTCCTGTTTTGTCATGCGCTTCTCTCTCTCTTTCTTCTCCTGTGTCTCGCTCCCACTCTTCTTCTTTTCTTCCCTCTTGGTCCTCTCCTTCGTCTCCTCTGTCTCTGTCCTCCATGTCCATCCCATAGAAACCAGAAGCCTCTTGGGAGTTATCTCCCGCCCCTGGGCCACCAACGAGCACCGTCTCTGGGTCAGCTGGGTATGAGGGTCCACTGTAGCCTTCTGGGTCCTGGGGGTCTATGAGATGAACCATATGCTGAAGGTGCAAAAACAATGTGATGAGCTATTGTGAGACACTGAGCTGGAAAATCTCAAATAATAACCCATCACAAAGAATCACATATGTCCCTGTGGGGGAGTGTTGGATTACAGATAAAGGTAAAACATCAGATGTCTGAGAAAATCTCATTTCAGATGGAGATGAGAGATGTGCTGGCTGAGAGAAGACAAAAAAACTGTTGTTTGCTTAGGAGTTAGAAAACCTCTTAAACTAGGCAGAGTTTGTTTGCTTGGATCCTGTAAATGCATCACAAAGCTTTGCCCTCTGAGTCATGTGACCTCCCATTAACGAGGTAAAGGCTCCATCCTATTGAGGTCCATCCCAAACCCAAAAAGTAGCTGCAAGCGTGATCAAACCTATAACTAACACTAAACTAAAACACTAAACGATATCAAAAAGATGAATCCTTTGTAACTAGGTGTGTGTGTGGGGGGGGGGGGGGGGGGGATGAGAATGAGAATGAGGGTGATGTGGGGTCATTTTAATCTGTAAGGCACTTTGAGCTGCATTAACTGTATGAAAAGTGTCTCATAAATAAAGTTTGATTTGATTTGATAACTGTCTAAGATCTGGTGCTTAAATGATGTTTCTAGCTGATGGTTTTTTTTTGATGGGGACTTTTTCTTTCAAACAGGACAAAGTTTTAAGGCAATATGAATGATTTCCTATTTTACTCCATGAGGTGTTGTTTTTGGCACATTTCATCACCATAGTAACCAAAAACATCACAAACCGTCACACATGATGCTGACACGCCGCTCGTTTCCATACTATTTCAGAACACTTTTCTATCCAAACCTCATTAAAGCATACAAATAATAATGGTGTCTCTATTTGTTTCTATGAGAAGAACAACCCTGAACAAAAGTTTAGGAGCTGTAAGCAAGATTTCATCTCCAGATGTTCATGTCATCCCGACTCACCTCCATCACATCATCCACATCAGGATCTTCTTCCACTGCAGCAGAGGTCCTGGCTACCTCCTGGTGTGGTGCATTAAGCTGTGAGGAATTAGCTGACTCCACTCTGGTCCGTGAACGGGACGTTTCGTGGATCTCCGGCCGGCCCAAATCATGAACCAAATGAGGCTGCGCTCGGACTAGCTCAGTGCCTGAGTGGCGTTTGGCTCTGACTAATTCCTGGACGAAATGTGACCGACCTGGGGTCTCATCCCCAAACAGAGGAGCCTGAGGAGGACGTAGTGGTATGACACGCTGAGAGGAACTGCGTCCGGAAGCTTCACAGCCGACCAGGAGGGCTATGGTAAAGAGAGAATAAATACAACGTCAGATATTTATCACACAGAGAAAAACTTTGGTCAGTAATCAAAATTTTATAAACCATTCTGAAAAAAGGAGTTGATCAAAAAAATTCCTCAAAAATAATTTACTGAAATGAAAAATTTTCCTATTTTGACCTTTTTTAGTGTTTAAAACATAAATGAACAGGAAACTCAGGAAATAAAAACAACTAATTATATATTCTATAAGAATTAATATTCTCAAAACAAACGCAAATCTTATAAAACTGAAACTACTTTCAGAATCTCATAGTAAACCTCTTGCTTTACGCATTTGCATAAATCAACAAAGGTTATACTTTCTCACTGAGCCGTTTTATTGTGATGTCAAGTCAACCAGAGGTGTGAGAAAATATCAATCACAAATATTTGGGTCAATAATTAAATCATGTTAGGAAACATGTTCGAATCACTGTTCACGTTCAGCTGAAAACACATCAATCTGCAGTGCAGCCCTTCAAAATAAGAGTCACTTATTTATCATGACCTGTGTTCATTTAGCTGTAAATATTTACTTTAATCACTGAAGGTCTGTTCATCAAAGCACTTTTATAAAAGAAGTTGTCTGAGCACGTGCAGCTAGAATATCCAGAGTTCACCTTTTAGGGAGGCTGCAGACAGACTTATGTCCGCAGGTGGCAGTGTTGAGCTGTTTGATTAAAACAGAACTGAACAGCTAGCTTTTAGTTATTCATGTATTTCACTGATTATTCAGCGTTTCACTGATTAAACCCTGGAATGCAGGCTTCATTATTATTTCTAACACTGAAAATAGAATGAAATTATTAACTCCGCTGTAGAGTTTCATTAACATCATCTTGTCATCAACAATGTTTTTGTGTGATTTCACGTTTCTGTCTTAAAGTCTAAAGATTTCTCTCTGATTTGTTTTTCAGTTTGTTTGTTTTTTTAGTTTTTTGTTTTGTGCGAAACGGTGTGTGTGTGTGTGTGTGTGTGTGTGTGTGTGTGTGTGTGTGTGTGTGTGTGGTGGTGGTGGTGGTGGTGGGGGGGGTCCCTGCTGAATCGTGTTTTGTTTAAATGTTTACCTCCATCATGCTGCAGGATGCGGAGACTCACCCGTCAGTGCAAGGAGGAGGACCGGGCCCGGCATGTCCGCTGCAGTCCTCCCGCCTCCGCTCCGAAAGAGATGCTCCTGGAGGATTGAAGGGGAACCAGTGCTCTCACGGCCGCGTCATGTCCGAGAAAGGTGCAGGTTTACCGGTTCCGAACACGCGGGAGGGACGGTAGGCGTCAGAGACCCAGAACCGAACCAGATCCGGTGCTGCAGCACTGAGCCTGAATCAGGTCTGCGACTGACTGCTGTGCCTGGTCTGACCACTGGAGGTCGCGCCCAGTGGCGTGTCCAGAGGGGTGCACGTGCCTCCCCTGCAAGAAGGCTGGCCACCCCAAAACTGAGTCAGTAAAACATCTATGACATATGGACAATAAAAACACATCTAGAACATGTAAAACGACATTGTTCTGTGTGTGCACGAAGCAGTACAAGTGATAATGCTGCTGGAATTCATTGTTGTATCCTTCTCAGCAGCAACAGCACTTTGCAATGAGTTTCAGATCAATTTCAGCCCGAAATATCAAATCTTTGCTATTCAGAAGTTTTCAGGATCAAGTTTTGGCTTTGAAAATTATAATTTTAATTTTGTTCCATAATTATTCATGCATGAAGAAGCTAGGTCAGATGTTTGTTTTAAAAAAAAATAGAATGATGTAAAATTAATTCAAACTCAAAACCTGCATTTTCTATATTGTTGCGAAGTAGTTTGTACCAGCAAAGCCAGTTTAAAGAAGAGACATTTTTTACCAAAACACTTTTATTTCTATCGGAACAGAGCAACAATTCAACATGAACATTAACATTTCTACTTTTATTTTCCAAATTTGAAGTGGAGCAACGTGGCCTTCAGAAATAAGCACGAAGGTCAGAAAAATTAAACATCAACACTTTAATGTGAAACATTTACATTTATTTACAACCAGCTTCAGAGAGAAACCAAACCAAAAGGCTCTGGTTCCATTTGTGACCCGATACCAGAGTTCAGCTCGTGCTTCTGAACAACCCAAGATCCCGTCGCCTCGCTGGTCCAGTGTCAGGAGGATCTTCCTCCTCAGAACTGCTGCAGGATCAGCTTCTTCTTGCCGTCGTGGCTGAACTTGTTGGAGTGGAAAAGGTCGCTGTCGTAGAAGGCCGACAGGCTGTGGATGTTGATCTGCCTCGCCTAAATGACGAGGAAGAGAACAACAATCAAGAGTCATAACCTTATCTAGAAAAGTTTGGTTTTGGTTGGAACCAGGAAGTGAAAACAGGTTTAATTTCCCTTCCCAAGTTAATAGAATAGACTGTTACAGCAGCACCAACACTTAAGAGAATAATAAGTTTCCCCGAAAGCTGGTTCATGAACGCAATTTAAAGTCTTTCAGGGTTTTACTTTAATTTTTAAGCTGGACATGAAGCGGGTCGTAGGTCTTTAACCTTTATGAGACCCTGAAATAAAACTCGTTCAGTTTAGAGATGTTCCCTGGAACCAAAACTGTTCTGGTTATCCTCTGCAGCTTTTGGACAATGCGAGTTAAGCGCCCAAAAAGTCACTTTAAAGATTTCACAGCATCTCTAGCTTTCATTTTGTTTCAGGTCAGGTGAAGAGCTCTCCAACAGCACCTGTAACACACCTCCAGCACCAGCAGGTGGCAGTAAAACACAGATCTAAACCAGGAAGGACTGAGAAATCTCAATCACAGGTTAACCCACATTACCCAAAATGCTTTGTGTGATGGACCAGCAGGTTAATGACGCTTCAATCCAAACTTAACTAACTGATGGGAAGTGAACTCCTGGTGGTTTAAGCGTGAGGTTTCTAAATAATGAACTGCTTTGATGAGCTCCAGGTGTTCTGAGATACATGTGGATGTTTGAAACTCTTATTTTGAAGGAGTGAAAGACGTAATTTATGTTGCGGGAGTAAAAGCTGAACTAGGTATCAACAAAGCATCCTGTTTTTTTCTGTTTACTCAGTGGAAACCACAAGGTCGAGACGTCTCCTCCTCACCTTCTCTTGCAAATCCTTCTCTGGGACCTCGATGGTGTCGTTCTGGACTCCGTACCGGCTCCTCTGGTAGGCCACCTGCTCGGCCACCAGCTGTTTGAGGATGAAGAGCAGCAGCTCGTTGTTGTCCCGGCGGAATGACAGGTAACGGGCAAACGTCTGTAAACAAACAAATCGGGACTTAAGACTCCTCCTGACTGACCCTGGTGGCTTTTATGGTTCTAGCAAACAACTCCAGACCTTCCTCATGCTCCTCATGACACTGAATTTCTGAGTGTCGATGAAGCTCTCCAGCATCACCCTGATGGCCATGTTGACATCGTCCTCCAGGACGTAGTCCCTCAGGTGCATCTTTGCATGCGACTCAGCCATCCTGATCATGGACTCGATATGCCGAACGGTGATGGGAATGCTGCCGGTGGCCTGCAGGAGGAGCAGAAACGTTGCTTGCCGCGTTTACTTCAGGAACGCTTTAAACTCACTGAGCCGCGACCGGAGGAGACATAAAGCTGGAACCCGAACGCTTGTGTTTTTTTATTCTGTCAGGTGAAACAGACATCATCTTCTATAATGACGTCTCTATTTGGTCTCCATCTCCTCCCAAACTCGTTACACAGCTCACCCACTCTGACAGAAACTAAACGGTTAGACTCTCATCTGTCCCAGCATCCTACAGGACTCACCATGGACTCTTTGCGCAGGTCGCTGTAGATCCGAGCCACCTTGTCCTGATCCATCTGGTTCAGTTTGGGGTGAACCTGAACACACACGTCACAGATCAAAGTCTCCAGCTGTGAGACTAAACCATCCACCTGCGGGTTTAGGAGCTCCTACCCGATCTTTGGCGTAGATGATGTACTTCCTCAGTAGCTCCTGAGGAATTGGAGGAACGTCCGACGAGTTGGGAAGAGCCATCTCCTCCAAGGCCACGCCCCCTTCCTTGTTGCTAGGGTGATGCTTGATGTGGGAACCGACGACAAACCGGGCCAACATCTCGTCCTTCGTAACAGAAAGGTTCAAACGGATTTAAACTTTGTTTTTATCTGCTGTTAAAGTTCTAATTTAATCGGAAACTAACGTCTGGTTTCAGTAATAATGAATCACTGATGTAAAACACAGAGAATCCCAACCCTTACCTCGGTGAATGAGCTTTAATCGTCCGTTTGTTTAAACTTTATTTGGTTTAATAAAGGTTTAGTCTCATTTATGATTGCAAATATTTTTCCGTTAGTTTCAATAATCATCGAAAACCATAAACCCCTCCGAGCTTCATGAAGGAACGCTTTTAATCAAATATAAATAAATAGTCTGATTAACGATTAAAAACTGAAATCAGGTGAAGTTTCTGCAGCAGTGATGCCGTGCGTGTGTGTGTGAGTGCGTGTGTGTGAGTGTGTGTGTGTGTGTGTGTGTACCTGCACAGGGTCGACTGTGTCTCGGACAACACACAACACATCAAACCGAGACACGATGGGCTCAGTCAGGTCCACGTTCTCGGCGAATGTGAGCGACGGGTCATACCTGCCACCTGAAACCGAACAAAAGACAAGTCAGGAAAACGAATCACACCCAGAAACCAAAACCAGCCGCGCTCGGCTCCACCTCCCACTGAGCTCAGGAATGAAAACAGCTGATGTGGCCAGCTCTCTGTGGGCCTGAAGGATCTGCTGTCAGGCAGCTGGTTGGTTGTTTTAAACACAATCTAATAAAATGAACGACGTTTCCACGGTTACAGACGGGTCGTGGCTCTGACGTACCGATGGGGTTTGCCGCAGCGATGACGGTGCAGCGAGCCTGCAGCGAGGTGACGATGCCAGCTTTGGAGATGGAGATGCTCTGCTGCTCCATGGCCTCGTGGATACTCGTCCTGTCAGCATCGTTCATCTGGAGGTCAAAGGCCACGAAGGGTTATGAAGTTCTCATTCAATTATCAGCGAGAGGTAATCTCATCTTCGTTCTCCCGAAGGGACCGAACGGGTCTCAACTCACCTTATCGAACTCATCGATCAGACACACGCCGCGGTCGGCCAGCACCAGCGCTCCAGCCTCCAAGGTCCACTCTCTGGTCACCGGGTGTCTCTGAACGTAGGCTGTCAGACCGACGGCAGACGCCCCCTGACCCGTGGTGAACACAGCTCGACTCGCCACCTTCTCCACATACCTGTGGAGGAAAACGCCTGATCAAACAAACCACTTCCTGCTCAGCATCACTTCCTGCTCCACCGTCCATCTTTGTTATGCTAATGTGTTTCCTGATGTTTGATCTGGATGTTGGCGAACCCTTGGAACAGAACTCGGACTGTGTGGTGATCATCTGCAGGATCGTGTTTGGTGCCTTACTTAAGGAACTGGGACTTGGCAGTTCCCGGGTCTCCGCACAGCAGCACGTTGATGTCTCCACGTACTTTATGTTTGCCGCCTGCAGGAGAATCAGACGAGCAGCGTTAACGAACATCCGACCCGACGCGATCTGGATTTCAGCCGGGAGTCAGTACCTGGATTTTTGGACTCTCCTCCAAACAGAGACAGAGCCAAAGCTCTCTTTATGTCCTCGTGTCCGTAGATGGACGGCGCCATGCTAGCGAAGATCTGCACTCATCACAACAACCAGAGTCGTTTAAGAGAACCGGCGACCCTGTTGGGTTCTGATCCGACAACTGTGTGCCTCACCCTCTCTCCGATGCGTTCGTCTTTGGACAGGGCAACGATGGCCTTGATGTCTTCGTCTGTGAGTTCGGCCACGGCCACGCCCTCATCCCTGCGAGTGATGTGATTGGCCATGATCAGTGTGGCGAACACCGGGAATCCATTAGTTGTGTTCAGAGAGCCGTCGTAGTTGTTGTGGTAGATTCCCGTCAGCTCCTGATGAGGAAAGCACGATGAAAATGTGCCACCAACCGAGCTAGCGGTCAGTTTTATCCCTCAGACGTTCGGGAGTATCCCGGAACTCCTGAAAGCAGATTTGAACTCACGATCTCGTCTCCGGGCTTGCAGCTGTCCACCAGGTCGGCCAGCAGGATGGCGTCTTTGGAGCGAGGGAGTCGGCCAGCCGCCACTTTTCCAGGACTTTCCTGGATGGTGATCCTCTGGTAGTTCTGGTACACCGTCTGTCCAAAGGAAAAACATCCAGGTTCCTCTCAGAACGTCCAATTTAAGTGTTTTTTTGTTGTTTTTTAAATATCAGCGCTCACCTCCTCCATGTTGATCTCGAAGGGCCCCTGCGACTGACACTCCGGGCAGGATCCTGGCTTCACCTCCTGGTTCTGGGACTGGAAGAAGGGTCCGAGCACGAAGCTGCACTTGTTACAGTTGTATTTAACCATGCTGAGCTGAGGCAGGACTCCGGTACAGCTGCTCACCACGCCGCTGGTCCGGATCAACTGGTTCAGGTGGAGCTGCCTGAGGACCAGAGCAGAAGAACGTTTGTGAACAACACAGGACTTTAACAGCATCGCGGAGATGTTTAAGAGCCTGGAAGCTGCGCTACCTGAGCGATCGAATCTCCTCGACCAGCGGCAGGTTACAGATCCGGACGTGGATCTCGTGAGCGATGCGGTCGTATTTTGGATACATGGTGAGAACTACTTCTTTGGCTGCTTCATCAAAAATCTGACAAGAGAAATGTTTGGGTTCATTAGAAAAAGTCCTAATTATATTTTGACTTCCACGATGATAAAAACTCACCTTCAGCATCTCCGTTGGAGCTTCTGGGAGGAAATAGGCCAGAACGTGCTCCCTGGCAGCGAGGTCTTCGTAGTTCACCACCAGACTCTCCTTATTCTCTGAGACATCGGGACAAAAAGCAGGATTAAGGTTTTTCAACTCCTCTCCACCACCGTTCCTCCGTAGCAGAGATCTCAGCTACCTTTGCACATGTCACTGATCTTCTCCTTAAACACGTTGTGGCCATTCTCGTCCACGTGGGTCCGAAGGAAGTTCTTGAAGCGGTTGTAGATCTCGAGCCGCGGAGCTGCCATAGACACCCACTCCCTCACCGTGTGTCCCTGAAGGACGGGAGGGGATTAAAAACCCAATGTGACGGTAGAGGGGCCTGAAAGAGCTCCACAAACCTTCATGTCTTCCAGGTTCTCGATGCTCTCGATCATCTCCTCCTCATCTCCATCTGCGATGCCCTCAGCGGCGCGCTCAGCCAGACGTCTTCGCCGGGCGGCAGGACGCTCATCGTCCTCGTCTTCGCTGTCTGAAAACAGCAACAAGGCAACACTTTCAGTGTTTTCATTCAATTGGATTAAAGCCGTTCTCCAGAAATGGGTCCGCTCATCTCCATCCTCACCATAAAGGAGTCCTCTCCTCAGACGTCCACTGAGGCCCTGCTCCCGGTCCCTCCTCCTCATCGCCTCCTCGGCAGCGGCTCGAGCTCCCGGCGACAGCTCCGACAGATCCTCGTCATCCAGATCCAAGCCCTCCATCTCGTATTGGTCCAGTGCCGGAATGGGGCGGTAATCTCTGGAAGAGTAGATCCACTTATCATTATGAAGCTTCCAAACAAGCTTCTGATCTCACAAACTGGTGTTCACCTCTCCATCCCATCTCCAATCAGATCCTCCCCGTCTGCCTCCTCCTCCTCCTCCAGACCCCCAGGCAGGGGTCCGTCCCCAAGCAGCCCCTCGGACTCATCCTCAAATGGGGGCAGGTCCCGTCCTGGGCTGGAGGTCAGGTCTCCTCTCCTGGAGGGTCGGTTGGGGCTGGTGATCACGTGGAACGACTCAGAGGAATCCTGTCAACAACAACAGTTACATCTCCAAACGGGCTGATCGGTAACCCTTGCAGGCAATTGGAGGGTGCAATCGTAATGTTAAACAAAATAAACTAAAGTGCAGAAATTTTGTTTTAACCCCCCCCCCCCCCCCCATGTCTTAATTAGATAAAAAGAAAAAACTAAATGACCAGAACATCAAACAGCTCAAGAGCTTTTCAGTGGAGCATTTTAACGTTTACTGTATAAAACCAAACTAAGTTTAGTTTGAGTTATTGTTAGTTGTCTTAATTTGTTTTATTTTGAAAGATTACAATAACGGGTTTCTGGGTATAGAAGAACCTCTTGGTGCAATTTTAAATAATCCGAAATAACAAGGGAAATGTTTTCCCTGATGAATAATCTGCGTACAGCAGACAAGAAACAGCTCAGAGTAAAGAAGAAGAAGAAAGTATCATTTCTATAGCGCCTCTGAAGATAAAAAATGTAAAAATATAAAAAAGCATTTAGAAAATGTTTAACAATATATTTAAAATGAGCATAAATAGACAATTGTGATTAAAAAAATGTTAAGAAAGAGAGGGAGTGAATAGGAAAGAGGGAAATCAGTGGATCCTGAGGAAGGTGGAATAGGTGGGGAGAGCAGAATAAAGAGAGTGGTGAAGAAGGTCATACAAAAGTCAGCATGAACAAGTGAGTCTTCAGCTATTTTTAAAGGAGACCACTTTATTAAACAGTTGTTAAATAAAGAAAAGGCCACATGAGGACACGATCAGTCACTTCTGTGTTGTTGTAACTAAAGGAGATTTTCGGCTGATTTACGTGAGATAATCTGGACTTTCTATACGTTTAAATCTCAAAAACTCGACTTGAATGCATAAAAATCAGACAAACTGAAGCTGCCACATGGCAGCTCTCCGTTACAAACACCATAATTATTGTTTCTAATAACGTAAAACTAAATAAAACACTCTTCAGCATCGTTGTCGGTCACGATCCTGCATTAAAACATCTAAAACTAATCCTGATTTCCAAAAGAAAAGTTCGGATTCTTAAACAGTGAAAGTCTTTGTGTGCTTGTTTCCACAAACGAGATAAGTCAGCAAAAACTACAGCGATAAACTGGAGTTAATAAACGGCATCTTCTTTCGTTTAAGCAATAAAACCTAATTAAAGCCCGTTTTTGTTGTTTTTCACGGCTTTACTGTAACTCACCGCCATTGCTGAGCTGAGCTGCTGCTGTTTCTTCAGTGGACGACGCTGCTTCTTCTTCCTGCCCGGTTGTCCCTTTTCGCGCGAAATCGACCACGTGGAGCTCAAAGCCCGCGAATGAATATGAATATTCAAAGAGAATGCCGATGCTGCTCTTTCTCATTGGCTGAACAGATTTCAAGGGGCGGGTCTTCCTTTACGATTTGTTCGGTTTTGTCGCTGACTAGCAGCTGAATCTGCGGTGTCTCGGATGGTCTCGGTAGATACCACCCTTCAGCGGCCTGAGCCGCAGAGATAAACAAACAAACCCTCCTTGTGTGGTGTTCGTGACGTAGATAGTATGCGTTCAATTTCTTCAAGAGTTTCGGAAATTGGGTGGATTATTTTACACATAACTGCTTAGTTCAGACAGACAGACAGACAGACAGACAGACAGACAGACAGACAGACAGATGATAGATAGATAGATAGATAGATAGATAGATAGATAGATAGATAGATAGATAGATAGATAGATAGATAGATGGCATGTTTAATAATAATAATAATAATAAGACCACAGCTAAACTTATGAATTAATATCACTACGTTCATCACAAGAGAAATAACACTATTAGTGTTATTCATAATAATACAAAACCATCCATTGGTTATTGTTTCATTTGATTCACTTGGCATGCAGGTCATACAAAGACAGGACCTTTTTAGAGCCATGACTAATATAATTAATGAGTTGAAACTGTTAGTTGAGTTCTGTGATATTTGGCTCTTTGAAAGGATCTCACTGAATCTGTTGTAGAACCACAACCAGGACTATTCTGTGATTTGGGCGAAGTCCTGAGATGTTTCTTATGAGTCACTGAAATGCTGCAGGACAGGAGGAGGAGGATGGATTTCTGAGCCTCCTATTGGCTGAGAAGCTTTGCAGGTAGGCTCTGATTGGCTGGGATGATGTGAGCAGAAATACTTGAGTCTTTGTTGAAAACAAGCTCCACTCAGTCTTGCAGCTGAGCAAAACCAGGTCAACAATTCGAGAACAGAGCATCAGCTGTTGCAGGACCTCAACGCTGCACCATTAATGTTTGTGTAAAAAAAAAGCAGTCATCAATAAAGCAGGGAGAAACTCTGATTCTGTTCCACTCTGCTGCATGTTGGGGCAAAATCAGACTGCGGTCAAGTGAGCCGCACCTACAATTGAAGTGCGCGTTTACACGATAGTTTACGGCAACACCCGTCTCGCTGCTGGAGAGGAGCTGAGATGAGCGACATAATGGGCTATCAGGATGACACAGACCTGCAAAATGTACCTCTTTGATAAAGGATAGAATTGTGTTTTAAAAAAAGGACACTAAGCATCCTATACATACATACTAAGTACCTCGAGTACTATCTGGTACCAAAGTATGAACTACTTTTACTGTGTACTTTTTCAGTGATTGTACTTCAAAATGTCCAAAACGCCAAAAGTGCCGAGTTTGAGATAGGATAAAATGGCTTTTTGGAAAAAGGACACTAGGCCACCTATACACACATACTAAGTATGTCGAGTACTATCTGGTAACAAAGTATGAACTACTTTTACTGTGCACTTTGTCAGTAATTGTACTTCAAATTATGTACAAAAAGCTAAATATGCCGTGTTTGAGATAGGATAAAATGGTATTTGGGAAATAGAACACTAGGTCACCTATAGTTGCATACTAAGTACCTTTATTACTACCTGGTACTAAAGTATGAACTACTTTTACTGAGTACTTTTTAAGTAATTGTACTTCAAAATATGTCCAAAAAGCCAAAAGTGGCAAGTTTAAGATGGGATTAAATGGTATTTGGGGAAAAGGACACTAGGGCTAGGCCACCTATACATGCATACTAAGTACCTCGATTACTACCTGGTATCAACGTATGAACTACTTTTAGTATCCTCTGGTACGGTCCCATCCCTATTCAAATCCGCTTCAGTCAGCCCTATTCTAAAAAAACCTGGTTTAGATCCCAATGATTTCAATAACCTCCGTCCCATTTCCCATCTTCCCTTCATTTCCAAAGTCCTTGAGAAAACTGTTGCATCTCAGCTCCATTCACATCTCACCCGCAATAACCTTTATGAACAGTTTCAGTCTGGCTTCCGTCCCCACCACAGCACAGAAACAGCTCTCATCAAGATCACTAACGACCTACTCATTGCTGCTGATTCTGGTTTAATCTCTATTCTTATTCTCCTCGATCTGAGTGCGGCCTTTGACACCATTTCTCATCCCATCCTCCTTAATAGACTCTATTCCTTAGGCATCACTCACACCCCCCTCCGCTGGTTTCAATCTTACCTTACTGGCCGCACTCAGTTCATCCAGTTAAAATCCTTTACCTCAGAACCCTCCCCAGTCAAGTCAGGTGTGCCCCAGGGCTCTGTCCTGGGGCCCCTCCTCTTCATAGTATATCTCCTCCCTATCGGCAAAATCTTCCGCAAATTCAATATCCAGTTTCACTGCTTTGCAGATGACACCCAGCTCTACATTTCCAGTAAGCCCAACTCAACTCTCCCACCATCCTCCCTTACACTCTGCCTCTCTGAAATCAAATCATGGTTCACCTCTAATTTCCTCAAACTCAACGGCAATAAAACTGAACTTCTTCTAGTTGGCACTAACTCCACCCTCTCAACATCTGACAGCTTTTCTTTAACTATTGACAGTGCCACAGTCTCCCCCTCACCTCATGTCAAGAGTCTGGGTGTCATTCTCGACAGCTCCCTTTCTTTTCAGGCTCACATTAATAACTTAATTCGGTCAGCATACTTCCATCTACGTTCCATAAACCGTCTTCGTCCCTCACTGACCCCTCACACTGCCGCCATTCTCGTCCACAGCCTCGTCACCTCCCGTCTCGACTATTGCAATTCACTTCTTTATGGTCTCCCCAACAAACTCCTTCATAAACTGCAACTGGTCCAGAATTCAGCAGCCCGTATTATCACCAGAACCCCTTCCTTTCACCACATCACGCCGGTTCTCCAGCAGCTCCACTGGCTCCCAGTTAAATTCAGGCCCATCTTCAAAATTCTCCTCCATACATTCAAAGCAATCCACAACCTCTCTCCTCCATATATCTCAGACCTTATAAGTATTCACACCCCGTCCCGTTCACTCAGATCTTCTTCTTCCATCCATCTTGCGGTTCCTTCTGCCCGTCTCGCTACCATGGGGAGCAGAGCTTTCAGCCGCTCTGCTCCTCGACTCTGGAACTCACTTCCCCCAGACATCAGGAACATCGACAGTTTTACCCTTTTCCAATCAAAACTCAAAACACATATGTTTAAATCTGCCTACAACCTCTGATTTTATTGAAATGTTTCTCTCTGTTTTTTCTTCTTTGGGTTTTATTATTGTTTTATTGTATTTTATTACGTGTTTTGTGTAAAGTGACCTTGGGTGTCCTGAAAGGCGCTTTGAAATAAAATGTATTATTATTATTATTATTATAGTACTTTTTCAGTAACTGTACTACAAGTTGTCCAAAAAAGCCAAAATTGCCATGTTTGAGATGAGATAAAATGGTATTTGGGAAAAAGGACACTAGGTCACCTATGCATACATACTAAGTACCACGAGTGCTACCTGGTACTAAAGTATGAACTACTTTTACTGTGTACTTTTTCAGTAATTCTACTTCAAAGTATGTACAAAAAGCCAATAGTGCCGAGTTTGAGATGGGACGAAATGGTATTTGGGAAAAAGGACACTAGGCCACCTATACATGCATACTACGTACCTCAAGTACTACCTGGTATCAAAGTATGAACTACTTTTTTCATGTACTTTTTCAGTAATTGTACTTCAAAGTACAAACAAAAAGCTAAATGTGCCGTGTTTGAGATAGGATAAAATGGTACTTGGGAAAAAGGACATTAGGCCACCTATACATGCATACCTCGAGTACTACCTGGTACCAAAGTATGAACTACTTTTTCAGTAATTGTACTACAAAGTATGTCCAAAAAGCCAAAATTGCTGTGTTTGAGATAGGATAAAATGGTATTTGGGAAAAAGGACACTAGGTCACCTAAACATACTTACTAAGTGCCACGACGAGTACTACCTGGTACCAAAGTATGAACTACTTTTACTGTGTACTTTTTCAGCTATTGTACTTCAAAGTAAGTACAAAAAGCTAACGTGCCGTTTTTGAGATAGGATAAAATGAGATTTGGAAAAAAGAACACTAGGCCACCTATACATGCATACTAAGTGCCTCGAGCACTACCTGGTACCAAAGTAAGAACTACTTTTACTGTGTAATTTTTCAGTAATTGTACTACTAACTATGCTCAAAAAGCTAACGTGCTGTGTTTGAAATGGGTTAAAATGGTATTTGGGGAAAAGAACACTAGGCCACCTATACATACCTGCTAAGTATAATGAGTACTACCTGGTAGCAAAGTATGAACTACTTTCACTGTGTATTTTTTCAGTAATTGTACTACAAAATACGTACAAAAAGCTAACGTGCTGTGTTCGAGATAGGATAAAATGAGACTTGGAAAAAAGGACACTACGACCTCTGGAGACCCTTTCCAACTACCTAGTACTGTAGTATTGTACCAGGTGGTACTATTTTTACTTTTATTGTTCCTTTTACCTGTTATTGTAATTCAAACTAAGTAAAAAAAGTCATTTTTTGAGATACAAAGAAAAAGTTTTTCAAAAACGATAAATGTTATTTGACTAAATTCTGGACAATTCTTTCAGAAATGCAAACTTCTATCTAACAGCCAGTATGCGTTCATAGGTGATGGTAACATATTGTTTGAAGGGGAGACTTTACAGGACCTTCTGAGCGATGTTTACTCAATTTAACAAACTAATAACCTGGTTTGATAAAAAAAAAAATTGGTATACTGTGTGGGAATCAAATTTGGGAAATACAATTGTAATGTCATGATAAATGGTTTAAGTACTTTAAAATTTAATGAAATCTAGTTTATGGGTGATAGACCACAAGATCTGCCAGAAACCTCACTTTCAACATACTGCATTCAACCTAAAGTATTTTGGAGTATTTCATTCCTTAGTTAAGCAAAATCTGTATTGAATAATCAAGCATTACATTTTGTATATTGGTCATTTTTTGGCCATATTCGAACTGTTGTGTTGAAGTTTGGGAAAACACAACTCTTCATAACCTGTACGCTCACTTCAGAAAAGAGCCATCAGAATACGACAGGTTACCAGAGTCACATTAAAGAGTTATTTACAAACGCCTGCTAAAACTCCCACATCTGGTTGAACTTCAAACAGACCAGCTTGTACAAAGAAAGAAACAAACAATTACCAAGTAATTTATGTACAAATTTTATCTTACTTACTTTTTACTTTTGGGATCAAATTCCCTCTGGGATTAATACATTATTTTTGAATTGAATTAATTGAGAGGGGGATTATAACTACAAGGGAAGCATCAAATTCTCATTCAGGACTGTTAAAAAAACCATGGAGAGAATGTGCACCCCACTCTGTGGTGTGAAGGTGTGGAGTTACCTCAGTCAAGACTTGAAGCAATAGCCACACATGAATTTGTTTAAGAAACATTTTTTTAATAAGTATATAGACGAATGTGGGAAATGGAGTTGATAGTGCGTGGCTCCAACGCCGCGAATAGGAATGTATATTGTGCTTGACTTTTATCTTGTTGGGTGTGTGTTTGTAGATAGATTGTGAGGGAATTGGTTCTCCATTGCTTTAACTGTTACTCTGTGATATGCTATGACTTGGTTGATACATTGCAGTATAGAAGAACAAATAATACAGTCATGGCCAAAGGTTTTTAAAATTGCATAAGTATTGGAAACTGGAAAAGTTTCGGATTTTTTTATAATAATAAGCATAAACTCCAGAAAGTTTTATTTCAGTACATCACAGAAACAACTGAGACAAAGATCTGAAAGGAGTTTATTAAAACTCTTGTAAAAACTAATACTTGTGTCATTCTCAAAATTTTTAGACATGACTGTAGTTATTTTTTGCATTATACTATTTGGAAAAAAACTATCTTGAAATATTGGAGAGGGTTGAATAAGTTTCACTTCTTCCAACTCCATGTATAGGTGGCCTAGTGTCCTTTTTCCCAAATCTCATTTAATCCTATCTCAAACACGGCAGGTTAGCTTTTTGGAAAATACTTTGAAGTGCAATTACTGAAAAACTACACAGTAAAAGTAGTTCATACTTTGTTACCAAATAGTACTAGAGGTACTTAGTATGCATGTATAGGTGGCCTAGTGTCCTAGTTCCAAAATGCCATTTTATCCAATCTCAAACTGGCCACTTTTGGCTTTTTGTACGTACTTTGTAGTACAATTACTGAAAAAGTACACAGTAAAAGTAGTTCATACTTTGGTACCAGGTAGTACTAGAGGTACTTAGTATGCATGTATAGGTGGCCTGGTGCCTTTTTTCCAAAATGCCAATTTATCCTATCTCAAACACGGCACATTAGCTTTTTGGACACAAGTACAATCACTGAAAAAGTACACAGTAAAAGTAGTTCATACTTAGGTACCAGGTAATACTCGAGGTACTAAGTATGTATGTATAGGTGGTCTAGTGTCCTTATTCCCAAATCTCATTTTATCCTATCTCAAACACGGCACGTTAGCTTTTTGTACGTATTTTGAAGGACAATTACTGAAAAAATACACAGTAAAAGTAGTTCATACTTAGGTACCAGGTAATACTCGAGGTACTAAGTATGTATGTATAGGTGACCTAGTGTCCTTATTCCCAAATCTCATTTTATCCTATCTCAAACACGGCACGTTATAGTTTTTGTACGTATTTTGAAGGACAATTACTGAAAAAGTACACAGTAAAAGTAGTTCATACTTTGATACAAGGTAGTACTCGAGGAACTTAGTATGTATGTATAGGTGGCCTAGTGTCCTTTTTCCAAAATGCCATTTTATCCTATCTCAAACTCGCCACTTTTGGCTTTTTGTACGTAATTTGTGGTACAATTACTGAAAAAGTACACAAGAAAAGTAGTTCATACTTTGGTACCAGTAATAGAGGAACTTATTATGTATGCATAGGTGGCCTAGTGTCCTTTTTCACAAATCTCATTTTATCCCATCTCAAACACAGCACTTTTGGACATACTTTGAAGGACAATTACTGAAAAAGTACACAGTAAAAGTAGTTCAAACTTTTGTACCAGGTAGTACCCGAGGTACTTAGTATGTGTGTATAGGTGTCTTAGTGTCCTTATTCCCAAATCTCATTTTATCCTATCTCAAACGTGGCACGTTTAGCTTTTTGTACGTATTTTGAAGTACAATTACTGAAAAAGTACACAGTAAAAGTAGTTCATACTTTGGTAGCAGGTAGTACTCGAGGTACTTGTGTATAGGTTTCTTAGTGTCCTTTTTCCCAAATACCATTTTATCCTAACTCAAACACAGCACTTTTGGCTTTTTGGACATACTTTGAAGTAGAATTATTGAAAAAGTACACAGTAAAGGTAGTTCATACTTTGGTACCAAGTAGTACTCGAGGTACTTAGTATTTGTGTATCAAAAAGGCACATTTAGCATTTCAGCCCATTCTGTGTCGCTTTTCTCATCTCTTCTCCAGCAGCGAGAGTTTCCGTAAAGTACCATGTAAATGCGCACTTCATTTGTAGGTGCGGCTCACTTAACCACGGACAAACGAACGACGGCTCACTTGACCGCAGTAAAAGAAACCTGCTCGCTTCATGTTGCAGGGGGTGGAGAAGAAAAACAGGCCAGGCGGACAAATCAGAAGGAAAATCCAGAGCTTCAGGCCAGAACATTTGAGAGACATGAGAGGGAGAAAAAAGGAGAGGGCGAATCAGAGCGAGTGGATGAAAGAGGAGACGTCTGGTTGCTGCAGGGCAGCAGGAGCGACTGGGCGGGGAGAGAGGAAGTGTGGTCCACAGCAGAGCAATTGTTCTGGAAGAACAGAGGCAGACAGAGAGAGGAAGACGAGTGGACAAGATGGACATCAGCCCAGCCATGGAGAAGGTAAAAACATCTGATTTAAAGATGCTTCCAGATGTGGAAGTCATGGTCAGAGGGTCTGTGGAGCTGAGGTGAGGTGATGATCCACCTCCTTTTGGAGGCTTTTCAGAGTAAAAGTCAGAAACAAGAGGCTCTACTAAGTTTATTTTCTCTTTAATTTTTATTTAGTTTTATTTTAGTTTATCTTACACAATGAAAAGGTGGAAGACAAATAATTATTGATTAATACTGACTTGATTCAAAGTTTTTTTTTAGCTTTTCTCACATGGAGCATCATTTTAGCCACTTAATAGGTAAGAAAAGTAAGTCCTTCTGTAGAAACAATGCCTCAGTGAAATAAATAAAATTAAAACTGATTGTATGTGATCAAAACTTAGATTATATATTTTTTATTCCTTGTATTTATTTATTTTTAGAACTTGATTCATATCCTAATGTAAAATTTAAAAAGCAGAAATTGAGTACAGTTTTCTAAATAAGGATTTTTTACATTTTCCAGATGTGCAAAAATAAATGAGCTAATTGGACAAAAGAGAAGGTGAAAACTGCCTTTGTGTTTCAGATCAGCTGATTGTTTGTTTACATTTTTGTGATTTGCAATCAATCAATCAATCAACCAATCAAAGCTTTATTTATGTGAAGTCAGTTTGAGACTTCTGCCTCCTGCAGGTCTGGTAGCAGGTTGTTTGCTGTGGCCCCCAGGCTCTGGAACTCTCTCCCCCTGAGCCTGAGATCAGTGGACTCCTTTAAAAGCAGCTAAAAACCCACCTGTTCAAGCTGGCTTTTGTATGACCATCTTCACCACTTATTCTGCTCTCCCCACCTATTCCACCTACCTCAGGATCCACTGATTTCCCTCTTTCCTATTATCTCTCTCTCTCTTTACATTTTTAATCACAATTGTCTGTTTTTGCTAATTTAAAATATATTTTTAACCATTTTCTAAATTCCTTTTTGTATTTTTACATTTTTTGTTTTTGTGAAGCACCTCATGATTTTTATCTTGAGAGACGCTTTAGAAATTATATTTTCTTCTTCTTCAAGTTTGGTCCGATAACTGGATGGGTCAGAACCGGTCAGAAGCTGGTTGATCCTGGATTTGAGCCCTGGGCTGGAAAAAGTGTCACCCCCAGGATAGAAATAACTCCCAACACAGGCAGACGGAGCCAAAACATGAAACAAACACTCAGAATAAACAAACAACACCTGATTGAAATCTCCATCAGTTTTCTTTTATTATTATCCATTTCATCCCAACAAAGCTTCCAAAATCAGCCCAAAGTTATGGAAATGTACAGCTTTACAACACCTGAAAATTTTAATATCATTAAAACTTCATCATTTGGTTCATAAATGATTTATTTTGAATGAGTTGATTAACATAAGAAAATGTAAACAAAAGAAGGCTTTTTTCTTCATGAATCAGAAAATAACCTAATGAATGAATAAAATAGGTCTAAATAAATTAGTTTGAAAATTAAATCAAATTAAAACAGGAAGAAATCAGAAACTAACAGTTTATTAATTTGATCCTGGATGGAATCATTTTTATTAATTCACAGACACAAGATTTGGTATAAAACACTAAAATGGGTCTGTTATTCCTGACTGGACTAACAGGATATTCTGGATAATCTGTGATAATTTCTCCACTGTGACTCATCGTGTTTTAAAATGAGAACTGTATCAGGTTTAGTTTGAGTTTGGAGCATCAGGAAACTGAAGCAGACCCTGTGAGTGAGACTCAGGAGAACGACCTCCAGCTTCTTATCTCACAGTGCTTCCTGTACTTTATTCTTCACATAGCCGTCATGTTTAAAATGCCAGTCTGCCCCCCCCCCCCCCCCCCCCATCTAAATATAGGACTGCTGCATCACTTCAATAGAGAGACAACAGGGTCCTGTTGGTTTAAATCTCTCATTCTAGAACAAATCTTTGACTTGTTGTTTTTAATGCAGTTAATAAAATACTTATTTCTGTATCTGGTGAGCAACAAGTCACAGGTAAAGGTAAAGTCACAGAGGAAGCAGGTCCAGGAGGGAACCCCAGACACCCCTCTGCTCCTCCTGGAGGATCTATCACACAAAGGAGGATACATAATCCCTCCAGTGAGTTCTGGATCTCCTCCTACGACCTCCAGAGGGAAGCAACCAGGAGACGCCCTGAGAAGATGACCAAACCACCTCTGCTGAATTTAATCAATGAGGAGGTGCAGCAGCTGCACTCCGAGCTCCTCTCATCTCTATACCTGATCACCCTACGTGGGAAGATCATTTCAGCTGCTTGGATCCAGAATCTCATGACTGTAGCTGAGGGTTATAAGACTGATGAGCTAGAGGTTCTTCACCTGGAGAGTCCAGATTAACATCCTCATTTCTGCAGACAATCCGTTGGTCCATCCATCTCCTCTATCCCAAGCACCAGGGTGCAACATTCCACTTCTTTCTGCTTCAACCATGAATTTGGAGATGCTGATGCTGCTTCACACCCGACACTCCACAACTTCCAATCAGCATCAGGAACCAGCTGGGCTCAAAAACAAAACGTTGCTGACAAAACACAGAAAGTACTAAGCTAGTCAGAAACTCTCTGGAGGCATCGTTGAGCCTCAGCTGTTTCAGAAACGTATGTCATCACTGTGACCTTCATTAGGGACTGTTGTGTTGTTCACACTCCTAAACACACTCACACGTCTGCACTAGTGACTCATGAAAACATCTTAACAGGATAAAGCTCTCTGGTCTTTGGCGCTGTTATTTCCATTAAAGGTAAATAACAAACAAAAATCAGTTATTTTAAGTAAACTCCACGTAGACATAGATACATTTTAAATACAAAAATAAAACATTGAACAATTTATCTGAAGCATTTTGACTGAAATATAAGTTTCCTTTAAATTCCACTTTTATTTAAAAATAAAGTATATTTGACTTTGAACTAACAACGTAAAATAAGCTTTTTTTCTAGCATCATTTAAATTTATTGTAGAATGAAATGAAATGTTTGTACACTTAAGTCTAATGTCGCTTCACGTAAATAGTTTTCACAGTCAGCTGACACCTTTCTTACGCTGGCATCACAGATAAAAAGGAACAATGTCTTCAACTTTGACACGATTCGCTCTGTGCTGTGTCATCAGTCATTAACGGTGTTATTACCTGATTCAACCAAACCGAAACCGTCAGGCTTACGTATCGTGTCTGTTATGTAAAATCACACGTTTGTCCCTGTAAATATTTACCCGTCGTCCCCCGGCAGAGACAGAGCTGCTAATACCTGCTGACAGACAAACAGGCAGACAGGTGGAAAGACAAAGAGCAGCAGATTATTTTACTGTCAGGTTTTTGCTGCCAGAGGCTTTAAAGCCACTCGGTCGTCTCACATGTTGGTATTTCTGGAGCGTTCACCAGCCCGGTTCTTTTTGCTGCTTCGTAAAGAGAGCAGAGATTAGTTCGCTGTCAGGTAGGGTGTGACCGATGGGCGTGACCTATGACCTCTGCTCAGTCCTTTACAACACATGACCTCAATGTTTGTAAAATCTGATGGGTCTATCCTCAAGTGTTCACATCTAAATGAAATGACCAAAGTAAGAGAACCATATGGGTTCCTAACTGGGAACAATCCAGATTCTGGTTTCATCTTCAGCGTAGATTCATTTGGACTCTTATTTGAGTCTCCCAGGATGCAAACTGGACTTTTCTCCTTTTAAAGTTGATTTTCAGACCTTGAGATAAGTGTGTGAACCTTTTTTTTTTTTAGCTCCAGAGAGTTTGTTTATGTAACCAAGAGGTAAAAGGTCCACCTTTGTGCTGATTATTCAGATTTTCATAGAAATGTGCTCACTAAGGTCCAAAGCTGAAAGCGATCCAAACACAACATTCAGACACATAAAGGCACTCAGACTAATCCCCTTTTGAAGCTTAAAGATGAACAGTTTTCTCCTCAAAACCCCCAAATATTGTCAGAATCAAAGAGATGACTTCTGTTAGAGTTAAAAACCAGTCAGAACTTCAGAGAGGCTCGCTAGAATCTGGCTTTTATGTTTAAAAGCGGCAGAACAAACAGTGCGAGGCGTGGAGGAGAATCAGGTTTGTAGTGATGTCATCGGGCGTAGCGATGAGATCATAGATGATGAAAGTGTGTTTAATAAACGTGTCCTCCCACCTCGTGTCTCCACACCCGCCGCTGAAAAGGGGTCAAAACAAGTTGATCATTCTCACCCACAACACCTATTCATCATCTTCATCATCTTCATCCTCCTCATCCCCCCACCTCGGGGTTCTGTTTGGATTTCTGACGGCTTTTGGGCGTTCCTGTTTTCTTGACCTGTCTGTTCTGTTTGGTTTTGACGTCACATTATTTTATCCACATCTGATGTCTCAGAGTTTTCTCCACACAAACTTGTTTTACAGATTTCTGTTTTTCCCTCAAAAAGTCCAAAGTGTTTAAACATCTTTTAGCATTTTATCACCTTGATTCATTTAGTTCTTTTTCTTTGTGTAACCCAACTTTATTACTGGATGGTTTTGCTGTTATACTTGTGTTTCCTCTCAGATGTCTCTGAAGCCAAGTGCAGCGACGTGCCTGGGATGTAAGGAGGGCTGCTCTGGATTTCAGCCACATTCTTGGAGGTACAGCTAACCAAAACCAAAAAGGAAAACAATAAAAGGCATTAGAACATCAACAATCCCACCACCACCCCTCTCTCGCTCTAAAAGTTGTGGTTTATCATGGATATAATATGTCTAATTCTTCTAGCATACTAAGTTGTAATTTTTTAAAATGCTTTAAAAACACCATGATTGTGTGCAGGTAAGTAGGCGGGGCTTGTAGACATGTCAGGGCATTGTGACTTTAGCTAGATGGAGATGCTATGTCTAGTTTTCTTGTAATTGATGGTTCAGATACTGAAACTCTCAGTCTCTCCCAGAATCACCGTTTCAATCCATCAGTCACCTGACTGTGTTTCAACGTTTTTTTGTTTGCTAATGCTAATTAGCTATAGTGTCCATCTAAAGGTTTGGGTGGATCAAAAGCTGCTAAATTCTCTCAAAGTAAAACACAACTAAAAAGTCTAGTGAAGTGAAGATGACCCTGTCTGATCGCTTCTGTCCAGGAAAGCCTGCGAGGCGTGTGGCTGCAGTACGGTCGACCACGCTCCAGGAAGTAACTCCGAGGACGACCAGCGAATGGGACGTCTGCTCGCGGACTCACCCTGCTGTCATCTAACGGCCAAGGTCAAAGGAGGCGGGGGCCTCCGGATGTACAAGAGAAACCGCATGATTGTGACAAATCCTGTGGTATCGCGCAAAGACCCGACTTTCAACACAACAACGTATGAGTGGGCGCCGGCGGGCCTGAATCAGAAACTGGTGAGGATCAGAGAAGGAGGAGGTTCTGGTTCCCTCATCTTAGATCTGAGAAGAAGTCATGTGATTTAATTTATTAGGAGGCGAGAACTCAGAATAAAAAAGTCCAGTGCAGATTTCTAGACCTTTCTTAGCGTCTGATTCCCATTAGCGACAGAATCCAGACTCTAACCTGTGATTACAGTGATGACAGACGTTACGGTGGCTGAGCGTGTGGAGACAGATCCAAACCTAGCAGACACTGCCTCGTCACATCAGGCCCAGATTGTTAGTCATCACCTCTTTGGTGAACCAACACACAGCTGGATGAAACCAGAACCCGCTGGTCGGGTTCTTGCTGGTGAAAAATTCAGGCTGAATGAAAACATGATTGACTCCATGATGAGCTACAGATAGGAAAATCACATCATGGATATTTATCTCTAAAAAACTGAACTCCCAAAAGTGGCTTTATTCAGCAGGACTAAGTGTTAAAACAAAACTTTTCAACAGATTATTATATAATGGCTACACAGAGCTTTATGTTTACGTAATTACTTTTTTATTCACTATACAGAAGATCGAAATGATCCTTTACTTAAATCCCTCAGGCCATGCAGTACATGGAACTCCTCCCAGAGAGCAGGCATCCTGTCTCTGGGACCGATGGCGCCCTGGGACGTCGCAGGCAGCTCCTCAGCCAGCTGCCAGTCTATGATCAGGACCCCATGCAGTGCCAAAGTCTCTCCAGTGAGGAGGAGGTATCAGTTGGTACACCAGGAACATCTTAATTTACTCAGTGAGTCACTGAAGTGAATACATGTGTTTCTTCCCGTAGATATCCTCCATGATTCTGTTTGTGAAGCAGTACAAACAGGAGGTGCTGGGAGTGGGCGAGGTGGCCTTACCTGGAGAGGGCAGCTCTCTGAAGGAAGCAGCTAATCAGAGGGCAGCAAAGGAGGCCAAAGTTCAATGTGACATGAAGGATACAGCTCAGCATCAGGACCACTGCTCGGGCAGTGCTGCTGTGAATGGAACTGATGATAAGAGTGAATATGTGAGTAAATAAACCAGCTGAGGATGGATGGATGGATGATGGGTGGATGGGTGAATGGATGAAGACTGAAGTTCTCATCTTTGGACCTGAAATTTAGAAAAGGAAATTTCTTAGTCAATCACCTGACCTGAACGGCAATAAATTAGTCTTTGAGAACAAAGTAAGGAACCTTGGTGCCATTTTTGACCAGGACATGTCATTCAAATCCCACGTTGAACAGGTTTGTGGGATTTCCTTCTTCCACCTGCGGAATATTGCTAAGATTAGAAGCATCCTTTCCAGAAAAGGAAAGTGTTTTTCTCCCCAGAAGAAGCTACAATGTTGTTCTGCTGAGCTGTGGTGCCCTCATGGTGGGGGCCATCTGCCTGAACACTGCTGCTAACCACTTAAACCTCTCCTAATAATAACATTTTATTTTCTACTAGTTTACCTGTTGAATTAAATATAGATTCACTAGGATGAATACAATAAAGTGTATCTCTTACTAAATCGAATATTTACTAAGAAATCACAATGTAACCATAGAAACACAACTTGTTGTGTGTGTGGATTTGTGTGTGTGTGTGTGTGTGTGTGTGTGTGTATGCATGCATGCGTGTGTGTGTCTGCTCTGTCTTCTCGATCCCCAGTGAGTCGTGGAGGATGGCTGCTTATACTGAGCCAGAGGTTTCTTTTGGTGAAAAGGGAGTTTTCCTCTCCACTGTCACTGCATGCTTGCTTAGTATGAGGACTGCTGTAAAGACTCTGACACTAGTCAGTGACTCGATGCAACCTGTTGGGTTCCTTATGTAGGAAACTTTTTACTAATTGGCTTAATGAACTGACCTGTATTGGAATGTTTACTGTGTGAAGTACGTTGAGACGACTCTTGTCGTGATTTGGCGCTTTATAAATAAACTGAATTGAATTGAATTGAATGAGATGGGTGGATGGATGGAAGTCTGTAATGTTTATTTCCACTTTCATCCCCTCGCTTTGTTTTCTTTCCTTCAGCTGTGTTCTGGTTGCCACGGTAACTTAGTGAAGGACAGTCCAGCTGTTTACGCTATGCATGCTGGTTACCATGATGCCCTGTGGCATCCCATGTGCTTCGTCTGCTCAGAGTGTGACCAGGGTCTGGTGGACCTGGTCTACTTCTGGTCCAATCAGAAGCTTCTCTGTGGACGACACTACTGCCAGTCTGTGTGGCCTCGATGTTCCGGCTGCGACGAGGTGAGAATTCATGTCTACTCACCTGATCCAAAAGAGAACTACATCTGAGACTAAACCTGCATCTTAGGGCACTATCATTTTATTTTGAAGGAGTAATTTCCATCTTGCTTTCCTTCAGCTCATCTTCTGTAAGAATTTTGTTTCGGGGAAAGATGGACGGACGTGGCATCGAGAACATTACTGCTGCTGGAAATGTGGTCAGAGCCTGGATTCTCCCTGTCAGCACTGAAACTACCAAGCATCAACACAGAGTAACAGACAGAGGAAGTGGGAAGCAGGCAGCTCTGATCAAAACAAAAAGTACCAAAGAGCTTTAGCATCATGCTGGAGAAAAACTGAAGTAAAACAAGGATGCAGTATTGAAATTTTAGCTGAAATGTTGAGAAAAAAGTCCAAATGAAAATAATGAAACTTTTAATTTATTTGTTTCTTAGGTTAAGGCTGCAGCGTCCACAGAGGAACTCAGAACTTGAGTCACAAAACTTCACAATAAGAGTCACAAACATTCACACATACCTCTAAAACATGAATAACTATTGTCGTCCGACAATATTCAAATACTTTGAATTTAATTTCAACATGCCCTTGTTTTATTTCTTCTTTGTCATCACAAGGTCAGAAAGAGTTAAAAATAGAAATTATTTCCGCAAATCCTCTGTGGCTGTTTTGTTTGCCTCTAGGAATCTAAATCAACCAGAATAAAGTGTTGCACTGACGTGAAAAAAATAAAAATATTCTGTTTTCACAGACAAAAGCTGATTCATCAGGATTTTAAAGACTCAGCCAGACATCAACACTTTAGAGACTCATCCTGTCAAATCACTGCCGTTTCAGGCTCCTGGAAAAACGTTCGGTTGACTTTAATGTTTTAATATAATAAAGCAGACGCTTTGTTGATTTATCAGCTGCTAAGTCATCCATATCCTGCTGTTCTGTTCTACCTTAGCCGGCAGCTTCATACAGAAGCCCCAGTGGGACATTTTAGCAAAAGAGTTTGAATAACTAAAAGTTATAAAGTAAATGAAGTGATTATGATTCACTATAAGGCCATTGTAAGGAGTAACACACTTATGTGTTTGGGTGCTTTTAAAGCTTGATAGACTACCCTACACTTTGACCAGAATGATGTGAATTTCCATATAAATATGGAAATCCAGTCTGATTGGTCTTTGAAAGTTTAACCAGAAGATTTAGAAATCTTTGGTTATTCAGGGATTGAAAGACACTTCGTATTAATTCAAGAAGAGAGTCAAGTTTATAAAAAGCAAGAAATTTATTTTCTAAACAATTAAAAACATGACAACTAGGACACTTTATGTGACGAATGGATCTAAGTGGATGGAATGTGAGGGGTGATGGTGTGTGAATGTGATGTTATCAGAACCTCTCGTATCTGAAGAAACTGAGTTCTGAGTGGGAGTGAATTTGATCTGCATTAAACTAACAAATTTGGTTCTTATCAAAAACACATCAGACGCAATCTGTCGAGTCTACGTACCAGCTTGAAGACCCCCGTGGTAGATCCGGAATGTGTTGAGGTCCGGGGACCCCAGAGGGACCGAAGTCCGTAGAAGCAACCGCAGTGCCGACTAGACCGGTCTCGGGATGTCTCCAGGTCACAACAGTTGTTATTTGCGTCTTAGGAATAACGCTTAAGGAGTTGAAGTTGGCTTAGCTTTGTTCTGAAGGAACCATTTGCGGTCAGCTGTAGCTTGCAACAGGCTTTTTTGACAGTTTGTCAAAAGATGCTCTGGTTTAAAGAGGTTTTGCCTTGGATGGCCGGTCCAAAGCTTTCTCAAGAACTCACAAGAACTAGAACTAGAACTGACTCACGGTGAAGTGAGCTCTGTTTTAATGATTGTCATATTTTGATTTACTAACAAATCAGAATTTGACACGTAGAAGGGTTTTTACCAACAAACCTCAGAAAACATGCCCCTCGTCAGATACAGGAGTTCTGATTGGTGGAACAGAAAGCAATGTGTCAGGTTATTAGCTTAACCTTGTCATCGTTACGTGTCTGTGTGTGAGCTGTCAGAGATAGTGATTCACTTGTTAAATCTAACTTTACTGATCATAACATAATAATATTCATTTCAACCACAGTAATTTGAACACAGATTAATCAAAACATTGTTATTATTCTTCAACCGTTATTGTTCATTATATGATTCAATTTTGAAAGTTCATCAATCTTGTGCTGTGAATAAAAACCAGTCTAAGATAAGAGTGAGCTTGGAGGGACCTTGGCCAAGTAACAGTATCTTTCTTGCAGATTAAAGCACCCGTTAAGACTTATGTCTCCAAATGACCCAATACTGAAGAGGTGACCTGTAGATGGATAAACAGACCATTTCCGGAAGTACACCATACAAGATTAAAAACTTAATCTTGAAAATGTGTTTTAATAAGTTTGTTTGGGTTTTTGTTCATTATTAAAACTTTAAAATGATTTCTGTGTTCATTAAACCTGAATAAACTGGATAAACAAAATATTTAGTTTCTTTCTCATCTAAACCTCCCGAGCTGCCTCGCTACATGATTTTGTTCTTAATTTTGCCATAAAAGTGAGAATTACAAACATTTCATGGTTTGATCTAATCTCTTCTTTTTAAAAGCAGCAGAAACTAAAAACAAAGCTGTTCAAAGTTTCATTAAAACTTTTTATGTCTGTGTGTATTTTAATTCTGCTGGAATTTACAAAGCTTAAGAAAACTGAAATCGTTGTTAATACATTTGCTTTGTGAGGTGAAAATGTTGCATTTAAATGTGTTTTAAAGCTGAACATCATCAGATTTTCTGTTTTCTTTGAAAGGTTTTGATGTGTTGTTGTTTAGTTACAGGAAACATAAAATAAACTTTTCATTTCAAACTATTTTGTTGTTGCTTTTTTACGTACCGTTTTTGTCACCATGGCTTTTGTCACGTTTAACTAGAACAGAATCAAATTCCTAAAACAACACCAAAAAAATTACAGATGAATTTCTTAAACTAGCTGATAACGTTTTTGTCATGGTTTGTGTCTGCATCTTCCTCATGTGTCTCCATGTGTCTCCATGTGTTCTCTATCCCTCTCTGGGTTCTCCTTATGTGTCTCCTAGTGTCCTCATGTGTCCTTGTCTGCGTCTTCCTCATGTGTTCCCTGATCTGCAACCCCTCTAGGTTTTCCCCCTCCCCAAGTATCCCCCCAGGTCCGTTGTTCCCTTGGTCTCCCTTAGTTACACCTCAGTAGTTTTTTCCTATTGGTTCAGATTTTCATTTATTAGTCTGCTTTAGTGTGTTTCTTTCTCCACTGGTTTTTTAGTTCTCCTCTGATCATTAGTTGTTTATCTTTATCTTCTTGTCTTCAGATTTTGTTTTTACTCTTAGGTCAAGTTACTCTCCCCTCACTGATTAGTTAATTGTTTTCACTAGGTTTCTCTCCCCACACACCTGCAGCTCATCTCCCTCTCATCCTGCCCCAGTGTATTTAACCCTGTCTGCAGTGTGTTGTTGGCTCATTGTTTGTGTCGACCTCGTCTCGGTCCCCTCTCTAGCTTTTAGTATCTCTAGGTCTCTTGTTGTTTTGGATTCTCTAGGTTTAGTTATTTGGATTTTGTTTTTTGGCTCCCTTCATTCTCTGGATTTACTCCTAAATAAAGGATTTTTACGTTTTCCACCTCCTGCCTTGTTGTCTGGTTCTGCATCTTGGGCCCTAACCTCTCTCTGAAACCACCTTGTGACAGTTTTGGTTTATTTCTGTGGTTTAAACATAAAACAATAAAAAAGGACTATAGAAGATCTGTTTTACGCTGGTTTTTGTTTGATACTCAACTCATCCTGCACTAATTTGTTTTTAGTTTATAATGAATCAGACTCAAGGTTAAGAGATAATCTAGATTAAAAATAACCTTTACGGTAGATTAGAATTTATTTACCTTCTCAGTGGTTTTGAGTTTAACTCTATTCCAGCCAGATGACTGCAGCAGAGACCTCAGGTGGACACCTACGCTGCTGCCTGAGCTGGCCCACTCCCAGCAGGAATGTGTGGTATTCCTGGAGTTTCTGGGCCCACATTCCTGAGCGGCAGAGTCACCAGCTGACCGTCTGACGGATGCTTCCTGAGCCGTGAAATAAAAACCAGATTGGGATATTTTTAGTCCTGAAATGAGATATTTTGGGTTTTTAATAGTTTCTTGTGTAACCACTTCCTCTGGCTCTAGATTAATCTCTATAACCTGGACTAATGAGGTTAGAACTCAGAATATTTTTCCTAACGTGTAAGTCAAATAAAACTCCTAACTACAGCAGCATCAAAATGATTTCACTTGGAAATATCTCAGGAATACCAAATTATGATACAGAATACCTGACAGGTAAGGAGGTGCACAAAGAAGACGCTGCGTTTTGTAAATCAGAGTTTGAAGAAATGCTAATAGAAATTATTGACATTTAAACAGAAGCTACACACACACACACACACACACACACACACACACACACACACACACACACACGTTAAAGGATATTATACCTGCATATTTGTTATTCTGTAACGTTTCTGTTGTAAACACAAGACTTTTGTTTGGGAGGATTAATAAAAATAAACATCTGATCCAGCTGTTGCAGATAAATAAAGACAACTCATTTTAGCTCAAACAGCAGAACCCAGAGGAAAACATCTAAGTCCACTGGATGCCCCAGCACAACCTCCTTCAGCAGCAGCAACTCTCAGTAACCTTCTGTTTGACCTGATCGGCTCTCACATGGTTCTGTTTCCTGACCTGGATGGGTCCAGTTTCCAGCTGTCAGAAAGATGCTGTCACATTTGACTCTAGAATACTTTGGTTTTCTTCCGACACGCTGCAGTGCATTGTGGGAAAACATCCCCGGATGTTTTGTGGTTCATTCAGATGAAACAGGTTTTTCTCCTGAAGCCCCTATAGACGGTTCAGATTTATCTAACTGTCCTGTCATGACCTTTCACCTTTGACCCTCTGAAGAGCTTTTGACCCCAGTGGGTTTTGTTTGAGATGGGGTTATAGTTCATTTCTAGAAACCTTAACCTTTGACCTCTGGCCTCAGGTCAGTCTGTGGAAGATCAGCAGCTGTCTTACAGTTAAGGTTTTCCACTGATAATTATTTTTTTATCTTAAAAATGGAATAAAAATGGTGTCTAAATGACCTTTGACCTTTCCCAGATTTATTTATTATTAGCTGATTATTTTTCAAATTGATTTATTCCTTACCTTTATAATGTTTTTACGGAGCTGCATGAACTCCAACACGGTTCTCCACTTTAAGTTCTTGTCCTTGTTTCTTCCTCCAGTTCCTCCCCAGAGACCAACATGTGGTTTTTGTGGACATGCCGGGACACGAGGGGACGAGTCGGACCGGCACAGAGGATTACAGCATCCAGGGCCAGGCCAGCCGAATCCACCAGGTCAGACCAAAACCAGATTATGCACCGGCAGAGGGCAGCAGGTGAAAGAAAAACCAACATCACACACGGAAGAACCAAACTGGACTGGAGTCCAGCAGCTGACCCAGACAGCTCAGATTGTTTAAGAAATAAATCAAGCTGCTTAAATCATCACAGCGTTGTCAAAGGGAACGTTGTTTCTCTAAACATGCATTTACACACGACACCTGTCTTCAGTCGTTCAGAAGGAGAAACTAAACGACAGATCCAAGAGGGAAAATCCAATGAGTGCGGGTCAGCTCAACAAGTGTATAAAACGAGTTTAGCTAAAATTTTTTTTTACAAAACCAGAAAACCTAAAACTCAACGAGTTTAAAAACTCTTGGAACCACAAATAATTAAATATGTGAATAAAACTAATTAAAGTAATTTTATCAGAATATTTTACCTAGAAAACAGAGAAACCTCAGATGTTTAATGGTTTGTTGATCTGTTTTTGTGTTTTTAGTTTGTTCAGAGTGTCGGTCGGAATAAACGACCGTTTCAGCCGGTCGGCACCTCAATGGGTGGAAACGTGGCCGGTGTGTACGCTGCCCGCTACTCCTCGGCCCTGTCCAGCCTCACCTTGGTCTGTCCAGCAGGTAAACTCCGAGAAGATCTGATCTACAGTCGGTCCTGTCAGGGAAACGATTCTCCAGATTTTATCAGGCGTTTTTAGAATTTCCTTTGGAACTTGGCTAATTTTCCCCAGTTTCAGTCCTCAGACTTGAACATTTAAAAGGGAAGTTTTGAACTTGAACTGTTGAATCACTTTTGTGTCGACACTATGGCTGGGCAATTAATCGAAAAGTTATCGTTATCGAAATTTCTGATTCTTATCGTGATCATTTTTCCCATGTCAATAAATTTGATAATTATAAAATGAAAAGAAGTGTGTAGGTTGGCAGCATTCATGTCCCTTTAAGAAGCTGTACCACTTTGAGTAAAAATGTGACTCAACATAATACATGTGATAGCCCCATCTAGTGGACAACTTTTGTTTCTGCGCATACCTGTAGTTGTAGTCTATTTATCGTTATCGAGGTGGAATCCTCAGTAGATTGTGATATTGATTTTAGGCCATATCGCCCAGCCCTAGTCAGCACAGAACAGAAAAGTCAAAGATCAAACCAAAAACAACAGGATTTTGCTCCAACTGTGTGACTCTTTAACCTCTAGATAAGGAGGGGTACTGTAGATGATGTTCGGGCTGGGTCAGAACCTCCCCCTCTCTGCCCCACAGGTCTGGTTTACCCAACGGACTCAGAGTCGTCTGAGGGAACTGGAGAAGAGCAGCAATCAGGAAGAGTCCATCCCCCTGATTGTCCAAAACCCCTAAGGAACTGGACGACATGCTGAAACTCTGCTGCCACAAACCCCTCAACCTCCCCCGGCAGGTATCACCTCCCGACCCAAAATCAGCTGATTCTGCCCTCACCGTCCCATCTGCCGCCTCGTGGTTTGTGTGTTTCAGGTTCTGCGAGGTCTTCTAGCCAACAGGATGCCTAATAATGATTTCTACAAAGAAGGTCAGACATCTGAGTGAATGAGGAAGACACAGTTGTTCCTCATTCACTCCCCAGCCCGTCTCCCACGAGTGGCTCTTAATGAGACGGGATTATGAGACATTTATTGCTGTCAGTCATTTCATAATAATTCTGAAAAATCACATAATCGTTTTTTTAAATAATGTAAATTTGGTTAAATCTGATGTTTCTGGTAATTTAGGTTATAATTCTTGGAATACGTTTATTTTAATGCTTTTATTAAATTTGTTCTGATATCAGATTAATTCTAACCTAATCTTGATTATATCTGCAAGGAGACTAATCCACTCTGCATTTTTGTTAGAAAATAATAATCTAATAATCATTAGCAGAAGAGCAAATATAATGTGTGTGTGTGTGTGTGTGTGTGTGTGTGTGTGTGTGTGTGTGCTCATGGATCATCGTTATGGTTAGGGTTAGCCTAACCCTAACGACATGTTCTAGAAGAGGATCTTAGGAAATCAGAGAAAACAGATCATCGCCCTTGCGGTGCTGAAGATAATAATGGAAGAACGGCTGAGCAGACTTTCTCTTCGGTTGAGTGAGTGTTTCTCCAGCACCAGCACTCCCATTCCAGTAAAACTTTAACAAAATCAGATCAAACAGCAAATAGTAACGTCTCAGAAATAAGGCTTCAGAGTTTAAACAGGTGGCATTAATGCCCTTCTATGTCTGATGTTCAGACTTTTTTATTTTTTTCAATAGAAACTTTTGGCAAGTAATAGCTTCTAAAATATTGTTTTGTTTCCTAAAGGTTCATATTCTATGATCACGCTGAAGTAGCTAATAAAACATTTAAAACTGGGCTTTGCTCTTGCAACCCTCTCAGCTGCTTTATTACAGACACATTTGTGAAAATGAAACAATAACAGAAATGTGATAGATGAAAGTTCATTTTAGGTTATTGTACTGAACTGAAACTGAACTGATGGTAATTTGCTGACATGGTTAAAAAACATTTAAAAGGTACAAGGCACGTGTTTGGTGACTGCTGGAGGTTGTGGCAGAAAATGAGCTCAGAATTACATGAATCTGATTTGGTACCTAATGTGTTTTTATGATGGCAGCTTTGATCTTGAATACGTTTCACCTGCAAGGTGTTAAATTCCTTTCTTTGGGATTCTTTTGGATGGTGGTAATCTCTCCTAACGCCACATTAAACCTGCTGTTCTCCAGGTTCAGTCCTTGAGGAGTCCCAGCTTTCTAAGAGCCTCCTTTCGATCCTGTCCCATCCCAGGAACCACCATCACCGTGTATCCCATTAGGTTGGTGGGTTTGCTGTCTGAAGGCTGAGTCGTATTGGTGGTTTTCACAGACTTGTCTGATGGGATATGTTGGGGTTCGGAGTAGTTTGTGTAGGAATCCAGGCTAACGGAGCGCTCCAGACCAGCTGTCTTCAGTCTACTGGTCTGAGCGGGATGCTGTGATGCCGACCCGGGCTCCTGATCATCTCTATAGTTGGGATGGAAATGGACATGGCCCTTCACATTCCTGTTCGTGTGTTTCGTGGATGTTTGAGAGGAACTAAACGATGGACTCCTTGTTGGATTACAGCTTAATGGACCTCTTGTGTTACTGTTAAAGGCCGGATCCAAAAAACTGTGCGATTTAGTAGGAGGTGGTGTGGCTGCTGCTGCACTTTCTCTCTCTTTGTCCTTCAGGAGGCCGAGCTTCTGCAGAGCTTCCAACCTAACCAACTGTGGGTTTGTTGCATGCTTGACGCTGTGTAAAATGTCTTCATTTTGGGTCTTTTTACGTATGTTGGCAGGAACCGTTTTAGGTTTGGGGGCCACAGCTGGAGGCCCTGTCTGAGATTTGAGGACCTCTGGGTGGGATTTGGCAGATTTCTGCAGATTTTCCAGGTTTGGGAATTCCATTGGGGTGCACTGTTTGTTCAAGTCTATAGTGTGATCAATCGTAGGACATAAAGGGGTCTTCTTCGTGGAGGCGTTCCTCCGCAAATGAACGAGTGCATCGTAAGACAGAGGTCCTCTTGGTAACGGACCTTCAGCTGTCTTGACTGAGCAGTCCCTTGGTTTGGCGGAAGGGGGTGTCACCACATTAACCTCAAAAGGTACTGGGGTGGTAGCAGGTTTCTGGTTGTAATTGGAAGTAAGTTTGTTGATTTTAGATGTGAAGTGAGGCTTTAAAAACGCAGATTTGTCAGCACAATTAACTGGTTTATCACTGGGAACCAGTGAGCAGTTTGCCACGACGAGGGGAGTGGGAACCAGATAGCTCTGCATGTGTATGGATTTCACGCTTTTCTTGAAGGGTTGATCAGAAACAGGTTTCTCTGAACCTGGAAGACAATCAAGTACATGTTTTTACACCGCACATACAAGCTGCTGTTGATGTATTCATGTAAAACTCACTGCTGAGCTTGCTTTTGCTCATGGAGGCCGACAGGTCTGCCAGTTTGGTTGTGATGTTGCCTGGGCTCGGCAGCTGGTCTGGTTCGTCATTGGAAAGTCCGCTGTCCTCTTCAATGTCCAAAGAATCAATAGTCTCCTCCAAAAACATGAGACATGCCTTTTCTTCGGCAGAAAGATGCTCTAGGCTGTCATCACTCTGAAATACACGAGAAAAACCCAAACTCAACAATAGGCCTCAAACAATCTACAGAGATCCCCTCAGCTATGATGTTACAGGTCTCAGTTACCAACATTTTTATTTCATGTTGTTTTGCATGATGAGCTCTATAATGGAGTCTGGTCTACTTACAAAGCCTGAATTGGCACTAACAACACTGTCGCAGCTCCCGGCGCTGTCCATGCCATTCATCGTCTCCAGTGCTGTGCCACCTGGCCAGGTATCACTCTTGGGCATCTCGGTGCCCTACTTATCCAGAGTTAGAGGAAAAGACTGATGTTTCACTCTATGAAAGTAGAGTAAATGGAGAGTAAGATTACATCAAGTGACCCCGTTTCTCCTGGCAGAGGAAAACCAGACTTTAAAAAGTGTTAAAAATCTTCTTACTAACCAATTTTCTGTGTTTGCAGTTGTTTAGTTGTGAAAAAAAAGCTTTTAAATTGCTCTCAGGCAGTGTTTATCTTGTTGTCCAACTTTTGTGTTCTACATTTTTGCAGCCACTTGTTGTAAGTTGCACATTTTCTAGTAAATCTGACAGAAGAACTGTTTATTACTAACAGTAATAAAACAAACTGTTCACCTGCTAAATAATTTAAAACCCATTAAAGCCGGGGGCATGAAGTCATCAAGGAGAGGAGGAGATTTTGAAATTTGAAAGGCTGAGAGCTGAGCTTTGTAATGTGGAGGGGTACACAAAGTGGGTTACAAGGAATGTTTTTATATGTTCCTGCTCAGAGAAACTTGACTCTAACTAATTATCTCCTCAGCCTTTATCAGGTTCTGCAAGAGCTGCTAATCACTTGTTTTAATCAAATCTGCAGTGTTCAAGCAAGGGAATGTCTAAAACCATCAGGTGTAGTGTAAGGTTGAACGCTACGCTAATTGCCTAGCTCCAACACACAAAAACAAATCCCTCTTCGCTCCCATTCCTCCTCTTCCACTGTTAGCTAGCAGCTTACAGGCTGGCATCAATTCAATGCAGATTGAGTTAGCATTGAAGCTAGGTTGGTGTGCTAAGCTGATTGGGCATCATCTAGCAGTGCAGCTGGGGACTGGAGAGCATTCTCATTGATTGACAGCTCCCTCTTGTGGATACACAGCTCAACTGGTCAATGCTCTTGGTTCATTTAAATGATTGGTTTGCTCTAGAGGAACTCAGGGAAAATATAAAGTATGAAAGATTACCAACTTTATATCACCACAATTTTTAAATCACATAGAAGAACAGTGGAAAAAGTTACACAGTGTACTGGCAACTGGATGAATCATACAAAAAGCTAATAATGTGCACAGAATGTAGAAAATGTGCAAAGGACCCATGTACTTTATCCTAACACTGGATTTACTGAGTACTAATACTTTCTTACTGTCAGCAATAATGAATGAAAATGCATTTGGCAATTTTAAAAATGCAAATATGAAAGCAGCGTGTTCAGAGGAAATAATCTGAGTGTCTGCCCTGAGACTGAGAGATCGGGGTTCAAATCCTGTTAACTTTAACTAGCAGGAACAGTGAGAACATTTTTAACTTTTTAACTGAACAGAGCAGCAATCTTGGATTTTAAAGTGGAGCTGATCATGTTCTCCAGAAAGTGCTGCAGTAAAACTGATAACATGGTGATGAAGTTGATAACCCAACCATCCAGGATTATTTCACCTGTATCCTCAAAGAGTCTCACATGAGCAGCGGACGTAAAATAATAAACAGCAACATTAAATGCACGATAAACTCTCAGTGGTAGAGAATAGCAGATGTGTGTGTGTGTGTGTGTGTGTGTTTGAGAGACATTTAACTACTCATGTCCTCCTCGCTGCATGTGACTGGATTACAGTCCTAATCTTCCTTTACTGGATCAGTTTTAGAGGATGTGCAGCAACGATTTCCTGAAAGCTGCACAACATCTAGTTTACCCACATTGTCTCTCTGGTGTTCTACATAAACAGTAGTCAGGCACTAAAGCTGTCCCTTTAGACCATCAGTTTTGGTATCCCCCCTCCCCCCATTCCCTCGGGATGCATCTCAACACCTGAGGGAACGGCTGCTAGTGTGACCACAGCCAGAACAAAAGGACTCCTTTTCTCTGTGCACGATTTCCCGTGTCACTCCATCCCTGTGAAACTTTAATGCCCCTATCACCATCCTGGAATGTGATCGTCCCCATCCGTCCTGCTGTAGGAAGGTTGAAGAACAGTGGAAGATTGGTGATAAACCCCATTTCAATTTAATTTCTTTATTATTTCAGTTTTGCATAAACTACTTTATGTGAAACCTCGTGTCCTGTAGATGCACGCATCTCTACCGTAGCCAAAACTGCAAAATTGAAATGAATCTCAAGTCAGTAGAAACAGAATTCCTTATTCAATAAAAACAGAAACATTTTATTTTATTTTGGTTAATGAACAGACACTGAACCAACTGAACTTAATGTGTTATTTTCTGTAATTTTCACAAGTTTTTACCATCTAAACTTCCCTTTACACTGACTGAATACAGCTCCAATTCTTTACAGCAATAATAAATAAAAACCTAATTATGCAAACATGCTAATTTCTAATTAAATACCTTTTTAAGAATTTCACAAGAAACATAATGAGTTGAAACTATGACAGAAAATTAGATTTAAAGTTGTTTTAAACACAATTTTACTTTCAGTAAAGCATCAAACAAACTAAAGCATCATTAGCAGCTGTACCTGTTTTTAGATATCTGCCAAGTAAAAACGGTCCTCTTCAAATCCACCTGAAACTAAAGACTAGGTGGGCGCGAGGCTGACACCTGCATGGACTTTGTGCTCTAAGCTTTCAGCCAATCAGAGAGCAGCAACCACCTTAAGACACGCAAGCCTGTCTTTGTTCATGTTCCTTCAGAGGAGCCTGCAGCCACCGGACTTCTCACTGAAATCATGTTTTTAAAAATGTTTTATTGTTATTTGTTCATCGAATTAATTCTTCTGTGAAGTAGTTTCATGTGCACTTGTTTTTAAATGAAACAACAGACCGATACAGTATGAGTCAAGAATAAAAAGTGTTATTATTGGAATCATGTTGATCTTTTGAAGGACCTATTCTGAGGCTAAATGCTGATCTTTTACTGTCTCAGTAGTAGCAGAGGCAAATGAGGTGCCAGCTTGATTGTAACAAAGCTTAAATCCTATTAAGGAGGAGCCTAAAATAACATCTAGTGTAATCCCACAATGATCGTAACCCAACTGTGTTTGAGTTTAAAGGTGCAGTATGTAAGAATATAGTGTGAAAATCCCAAAAGCATCTGATGTTTCCGTCATGTTGGAAGGAAGGTTATACTGAAACATATTTCATATCCAGCTGGCTGCTGGATTCAGTTTTTCTCCTTTCAAAACAAAGGAAGGTTGGAAGTACGGTTTACTAGGGGTGTTACGGTGCGCTAAAATGATATTCGGTTCGGTTTGAATAATTTTCGGTACATTATTATTACATTTGTTTAATATCTGAAGCGGCTCCTATACTGAGCAGATCCAGATACAGGCTGCTGATCTAGCATGATGTCTTTAATTATTTCACAGGTTATTTGTGCAGCTATGAGTTTCACGCTCCTACAGACAAGTGTTGTTTGACTGTTGATGCTCCGTGTTTTTATTTCTGCAGCGAGCCTTAAAAACACCTCACACCACTCAGTTTCTTCTTTAAAACTCTTACTAAAAACAAGCTTCCTCTGCGCCACATTTTTTGTTGTAGGATGAAAACTTGACATCAGTTGTCACAGGGGAAAAGTTCAGCAGACATGTTTGTTTATATTTTTGCTGCTGTGTGTCTGCACAGTGTGAGACAAGGGAGGGAGGGGCGAAGCAACGCGCCGTTCAGCGTCTCTACAGGCTCCAGTAGCAGCGACAGCCAGCTGGTTTCAGCCGCTCTGAAAGGCGTTGATCACAATTTGCAGATCACGTTTTTTAAACTGAGATCGGGCGCGTGCAGCCATCATGCCTAGGAAATTCATCTGCTGCACTTGAATCACGCAAATAAAAATTAACTTGTGGCAAGGTGGAGAAACAAGGGCCCGGACGGGATTCGGTCCCCAGACTCCCGGGTAAGAGTCACATGCACTAACCAGTCAGCCAAAGACACATCCCCGTGGTCAAGTAGCCAGAGCACATGCTCATTCGGGATACAGAGACACTCACCCTGTCACACATTATTTGACGGAAAAAATAAACGGAAACGGTTTAACACTCCCCCGTGAACCGTTACACCCCTACTGTTTATCATCAGTGAGCGTAGGGTCGCCGTGTCTCCTGCAAGCTAACGCTGCAGCGCCCACAATTATACCTTGATGACAGCTGGCAAAAAGCTCCAGAGTTGTTTAAAGTGGTTGCAGTAACCACATTTAACCACAGGAGGTCATCTTAAGTTCTTTTCTACATAATGCACCTTTAAAATGTAGGAATTTTGTGTTGGTGTATCATTTAGTATTGATGTATTTAGTCACATAAGTGTTTGGCCATGAATTGTAACCAAGTGTTATTTAAAAATAAAAAACAATGGTTGAATTACAACAAGTGTTACTCCAGTGATGCATGCTTATGAAAAGTTGAAAGGTAGAGCGGGTTCCAGTAATCGGAAGGTTGCTGGTTTGGTCCCGGCTCTTACCAGAGAATTCTGCTGTTGTGTCATTGGGCAAGACACATAACCAACCCACCTTGCCTGCTGGTGATGCTCGGCAGCCTCGCCTCAGTCAGTGCACCCCAGGGCAGCTGTGGCTACATCGTAGCTCATCCCAATCAGTGTGTGAATGGACGAATGATGCACTTTAGTGTAAAATGAGCCCTCTGACTCTGGCGGGTTATTAATCATAAAAAGACAAAAATAATACCGCTGTTGGTTACAGGTTTAATTGTGACAACACAAGAAATCAAGTAAATCCAGTTATTCCATAGTTATTTGTGCAACATTCAGTGTTACCATTAGTCCAAAAAACATGTTCAGTTCAATTTCATAGTGTCACCTAAAGCAAGCTGCTAAATAGACTACAAAATATGTGATGTACAAATTCACACACACAAAAATATAATTCACCAAACACCAACTCCTCACTTTAATTTATTAATTACAAAAAGTTTGAATCTTTTTTTAAAAGCTCCAATCGTGTTTCTTTGCTTTTGGCAACAACCTAAAATCAACATCAGAGAAAATCAGTTCTAAAAACACTAATGTGGTTTCTGAAATTCACAAGCACCAAAAACAACAATCCTTACAGCCTCCGGCTGAATCTTTACTGATGTTTGACAAACTCTTCAGTGCACGCAGAGCCCATACCCTGACTTCAGATAAAAATGTGAGAACATGTTCCAGTTGCGCAAAACGTACAGTAGAACCGTGGAAATGCTTGGATAACGTGCACCAAACATGAACTTATTAGGACCCAAGATGCCTCCTAAAACCCCCCAAACAGGCACAATCAGATGTTAAAACCAAGAATTCCTCTATTAATTATCCAAAGACCAGCCTGAATATGACAATAAAAAGGTAAATGGTTGATACTGATGAGAAAAGAACTGTACCCAAAAAAATAAATGTATGAAGAGAAGAACACATGCCATAAAGCTATTTCACATTACCGCCACCTTTGATTTGTTCAAACACTTCAATGCATTTAGGTTTTGAGCTGTTTTTCATCAAAATGTGCCAAAGAAAATGTACATGTTGAATCTTGAAAGCAGAATTTTAGAACACTGTTGCTCATTTGTAAATTCATTTCATTAATAAATCAAAAAGAGGCTCTTTTTGGACACGTTGCTTTATGATAAAATGCATAAACGCTGTTCTCACTGCTATATCAACTTAGAATGATGTGATGGCAGATAACACAGGCAACGGCTCTGTTTAAATACCTAAAGCTAACCAAATAAATCCACCATCAGGAGAATTTCTAAATTGTTTACAAACCGGGGAAAAAAAAAGCTACTAAGCTAACAAGAATAACAGTCATACTTGCTGTGTTTGAGCCATGAAACTCATATTTAGCACATCAAGGTTCGGTTAGTGGCAATTTGGTACTTTTAAAAAATGAAGATATTATTTTACATTGGCTCAGAAGATTCAAGCAAATTCAAGCGCTGCATCACAACAACCAGCACTAGCACCCAGTGGACCCCAACTTCAGAACGCTCCTCTCTGCCATGCTTCTTTGTTTACAGCTCGTCCACAGTGACTGACGACGTTACGCTCTGGCGCCGGCACCAAAACAAGGCGCCGTTTCATATGAGGTGAATCGGTACCGAGTCGGAACTATGGAATTTGGTCGGTGCCTTAAAAAGTACTGAATTCGGTACCTATTCCTAATGTTGAGGTGCTTGTATTTTGTTGAACCTTTTGGGCCACCATACTAAGCTGCAACACAACAACAAAACACTGCATGAAGTTTACACTATAACAGAATTAATCCGAATACTTTAATTGCACCCAAAACTTAAGAAAATGAGAGACAACAGTGTTCGGGCTTGGTGAGTTTATAACTTTTGTGTCTTGTTGAACCTTTTGGGCCATTGTAGTGTTAGGCTGATGACTTGATCTAAATAATCCTAAGAATTGTTTGCATATTTACCTAAATTCAATTGAAAAGTCCAAATCCACCTCCAACAAACTAACGTCATAGTTTAGTTACATCAGAGCACTGTAACAGTGTTTCTGACCTTAAGAGCTTTCAGCAGTTAAAAGAGTAATACTGAACAGGTGAGAGGCTGATAACAGTGTATGCAGATCCTTTAATTACGGTATGGGACAATGTGAGGTAGAATACCACTCAAGCAAACACACCAACATTGTTGCCAGACATCAAACACAAAGTTGTAGAGGTTATTGTGAGTGCGAGAAACGATAAAACCTTCAAACTTCACCAAAATTGGTGTGGCCCGTCTCCTTGGCGTGTTCACGCGCCTCCTTTTGTCCCACCAGGCCAGTTTGACACACCATGCAGCGCAGTGCGAAGCGGTTAACATCTGTGAACTGGCGCTTGCGGCGAGCCTCATCTGCCAACTCTAGAGCCTGAGCCAAGATTATGTCATCTGTTGTGGAAAAGATAGTCTGAGGGGGGCTTTCAGAACCGGGCATCACTTTCTGCAGCGGGTCATAGTGGATGCCGTCGTAGATGAGCAAGACACGTTTGTGGTAGCCAGCATCCTCCCCAAATCTATCTACTCGAACTGTCTGAGTGTCCACCACACAGATCTCACACTGGTAAAACTTAGACAAAATAGACACCTCAATGGCTCCTCCCCAAGTGTCATCGCGTCTTATCCAGGTGCAGTAGTCCTCATTTGTTTTTCCCAGCACAGCCTCAGAATAAGCTGCAGGGTCACTTGACACTATCTGGGAAATAAGGCCACGCATCTCAGGGGCACAAGCGGGGTCGTACACACCTCCCTCCACAACATAATAAATACTGGTGAAGAGGCAGGAGTTGTCAGCTGGGACCACCCGACGTACCAGCACAGGTGAGGCTTCCAGGCGTGGTACTTTCACAACGAGATGATCCTGAGGTTTTGGCTTGTTTTGCTCTTCCTCAACAATGAGCGTGTCTCCTGTAGATAATGACACACAAAACTGTTTATTCTGGTCACGCTGTGGCACTATCACAGCCGCTTGTCTAAGAGGAAACAATGGCTTTATCTTTGACCAAGTGTAGGGATGGGTACCTTTGATATTTGAATCGATCCGGTACTAATTCCCGGTACCTACGAATCGATACCGGTACTTTTCGATACTTTTGAGTGTTTATTATTTTAATTCTTTTATAATTAAATATATATTTTTCTCAATATATAACCATATTTGATAAATATCACGATAAATAACATTGAACTGTTTGTATTTTAACATCGTCCTTGTAGTTTTATAAGCTGATAATTAAACTGAAGCAAACATCTTTACTGTGAACTAAATTTACTGCGTATCTTCATTCCTTTTGCAGTCTTTTTTCATTTGATTTTTCCTACTGGGAAGTTAGAATTTCCAAGGAGAAAGCGAACGCACCATTAGATGATAACAACGGTGGCAATGGAAGCTAACATATCAAGCTAACGTTATCTTTAACAGTTTATTTAACTGCTGGAGCAGATTAAAACGATGATGCCTCGCACTTAGATCGTTGTCGCTGGTTTCATCTTCACCCAATCACCCGTCGCATTTAGCAAAGTGAAGCCAAACTTTAGAGCGCGTTCATGTTCTAGTCAGAAATTCGGAGTTCCGAGGAGAAAGCGAACGCACCATTAGCGAAACGGAAGCTAACATATCAAGGTAACGCTATCTTAAACATTTTATTTACCTACCGGAGCAGATTAAGATGAGGATGTCTCACTTAGATCGTTGTCTGTCGCTGGTTTCATCATCACCCCGTTACCCATCACATTTAGTGAAGTGGACCCAAGCTTTAGCGTGTGTTCTTTCTACCCATGCTGCTGTTTACAACTCGCTCACAGGGACCGACGACATAACGCTCTTGCGCATGCGCAGCTGTCTTGGCAAGTTCTCGTTATGAAGGACGGGTACCGAAACGAGGCACCGTTTGAAACGACGTGAATCGGTGCTCGGTCGGTACTATGGAATTCGGTCGGTACCTTAAAAAGTACCAAATTCGGTACTCATCCCTACAAGTACCTCCTTTTTATACAAGGAAAACAAACAAACATGTTTGTATTTAGCTACTTTGTGTGGAACAGACCTGATTTAATGGGGTAGTCCTTTAGGTGTGCATCTCCATTTCGAAGGTCAAGGCTGGATGGAGGATACCCAACCATTATTTTCTGCACATCACAGGCGATCCCTGTCAGCTCCTCCACTTTGGTCTTTAGCTCCTGAACGCAGGACTGATGAGTCAGACCCTGCATTATGTGGCTCCCATTTTTGGTCTTACAGCGAAGCCGCAACATTCTGCCAACAGAAACAAGTGGCATCAGATTTGTAACACATTAAATATTTTGTAATCAGCAAAGAATTCTGAAATGACACTTTTTGACAAAAGAATAATTAACGTTTATAAGAACTTGCTTGATTTGTAAAGGTACATGAAATACGAATGACATCCTGTGGTCAAATATGCATAGTGCAGTCCATGTATCAAAACAAATACTGTTGCCAGTCACGGATCAGTGCCAGAAGGGATGACGAGCGAAGACAAGTCAAACACAGGAAGTTGATAAGTAGATAAAAACATTTCTCTGCAATATCAAGCTGTTGGTCATTGGAAAAAAAAGTATCTTGAAACAAGTTTAGAGCAGGGGTGCTGATACCTGGTCATGGAGGGCCGGTATCCTGCATGTTTTAGTGGGTTCTCTGCTCCAACACACTTGATTCAGAAGTTGAATCACCTGTGCAGCAGCTCATCAGGCTCTGCAGATGCCTGTTAATCACCTGCTGATTGAAGTCAGGTGTGCTGAAGCAGTTACAACTAAAATATGATGGATACTGGCCCTCCAGGACCAGGATTAGGCACCCCTGGTTTAGAGCCAACTATTATTTTCAAATTCACTGTTAACACTGTTAGCCTCTAGCCTGATTAACCTAACATTTGAGTAAAACAAAAAGGATGCCGTGGCTTCTTAGGTTTACAAGAAAAAAACTTCTGGGCTGCTCCTTTTAATGGTTTCCATTTTTTTCAATACGCTGCTGCTTTTGCAGGTCATTGCCAAATTACAAATGCTGGCGTAGACTTGACAACCTTGTGGGCTCACATATGAGTGGGTCTGGAACCAGGAAGTAAATAGCCGGGATAGATTGTAAACAATGATTATGGGTGTTTCACAATATCAAGGAACCTTGCCTTGATGTCTTGGCCCCGCCCTGGTTGCCTAGGAGATACATCATCAGGAGCCGTCAAGACGTGTTCCAGTCGGTTCCAATGTTCATGTTCTACCAAGGCATGCGTTCTCCGTTTGTTAGCCGCTTACCTAGCTGAGCAAGGACACGCGGTATTTTCTAAAGGACGGCGGACCAGAAGCTGGCAGCTACTTCAGGGACAATTTTCAAGTTTAAAAGTAAGTCAACTAATTTAAAATGTTTTTTTAGATCCAAAGAAGTTATCTATTGTTGGCTAGTTGCTTAGTAGTTTCAGCTTTGGTGGCTAGTGGGTAGTAACTCACTTATATTTTTAATTTAATAAACATACACAATTTAAAAAGTAAAAAGGCTCATTATATATTTATGCTGAAACTAATACATATGAAATATGACGTTATCTCCCATGTCACGTGACATTACGTGACTGCTGTGGAAGCCGCGGTCACGTGATGCAAGTCTGTTCCATTTAATCATTTTCTTTGACCAAGGAAGGACAGTGTGCTTGTAAGCAAGGCACCTGGTCTCGCAAGACATCGCCTCGCAAGGCCAGGCGCCTTGACATTGAGAAACACCCTACATCCCTGTGCAGCCTTTTTAAAAGGAGAAAAACCTGGCAGTCACCCACCCAGCTGAGAAGGAAATCTGTTTCAATATAACCTTCCTTCGACTGAGACAGTAGATTTGTTAGTGATCATGTCACTAAAGAGAGCCTAATTCACGCCCATTTACTTCCCGACCACGGGTCCCCGGAAGAACAAAAAAAAAAAAAAAAAAAAAAAGAATGCAAGTCAACGGGCCTAAAAACGCTATTTTCTAATTCCGCCTGTTGTGTTCTATGGATTTCACATATGACGTCCGTAAATTTTAAATAATCTTTCTGATACCAAAAAAGCGCTTATATTTGAATGGGGGAAAACACTATTTTAAGTTTGTGTGAAAATAAATCCAGGACTACATATGCGTTTTACGAAAGTGACATCATCAAACCAGACACGGAAAAAACAGATAGAAAATGGCTGTAAGTTCAGCGAACTTCCCACAGGAGGAAAGAACCACCATTAATCTGGTCATTTGGTGAGTAGCAGCTACACTAGAGGAGAGGAGATTATGTGGTGACGTCACTAATGTGACGTGCCGATTTCTAGTGTGTAGCCATGCTAATTACGAACTTTTGCAAGCTGATAAATCTTAAAGTACATGACTGGCGTGGTCGAAACACCCATCATTTGTTTTAATTTAAATTGCAGTACAACATATGTGCGACCCAGGACCTAAGGCGAAGCAGATTAGAAAATAGCGTTTTTAGCCCCGTTGACTTGCATTCATCTTTTCCTTCTTCACCCATGAGCTGACTGGAAAGGGAGCAAACTTAAGCCTGATTCACGCTTAAGCAAAGGCACATTTGTGCGCACCCCCCGCTGCTGCAATGTCGAATCTCCTCTATTCATACTGGCCCGACCTGTTGCAAAGAAATTCTCCACCAGGACAGCAGGAGGCGCATTCCTAACTTATTGGCCTGAGTTTTGAAGAAATTCTCCGCCAAAACAACAGAGGGCGCGCTCCTTTGCAGGTGTGCATACTCTTGTAGTGACGTGTCTGCCCTACTACTATTTACTATTTGCGACGTGAAAAGATGGACGACACAGACACAGAGCGAATTTTTATTGAGCAGGAGCTGCTTGAGCTAGAAGAACAACAACTATTATTAGAAAGAGCACAGCGAGAACGACGAAGGAAGAGGCGTAGGTGGAGTGTCTGTCCATTGAACATGGCAAGACCGAGTACGGGCGAATATGCCACTCTTGTTCGACCTATAAGGGACGTTGATGATGAAATGCATTTCAGATTAGGGCTGCAACAACGAATCGATAAATTCGATGAAAATCGATTACTAAAAGCGTTGGCAACGAATTGCGTCATCGATTCGTTGTGTCGCACAACTCTTCCAAAAGCGCCCCCCCCCCTTCCCGCCCGCCGTTGCGCGCAGACCAGAGCAAGTCAGATCAGCGCGAGGGAGAGCCGCAGAGCAGCGCGAGGGAGAGCTGCAGAGCAGCGCGAGGGAGAGCCGGCAGATCAGCGCGAGGGAGAGCCGGCAGATCAGCGTGAGGGAGAGCCGGTAGCGGCAGATCAGCGCGAGGGAGAGCCGGCAGACTTGCGCTGCTGCGAACCGGTTCCGCATTGTTGCACAGCGATCCAGGCAGCTGCTTCCAGCGCACGGTCCATTCTCAAAGTGGCGCAACCAAAAAACTATAATTAGCACACGATCGTTCATGTCCGCACATGTTCTCTATTTTCTGTCTTATCTGTGCCTGAAGCTGGCTACTGCGGAGGTCATCACCTGTGCTGTGGTCGTGATGTCACCTCACGCAGCATCGAAAACGCGCTCTGCGCTTTTCGGTCAGGAGATCCCTTTGATCTGCTCAAAAGTAACTGATGAGGTGAAAAGGTAAGAATCCAGGCAACAGTTTTTCTGGAGAATTAAGAGGAGATGCAGGAAGATGAGAGACAGACAGGACAGGAAAATATAGTTAAATAAAAACAAGAAAACAAAACAAAGTGTTGAAAAGTAAAATGTAGGTAGATTTATCTCCACTACACGTTTTTACCAGTAAAAAACAATAAGTTATACACATGTAATATTTATACATCTGATACAATTCAGATCACCTTCAAAACTCAGTCACACACCCAGGGCCGTTTCAAGACATTTTGGGGGCCAAGGCAAAATGTCCCCCCCCCCCCCCCCCAAATAACTGGGCTCCCCAGAAGCCTCTGTGTAATTCATGCCCTCTCCAGTAGTGTTAGTTATATGGTGTTTATAAAAGCCCCTCAGACATTACTGACATGTTCTAATATTATCAGATGAAAAACTAAATTATCAGACATGCTGTCTCATCTGCTTCTTTTATAAACTTGCAAAAAGTAACAAAACCATTTGAAAGCCACTATTTGTGGATTCTCTGAAAGTTTCCATGGAGTGTGGGACAACTTATTTTTTCATTGATCCTATCGTCTAATCTCACAGCTGAAACAAGAATCCTTAATAATCTGTGCACAGGAAGCTTACCGATGCTGTAGTAAAACAAAAGGTATAATAATTTATTATTAATAAAACCTTGTTGCAGCACTAAAGCAGAAAAATTAGATTTTGCATTAAATATGCAAAATATTTACATATGAATTGTTTTAGAGCCCTTTTATTGGCAGAATCTGATATTAATTTAGTTCTTACAAAAAATGGGTCCCAACATGGTTTGTGTGGCGTTGCCATAGTGTGACGTCATAGACACAGATCCCCTGTCCTCTTGTTTGGAAATGGAAATATGATCACCCTACATTAAACAAACTGTCCACCCGGGCTTTTGCGCTGCACAGAGACGCTTCGCTGCCTACGACTGAACGTCAGTTGAGAGTCAGTCTCATGCAGACTGACCAATGAAGAGAGGGCCTCAAGTTAAGACCCTCTCCTCATTGGTCAGTCCACACGAGGTGGGTCAAAGGTTACTCTGGGCGGGTTACGTGTTGTCAGGAATTCAAGTATTGAGTATATTTACTGCATATTACAGTAAAATATTCTGTATGTGACCACATTATGGTGATCCTTGGGTCGTGATGATGGAGCCCTTGAATATTGTTGCCCAGGGTACAACAAAGTGTTAATCTGGCCCTGGTTCCGCCGTCACATTCCCGCAGAAACTGGTTGATCACACCGGGGCCAGACTACTAGCATGTGGTTTTACAACCACAATGTCCTCAGAAGCAAAAACACTTTTAAAAGGGAGGGAGGAGTCCTAACTGTTGCTGCAGGCGTGTTGTGTGAGAGTGCAGTTATATACTGGTTAATATATTTTTGGGTTCAGTTGCTTTCATGTGGCCTAATGTGAGTCTATTTGGGATCATTGGAATGATCAGCAGCATTTCTTGATGTGACTTTATGGCAGTTGCCCAAGGCATCATCGCAAGGAGGATGGCATTCATTTACTTTTGTTTTATTTGGTATTTTTTCAGTCATTTTTGGAAATAGTGATCAATTTTGATTAATTCACAGCCTATGTTTAATTACATTTAAAATAAATGTCAACAGATGAGATCAAACAAAACAGATGAGAATTGCCCTTAAGCTGTTTAACTTGGACCAAGCATTTTAGGTCACAGATAGATGTAGCTTAGGGTCTCTGTCTATACACCTTATAAGACAATTTAGGTGATGGCATGTTGTTTTTCTGCTATTGAACTGTTTTCTAATAATGTTGTGTTAAATAAAGTGAAGGAAGGAGAGAAATAACGTTTCCCTAGCAGTTTTTAAAAATTTCCCCATGTAATCCGATTAATCGATTAATCGTGTCGAGACACCATCCGATTAATCGATTATCCAAATAATTGTTTGGTGCAGCCCTATTTCAGATACTTTCGCATGACTGCCACCCGATACGATAAGCTGGTTTGTCGTTTGGCACCACTTCTACAGCACCAGGGAACAAATTCCATGCCAATTTATGCTGCACAGAGACTTGCCATTACCCTGCGGGTTTTCGCTTCTGGTGCGCCCCAACAGGCAGTCGGTGCGAGCTATAAAATGGGTTCCAGCACAGTTTCGGGGATTGTGACCGAGGTTTGCAAAGCGTCGTGGGCCGCACTGCCGCCTGAATTTCTCACCTGCCCCTCCACAAGCCAGTAGACTGCCATAGCAAAGGACTTTTGGCGACTGTGGAACTTTCCAAACTGTGGGTAGCCTCGATGAAAAGCATGTAAAACATTAAAGCACCACCGAATGCTGGGAGTGACTACTTCAACTACACGTCTTCAACGCGTCTCATCATGGCGATCCAACAGATCCGACATGCTGGAGCAGTGTCAGTATGAATCAGCCTTTAGGCTCCCTATAAAATCTTACTTATTGCACCTTTCTCAAGTAAAATCTAGTAATCTTGTTAATGTAAATTATATGTTCTCAATATGATCACAGTAAAATCTGTATACATTTGCTTCAGTTAGTTACAATAGATACTTAAAAATGTGTTAATAAAAAACACGCTTGCTAATATATAATTTAATTTAACCTATGAATAAAACCCATGCCACGTTTGTGTTCAATGCTTCGCTAATATCACGCACTAAATCTAGGTGAAGTTTTTCTATATTTCGAACGAACAGTGATTATTACTAAGAGTGATTTTCTCCTGTTGCTTGTGAGTCTCTGTTACGGTGGTGAATTGCCTTCCTCGTTGTTTTGTTACTGTTATTTTAATGCTCCCGGGATTGGACTTACCAAGAAAAGTGCTGACGACGAGGGGATTTTAATCCCAACAGCTGTATTGCTTTGTTTGTTTCTTTGTTCTAGTGGACACTGACGACTTCCATTCAATATTAGCAACAACAAGCTAACAAGCACATATAGCTAAAACCTCACCGTCTCACGTCAGTGGACACTACTTAATGGTGAGGAACTCACAACAGTCAACTGTCTGGTCAATTCGCTACAAACTGCTGTCCTTAAAACAGACGAGGGAGAAAAAGAAAACACTTGTCTACTTAAGTTACTAGAACTAACGTTAGCATGCTAATCTGGCAGTTAGCTTTGGTTAATTAACTATTGGACTCGGCATCGTTTGAGTCTCTAAGAAATAAGTCAGTTTTAATTTTAACAATTTCACATAGAATATAATTTAAGAAGCAACAAAGTCAGTTACATTATATTCATACCTGTCGTTGTCTGCAGTCCTGCTAGCCCCAAACAATAAACCTCCAGCGACAGACCAATATCAATAGCCGTTAAAATTACGTCATGACGCTATACGCCGTAGAGTTGGGGTTGTACGGCAAGCCACTTTAACATTTAATAATCAACCGCATTTGGCAGCATGTGATTCCTCAAAAAAAAAAAGTATTTATCCTAGTAATAGTATTCTTATTATCCAAAACTGTCAACAAAGATACTAGCAGATCTGTTGTGTTGTCAGTAGAAATTATATTTAAGGAAGTCCACAATAGCAACTTCCCTATAGGAAAAATGTTTTAATTTTACCTGTTTACCATTTTACCTGAGGCATGGACTTATAGTAGAATTTCTACTATTAATGGCTGAAGTGTATATGTATCACCTAGTGAGAGTTTAGATCCGGCTATTCAAAATGTCCATTCCAGATAGGAAGAATGTTTTTGTGGATGAGAGGTGCCGAGCAGGGGTGGGCATACTAATTGCCCTAAATCTTGGTAGCTGTATGTTGGGGTTTACCCCAGTGAATGAGAGGGTAGCCTCCCTCCGTCTACGTGTGGAGGGACAGGTTCTGACTATGGTCTGTGCTTATGCACCAAACTACAGTTCAGAGTCAGACTACCCACCCTTTTTGGAGACCTTGGAGGGGGTGCTGGAAAACGCTCCTTCCGGTGACTCTCTTGTTCTGCTGGGGGACTTTAACGCTCACGTGAGCAATGACAATGAGACCTGGAGAGGTGTGGTTGGGAGGAACAGCCCCCCTGATCTGAATTCGAGTGGTGTTTTGTTATTGGATTTCTGTGCCAGTCATGGATTGTCCATGAGGAACATCATGTTCAGACATAAAGGTGTCCATATGTGCTCTTGGCACCAGGATACCTTAGGCCGCAGCTCGATGATCGACTTTGCTGTTGTTTCATCTGAACTGCGGCTGCATGTCTTGGACACTCGGGTGAAGAGAGGGGCGGAGCTGTCAACTGACCACTACCTGGTGGTGAGTTGGCTCAGACGGTGGGGGAGAATGCCGGTCAGACTAGGCAGGCCCAAACGTATCGCGAGGGTCTGTTGGGAATGTCTGGCAGAGTCTCCTGTCAGAAGGAGCTTCAATTCCCACCTCCGACAGAACTTTCAAAATGTTCCAGGGGAGGCAGGGGACATTGAGTCTGAATGGACCCTGTTCCGTGCCTCCATTGTTGAGGCGGCCGACCAGAGATGTGGTCGCAGGATCGTCGGTGCCTGTTGTGGTGGCAACCCCCGAACCCGCTGGTGGACACTGGTGGTTAGGGATGCTGTCAAGCTGAAGAAAGAGTCCTATCAGGTCTTTTTGATCTGTGGGACTCCAGAGGCAGCTATCGGGTACCGGCAGTCCAAGTGAAACGCGGCTCGGGTGGTCGCCAAGGCAAAAACCCGGTCATGGGAGGAGTTCGGTGAGACCATGGAGCAAGACTTCCGTACGGCTTCGAGGAGATTCTGGTCCATCATCCGACGCCTCGGGGGGGGGGGGGGGGGGGGGGGCAGTACACTACCAACACTATCTATAGTGGGGACAGTGTGCTGCTGATCTCTATTCAGGATGTTGTGGATTGGTGGGCAGAATACTTCGAAGACCTCCTCAATCTCACCGACACGTCTTCCAGTAAGGAAGCAGAGTCTGGGGACTTTGGGTTGGCCTCTCAAATCTCGTGTGCTGAGGTCACTGAGGTGGTTAAAAAGCTCCTCTGTGGCAAGGCTCCAGGGGTGGATGAGATGCGCCCGGAGTTCCTTAAGGCTCTGGATGTTGTGGGGCTGTGTTGGCTGACACGGCTCTGCAATATCGCGTGGACATTGGGGGCAGTCCCACTGGACTGGCAGACCGGGGTGGTGGTCCCCTTATTTAAAAAGGGGGACCGCAGGGTGTGTTCCAACTACAAGGGATCACACTCCTGAGCCTTCCTGGTAAGGTCTATTCAGGGGTTCTGGAGAGGAGGGTCCGTTGGATTGTTGAACCTCAGATTCAGGAGGAGCAATGTTGTTTTCGTCCTGGCCGTGGAACACTGGACCAGCTCTATACCCTTAGGGGGATGCTGGAGGGTGCATGGGAATTTGCCCAACCAGTCTACATGCGTTTTGTGGATTTGGAGAAGGCGTTTGACCACGTCCCTCGGGGGGCCCTGTGGGGGGTACGCCGGGACTATGGGGTACCAGGCCCTCTGATACGGGCTGTTAGGTCCCTGTATGACCGGTGTCAGAGCTTGGTCCGCATTGCCGGCAGTAAGTCGGGCTCATTCCCAGTGAGAGTTGGACTCCGCCAAGGCTGCCCTTTGTCACCGATTCTGTTCATAACCGATTTCTAGGCGCAGCCAAGGTGTGGAGACGGGCATCCGTTTTGGTGGCCTGAGGATCAGGTCTCTGCTTTTTGCAGATGATGTGGCCCTGTTGGCTTCATCAGAATGTGATCGAGTGGTTCGCAGCCGAGTGTGAAGCCAACACATTCTCACTCCCAGCACGTCAAAAACAAACACTTGGTCAGCCACCCTCCACGTCAGACCCCGGACGCCAAAAGTGCCCTTTTTCGTTACTTATGTGAAAAAAGGGGTTTTTCCCTTTTGTGACTGCAGTTCCCAATGCAGCGTAAAACTGACGTGATTAGATATCCGCTGATGCGGCACCGAACCAGCTCATTTAACTGCACCTAAACCTTAAATGCGGCACCAAACCAGCTCATTTAACCGCACCTAAACCTTAACGTTTCACTATTTATAACCTTCCCCTCTCCCTCATCCTAACCTTAACCCTCTTGCTACCTAAAACGTTACTCTCACTGCGATCAAGCGTTTGTTTCCCATGCATTCTGACTCTGACAGTCAGACTCTGTGAATTTTCGTATTTGCAGCCCAAGGGGAACGTTAGAACATACCATCTGGTGAGGGGGAGGTTACAAATACCCTCTGCTTTTAACCTCCACCGCGGTAGTTGAAACCTCCCCCTCACGTTGGCTCGGTCCAAACTCGACCAATGACGAGGAGGCTCCCGCCATTCGCTTCATAGAGCCGGCTTTTAGAGCGATTGACACATCACTAACGTGTTCGCTAGCAAGATGGTTAAGGTTAGGATAGGGGTGAGGGGAAGGTTAAATAAGAGGATACGGTTAAGGTGAGGTACAATGAGCTTGTTTGGCGCCCTGGCTGCGGACATCCCTTCGCGTCAGTGTAATGCTGCATTGGGATCGGCAGTTAAATAAGGGAAAAACCCCTTGTCGCACATAAGTAACGAAAAAGGGCACTTTTGGCGTCAGGGGTCTGACGTGGAGGGTGGCTGACCAAGCGTTTGTTTTTGACGCGCTGGGAGTGAGAATGTGTTGGTGAAGCAGCTGGGATGAGAATCCGCTCCTCTAAATCTGAGACCATGGTCTTGATTCGGAAAAGGGTAGATTGCCTTCTCCGGGTCAGGGATGAGGTCCTGCCCCAAGTGGAGGAGTATAAGTATCTCGGGGTCTTGTTCACGAGTGAGGGAAAACTGGAGCATGAAATCAATAGGCGGATTGGTGCTGCATCTGCAGTGATGCGGGCGTTTTACCGGTCTGTGGTGGTGAAAAGAGAGCTGAGTCAGAAGGCGAAGCTCTCGATTTACTGGTCGATCTCCGTTCCTACCCTCACCTATGGTCATGAGCTTTGGGTAGTGACTGAAAGAACGAGATCGCGGATGCAAGCGGTCGAAATGAGTTTTCTCCGAAGAGTGGCTGGGCTCTCCCTTAGAGATAGGGTGAGAAGCTCGGTCATTTGGGAGGGGCTCGGAGTTGACCCGTTGCTCCTCCACATCAAGAGGAGCAAGTTGTGGTGGCTCGGGCATCTGGTCAGGATGCCTCCTGGACGCCTCCCTGGTGAGGAAAGGGGAGGAAAATGGATGGATGGATGGATGGATGGAGGCGCTGCAAAGCCCAGTGCACACGAATGGGAAACATGACGTCATTTATCCTAGAAAGAATTTGTCACACAACCTCCCTCTCAGCCGTCAACCTCCTCTAGGGAGGCACCGCAGAGCCGCTCAGACTCCATTACCCAACATCCCCAGCGCCAGGCTTCCGTTTCACGTCACCCGCCAAATCTATATAAGGAAGTGCCGCACAACGCCGGCTCACTCAGTCATCGTTTTAACAGAACCTAATCTAGAGTTCCAAACCAGATCAGCTCAGATCACGACGCCTGTTCAGATCAGACCAGCCAGACCTCAGAATCCTGCCTGTTCGTACAGATCAGCTTCAGACCAGGAGTCGTCGTGTTCAGCTGTGCCACCATACAGCTGCGCACCCGGCTCCCAGATTAAACAGCGTGTCCATTCAACCCGGCGTCAGTCAGTCCGCGCTTGGGTTAAAAGCCACGCCACATCCAAACCCTCGCCCAGCTCGAGTCACGCCGTTACAGAATTGAGTTTGAGAGACCTGAAAAGTGTTCATTGTGGATAGGCTGCTATTATGGAAATCTGGAATGTTATGCATGTCAGTCTGATTAATAAAAGTCTTGCCTAATAAACGGCTTGCTATACAGCTCTGGGGAGAATGATCCACCTGCTTCAGATATCCAAACATAAACTGTCAATCATTCATTGTTTTAGCTTGCGCCGTATTTATTGTATTATGTTTTAAACATAAGAACTGGGACCCCTGCTGTGCTGCCAAACAAAGTAAACTACATATTTATATTTATAATCTATAATTTATATTTAAAACTGACGTCACAGTAGTAACTGTATAAAAAAGAAGGGAGCGGTTGAGTTTTTTCAGAGGACAAAAGCTGTGCATCAATCACATCCTATAACTAACAAGCACATTCGCTGCAGTCTCACTATCATTTCAGCCAAATGTATTCATTTTCTGAGAGTCTTTTGCTGATGGAAAATTTAACAGGCTGGTGTTTAATGTGCAATTTGAATACTGTTAATTTGTTGCTCCAGATTGGCTTCCTTTGTCTTCAAACACAATGTTATTTAAGTGTCCGCTCACTTCAGAGGGAGATGGTGGAGAGAAACCTCACAAATGCACGGAGATAAACTTCATAAAATGGCTAACCACTCTCACTGTGGTGCTAACCAGCGCACCACCATGAGGTGTTTAGAAATCCAGTCCATAAAAATCACAACTACAGAACATTTGTGTGATACAAACACACATCTTTATTATAAAATAGGTTTATATAACATCTAATTTATGTTCAGTTTTATATAGTGAAATGATAAACGCATAATTTGTCCCTATTCATTCTGTGAAATACTAAAAGCTATCTGTGTTGATATATTTGAAGCTCAGTAAGTATCTACCAAGACAAGATGTGTAATACACAATGTTCTGGCTGACTGATTACATTTTTTGGTAAACATGCAGTTGTGCTTATGGCTCTGAGGATAAGGTTCCAGTTCAGAGACTACAGAGAAAAGACAAGCGAGTCGCCTTGAGACAAACAGGAAGCTGTTACGTTGTGCACGAGTGATCCCTCCTTCAGCAGGAACTCTGCGTCCTGCAACCCGAACATCATCAAAAAACAAAGCTACAGAAATCAAAAGAAAGAAGTGCTTCCACAGTGATTCACGAAAAACCCAGGAACCTGCTTGCACAGGAGGACACGGATCCAACCTTCACTCAGAAGCGGACACAGCCACTAGTTTCTTCTGGGCCGTCAAAGTTGATTCCTTCACACAAGAACTCCTAGGAACAAAAAGTGACCATCATCCAGACATTAGTTCCTTACAAAAGGACCTCCACTAGGATTCTCAGCACAAAAATAAACTCTGCTGGCTTTCAATTCTAATCTGTGTTTAACTTCTAATTAATGTAAAATCAGTTTTCTGGTCACATTTCACCGTCTTAAAATAAATAAGCACTAACATTAAACAGATATTTGTTAATGTACTAACATAATTAACTGCTCCTGATAAGGCTGCGAAGGCTAAATAATTTGACACCAACTTCCAAAGGTGATAAAACATAAGAGAAATCCCATAAACCCATAAACATAAGAAAGGGCATCAAAAATAATTAACATTAACACACAAAGAGATGAAATGTCATGAGTCGAAGGATGAAGGAAAATGAAAAACTGGGAACAAGTACTAAGTCTCCAAAATACTCACAGACAACCGTTTCCTGTCCAAGTCTGAAAGACAGTTTTGGAGAAAGCAAAAACAGAGAAAGAGATAGAAATGTGGAGAAAGGCAGAAGCACTGCACCTGCAAGGCCACTGGTTACACAGGCAAGTATGAAAAGAATGTTTTTAATTGAATAACTCATTTTGTATCTGATTTGAATGACGACCATGAGAACTAAAGTGCATTTACTTAATAAAAACATTTTTCTGTAAAAAAGGTTTTCTAATTGTTATGTGTGTGTAAAGATTTGCTGCAAAGTATTGCAAAAAATGTTTGTGTGTCTTGGGCCGAGCACACATGTAGCCGGGTTTTTGTAAACAACATTACATTTTGTAAACCAATATCCTCCCACGCCCATCTGGGAAAGAATTGTGGCTCCACACCACCCCACCCTCGTTTTCAGGAGAAAAATCTAATGAATTTTGAAGGACATTCATTGGCAGCCTGTAGGTGGCAGGAGTTCCCCAAATCATCTGTGCCTTTTCTCAAAAACCTTCCGTGGGTATGGAATAGCTAGGTGGTGGGCAATACCCGTCCTTAATGTCATACTTACTCTGATTTGCACTACTGTAGGTCATTCATCCTCTCTGCAATAAGAGTGTATAACCCCTCAGTTTAACTGGTACTGGCATTATCCTGTTGCACAATATTGTAATATATGAAATATTCAGTATGTGTTCAATACATGTGCAATTCTGGATGTACATCAGTATGTTTGTGTCTCTTATGCCATTTAGTTCAGTAAACCAAAGTTTCATTTGCATTCGTTGTTTTTAGTGGCTGAAGGTTGCAATAATAGCTTATTGCCTTGCTGTAAAGAGTGAATGTCCCCACTGTGGGATCAGTAAATTCTATTCTATTCTATTCCATTCTATTCTATTCTATTCTATTCTATTCTATTCTAGAGCAGTAACTGTTAGTGTATACACATGTTGCATATGTAATGCCAGAGCTTTTTCTTCTGTAGGCAGAGACGTTGTGAAACCTAAAGATTATTTACGTCTAAAAGCAAAAAAATGGAGAATTCTCAGATCTCCATATTGGTTGGAGTTTTTGAAAGGATTGTTTTTGGTACCATTCATCTTCACTTTCATGAGGATGAATCACAAAAAAATATTTTTTTTTCTTTTGTGGGATACCCAGCTACATGAGTACAGGAGCTTGTTCACAGTGAAAGGCATGCTTGTCTACAAGCTATAGACAGTGCTTTAATGAGGCAAGGATCGTGGAAGACGAGCCTAACATTAAAGGATGCAGAACATGCCCTGGGAGAGAAAGACAGGTGCACGGGTGAAACTCATGAACACCACTTGCAAGACACACTACACCAGGAAGATCCAAAACTGAGGCAAGAGAATGCTATAACACTCTGCTGGGAGGTGGATGGGTTACATCAGACTGTGACAGATTTAGAGGTTAGCCTGTAACTCTGTCACTGACTTGACTTTGTAGTCCCTCTGGCATCAGAGCCGATGGGGTAGGGGCGAGCGGTAGCCACGGCTGGCTGCCAACGCTGTAGAGCCTGGGCCGCTTGATCTGGTCCAGACTGGACAAGGGCGTGTAACTATTCCGACGATGTATGAGAGCCGTGTCCCTTGGAATTTTACCCTGTTTAAAGGACGAAATACCGCAGTTGTTAAAGGATTAAAATGAGGGGAAATGTAAGAGCAGGGACACCAAATGGGATACAAAGTGTACAAAAGCACTAATGAACAGTTAGGAAGGGATTACAATTGGACGAATGAATCAACAAAGCACATTTTACACGATGTAACGGCTCAAATGCGTCAAGTTTTGTTTTCAGTAATCTAAATCTCAAGATGCAAGTAGGGAAATGATTCAATCAGCCAAGCAAATTAGCAGCCAGCTTCTACTGAGGTAAAACACAATTAACACTATTCCTTATTTTCATTTTTGCGCCCAAAGCTCAAGCCAAGCTGTTTATAAAAGTCTCATTCACTCATTTGTTTCAATAAATCTACTGTGGTCTCGAGTGTAAAGAAATGCCTTGTGAGTTGAAAACAGCTCTGGCACTCCGTTTGTCGGAGGAGTAGTGGGAAGGAATTGACAGGATTAAGAGTCTTACTCATCAATATTCATGATATGCAAATGTCTCACCACTGATTGGCTAACAGCAATACAACTTTTCTGCTGACTTTGATAACAAAACTCAGACTATTGTAAAATGTATTTTCTTAAATAAAAATGCAACATGCATTTATATAGCGCCTTCTAGGATTTAACACCCCCCTAAAGCCTGATATATATTTGTCCGTTTGCGTCGGTGCGGAGACATGCAACGCCATTATGCGTCGGCGGAAGGGATTTCCTACGGGCTCACAGAGGGTGACGGAGACATGCCCAAAATTTTAAACATCTGTCAAAAGTGAGGGAGACTGCAAGCTTGTGATTGGTCAGGATGCCGCTTCCTGTAAATTCATCACCAGCCCTGCTGTAGCTAATGTTAAAAAGTAAACAGATATTTAGCGGCAGACCCCAAACAGATTGAATAACGCCTCGCGGAAAAAGTCAGAAAATATTAACATTTATTCACCCGTGAGTGAAGTAGCACAAAATATGGAGCAAACGTGGATGGAAACGACGGGAAATGTGGGTTTAGAGGTGACAACCGCATGAAGAGGTGGAGGAGAACAAGGGACAAATTTGTCCATGTTGTAAAGTTTCTGAAATATATAAACACATTAGTAAATACACTATCGGGGACCGGATACATGAGTTTTATGGTGGCAGGACACCAAAGAAAAGTGCAATGCCCTCTGCTGTCCTGGCGGGGAATTTCTTTGCAACACTCCGCTGCCTGAACAGAAGTTCAAATGTGAAAACTTTTCCAACACTCCGTGTGTGTCTCCGTTGCGGAGATCATGGAGAAGTATAAATCAGGCTTAAGGCACTTTATAACACAGCCAGTTATTCACCCATTCACACGCTGGTGGTGATGAGCAAAGCAGCTACCCTAGGGCGCACTGATGGAAGCGAGGTCGTCGTATGCTCTGTAGGCGATAGGCAACTGCTGTTATAGTTCTGAACGACTAATTAAAGGAAGTAAAACGCCACAATTGATTCATTATTCAATTCACACATACATTTCACTGCAATATTGAGTTGTTGGTAATTGAAAAAGAAACTTAAAATACTTTTGGAGCAGACTATTTGCTTCTAATTCACCGTTAACATTGTTAGTTCAACGTTAGTCTGTAGCCTGCCTCACTCAGGATTACCCCAAAATTCCACTACCTCCGCTCCGCTCCGGCACGAACTCCGCAGCAAAATCGGTCCCGTTGTAGTCAATCAGAGCTGTTCCACTACTGCGGCCGTTCCGGCAAAAATAGGATCGATTCTATTTTTGCCGGACGCCGGAGCACCTCCGCAGTCAATGGACAGAAATCACAACCGCCCAACAGGAAAGGGAGCAAGCACAGCTTCCGTTATTTCACAATAAATCGATAAACAAAAAGCGTTTTTAGTTTCATATGCACAGCTTTAACAACTTTTAACAACTATCAATGGCGGTTGAACTTTAAATGCACAAAAGTAAGCCATAAATACAGTTTCCACTATCAAAGTAGTCGCCCTTTGTTGATCCAAACACTGCTGATCTCTCAACACAAATGATAGGCAGATTAAACAGTTCATTTTGATGCTTCTCCCACACAACGGGTGTTTAGATCTAACTTCCGCGTTTATTGCTCGGACTGTATCGCAAGATCTCGAAAATCCCACGCATGCCTGTTTGTGCACCTCAGGTCTCCGCACCAGAACGGGGGCGGAGTGGAGGTAGTGGAATTTTGGGGTTAGAGTAAAACCAAACGATGCCGTGGCTTCTTAGGGGAACAAAAAACAACTTCTGGGTCGCTCCAGTTTACTGGCTGCAGTTTTTTAAATATTTCTGGAGCTTTTTGTCAGCATGTGTCATATCACAAATGCCTGCGTGCTGCATTAGCTCGCTACAGATTCGGAAACCTCACAAACTCAGAGTGTAAACATAACCACGTCCCGATTTTCTGTTTTTCGAAAGGAGAAAAAACTGACAACCCCTCAGTCGGCTGAGAACGAAATCTGTTTCAATAACCTTCCTTCCAACGATTGAGACATTCAACAGTTTTGGGATTATTTCACTGTAAAAATTCCTACGAACTGCAACTTTAAAGAAAGAAGGGCAAAACAAAACAAGGATACAAGAATCCCAAAGTTTTTACTTAACCCTTTAGACGCCATAGTTTTTTCAGGAAAATATGAATTTTTATGTCACTATTTAAAGAGCTTGTAGCTTAAATCTGGTTAGAGATAGAGGAATATTGTAAATAGAAAAATCTTCAGTATGAGCCAAATTTTGTGATAGGAACAAATTCACTCACATAATTTGCATATTGTGACATCATGAGGTGGCAGCCATATTGGATTGCATCACATTTGCATTTTTTTAATGTTTTTGTCTTATTTTCTTAGTGTTGTTATTGTTTATGATACATATATTCCTATGTAGAGAGATGTAACTATGTATATCTAATATTTATTACTTTATTGGTATCTTGTTATGTTTACTGTTTTTGGTGCTTCAGCGTCATGAACACATTTCACTCATCCCTTCTTTGGTTTATTTTGTTTATAATACATATATATATATATATATATATATATATATATATATATATATATATATATATATATATATATATGTCCAGAATTCCTCACCCAAAAAAACTGACAGAAAATCAATGTGTTCCGAATTTGACAGATCCCTGTCTCCACAGTATCCAACTGGCTCATCAAAATGCCTGATCCACTTGGAATAATGTTCCTCTTCTCCCAAACTAACCCAGCCATCATCATTATTATTGTCACTGAGGCTGTGTTGGGCCACCCCCCTGCTAGCAGTGAGTTTTTTCCCGCGGTTCCTCCCCCTCCAGCTGCAATTCCCGCGGTTTACACCCCGGGGGCTGAATCGATCACCAGCGGAGTTTTCACCCCCCGCCACCCCGCAGTGTAATGTATTAACCGGATGAGGGCTCATTTCTGCTGCTGTTGCTTATTAAATCCAACATTGCTGCTTGTCACAATTGTGCGACTTTGGAGCTTAAAGGTTAATCAAGCTGAGCTAACCGACAACAAGAAATGCTGTATTAGATTTAGGTCATTTCCGATTAACTGGCATGCAAAATGATCACATTCTTAGCCAACATGTAATGAACTGATTTCGGCTGGGCTGCATTTATTTATTTATTTTTTACCACAAACTTACAAGTGGCCGGTCTCGATGAGTGTTTACCGCCTCCACATTCAGATAAAACATTTCCACTTTACATCCTAGGAGATTAAAGTAAAAAAGTTAATTTAAAATGTATTTGGGTGTTGCTGCAGTCATATTTGCAGACGAAGACCTACCATATGCAACAGGAGTGAGTTTAAGCACGGTGTGTAGGGGACATTTCATGTATGGAAGATCTTCTATGGAGTAAAGAACAGAGTTATCCTTTTATGTCTTTTTGTCCTGAGAGGTCTGCTACATGTGTGCGCGAGTGTGAGTGAGATTGTTTGACCTGCACCCTTGTCCAGGAAGTAAGCCAAGAGACAACGCATCACCGCTTGGTGGCAGATGACCAACACGTTACCCTGCCTTTCCAACTCCATGATAACCGGCTCCAAACGCTGGACCAGATCTTGATAAGACTACATGACGAAAAACCACTTTTATTGTAAAAGGAGATGACAATGCTGCTTGCATAATTACCCAAACATCTGCTCTAGCATGAATAAGTTGCATAAAAGACCAATGAAATGCAGGCAGTGTTGACGATGACGAGTGTTTCTGGTCACCTCCCCTCCTGGGTAGCGGTAGTGGTATTTGTCCTGGTCTCTCAAAGCAAATTCTTCTGGAAATGTCTCCTGGATCATCTGATAGGTCATCTCCTCACACACCCCCTGAAAAAGGATTAAAATGAAGTAATTTGAGTTTTTTTTTAACTGTGGCTGACATGTTTCGGCCGGAACTTCCGCCTTCGTCAGAGCCGCCAGTTGTTCGTGGCGTCACTTCCCTTTATGTGCTGGCAGCAGAGGACGATGTCGCCCTCTGCTGCCCGCATCCTTCATGCTGATAACACAGTCCCATGTGTGATCCAACGTGTAAACACCGCCATCTCTGTTCATGGTGTTGTGTCTGCGTCTCCTTATCTCCATCGCTTCTGTATTTTTGTTGTTCCGTGTTTATGATCCGTGTGAGCATGAAGGATGCGGGCAGCAGAGGGCGACATCATCCTCTGCTGCCCACACATAAACGGAAGTGAAGCCACGAACAGCTGGCGGCTCTGACAAAGGCAGATGTTCCGGTCGAAACATGTCAGCCAAAGATAACATAACATCGAATTACTACACTGTGTCCAATAAGAAAAAAGAAGATGATTATGAACCAAAACACAGAACGAACAATCAGAAAAGGATGAAAATGTGCGTGAGCAACTCTCGTTTTCACCGGGACTTTTCTTTCCAGAATTTTTTTAATCAAACCAAATCTGGTAAAAATGTCCCATTTAAGGTCTCTATAATTTCTGTCCCTCTAAACCAAAAATGTCTAAAAAGGTTTAACTGTAAAATTAGTGAATTAGGTTATTCATGACTGACTGACAGCATCGATCTCGTTGAGGATTTTCCACTGCTCATAAGGCACACCGAGCTCTTCCGCCGTCTGGATGGTCCTCCTCAGCTGGCTCGTCCACACCTTCAAGTCTGACAGTTTGTGTTCACCGATGAACTCCTGCAGGGCCCGAGCAAACTGAGAAAAAGAGGGAAGATTTTAGGTCTGTTCATCTTTAACGGCACTTCTACTTCAGTAAAGGTTGAAACCCTTTATAGGGTGAGTGACCATATTTCATTAATGTGTCACTATACTGTTATTACCACTCCTGCAGGAGTGGTCGAAACGTCAGCTCAAAAGAAGGAAAAACAACGCTTTTCTATGTTAAAAAAAAGAACCTAGTAATGCAATGGATTTATAGTTTCTATGGTAACGGATGATGAAGACAAGCTGCTGAACCTGTTTCCCACGAGGGGAAAGTTCAGCATCCCCTCCGATACGTCCCTCTACGTTGTGGTTGCTCTCTCCGTGTCGACTCAGATAGATGGAGTGGGAGTGCACGTGGATGTTCATGAGGTAGTAGACTATTTTGCTCTGGATGTAGTCCTGCACCCGATTCACCAGGAAGCGCTGGCCCACGTTAATAACTTTGATGAACGAGAGGTCCCTGCAGGTGCAAATGAATCAGTTCACAGTCGGAGGAGGACCAATGATAGGTTTTCTGTAAAAATATGGAATTCTTACATGTCGTAGTCATCAGGGTCTAAGGGTTGATAAGTGACCTTGTAGCACTCGATGCGTTTCAGGAAGTCCTCCATCACTCTCTCTCTGTGTTTCTCTGGGTAGTCTGGACTGGACACTTTCACTTCCTGAAACAGACGCTGGGAATGTGAGCGTTGGATCAGATCAGAAGTCGTGCTCAGCCGTTATCAGATCCTACCAGAATATTAGCAGCAATGACGTCTGGGTCATCGCACACTGACTCCACAAAGAAAACCTGCAGGGGTGGAAAAAAGGATGATTCAAAACATTCCTGGAATTAAAAACACACTCCAAATATGTCTTTTTCCTTTTACATGTTTGCATCAATATCTACATTCAACCTTTGATTGCCAAAAATCACAGAAAAGGGTCAGCTGAGGAGCGGTTGTGAGTTTGTGATGGTTCTCTATGAGGACACACTGACTGCTGTTTAGTCAGCTCTAAGATTCCCAGACAGCCGTTCCAATCGGCACTACCTGTTTGCTTAAATACCACAAAAAAATCATATGGTAATCCCGCTGTTTTACCTTGAAGGAATACTCCTTCACAAACGCTTGAATGAGGTCTCGTCGTTCTCTTGTTGTGTTTGTTGCATCAAAAACCTGACAATGGAGAAAGACAGGAAGAGCTTGTCGGACGGTTTAGGGTGGAGAAGGCCTTAACCCCAGACTTATTTCTGTTTAAAGATTTAAAAGATGTTGGAAACAAGTCAGGTGTGCATAAAAACAGAGAGGTGACTCACTGCAATCTGACCCCCCTCCTCCATCAGGTACTCCTTCACATCCTGCAGAGCTACTAGAGCACACTGCCTGCAGGAGACAAGGCCAAACACAAATCACATTTAGACCAAGTATTTTAGTTTACTCGTATTTCTGATACATCTACAGTGGTCTCTAGCAGGGATGAATGCCTTGTAAGTCGTACTAAGGCGAAAAAAGCTCCAATGTGCCAGTTTGAGGACGTAGGAGTCAGCTGGAGAAAGTAGCTTCAGACGGGAGGATTTGAACTCTTATTTCCTGATATTTGGACATCTCGCCTATGATTGGCTAGCAGCAACATGACTCTACCACTGACTCTACTTGCTCTGCAACGTAAATGTTTCGTTTCCAAAAATAACACAAGCCTGGAGGAGTTCTGATGTGTGGTGGAGTTGCTAATGCTAACGGTTAGCTTCCACTAACGAAGATATTCTCAGCTTTTTCCTGGAGCTAAACCAACAACAGCCTTTCCCGTCGTGAATCAAGATGGGTGAGTCCATGACTATTCAGTGACTGTGTGACGTAGATCTGTCAGGATTTTCTAATCCTAGAGTTTCACCGTCATCAAAAGCTAATGCAGGAGGTAGAATCTGAATTTGAAGGGTTTTATTGCCATATATGTGACAAAATCACTACATTGGGAAATTGCTGCAGCACTTGGTGCAAAAAGAAAGAAAGAAAGAAGCAAAAATAAGAAATAAGAACTATACAATAATAATGTAACATCCAGCAATGGTCAGTTTTCACCTATAGATTGACCTACATGCCACTGGTCATCTACAGACCTATTTCCACCCTCTAAGGTGGATTTTACATTCTACCTTCCAACACGGTTCTGTGTCATTTACAACAACAACAAACTACATACAAAACACACCACACCCTTCTCCTATGGTCACTCCCAGAACCTTAAGAGTGTCTGGACCCTGAGGGAAACATTTGACCAAACACCCTGTAGAGGACAAAAAAAAAAAACAGGTGAGAAACACTTTAGCAACCTCTTTGCACTCACTTCCAAAATTCTAATTTACACTGCCTTTGCTTAAAGCTGAAAATCAGCAGACCCTTTTCCCCATTAACAATCCTCTGTCCTCACAGGCAATCACCACAATTCCCCACGAGGAGCACCTGTGCAGGACCTGGAACAAAGGCTACATCCTAATTATTAAAATGCTAAAGACTCAATTAAAAACTTCTTGATGTGCAAGTTCATGCTTAAAGTGCAGTGCTAAATAAAGTGCTGAAGTGCCTTCACCAAAGTGCAAGTATTTATTTAAAGTGATGTACAAACAATAGAAAACTTAAGTAATGAAGATCCCTTCATTACATTCTGCAAACCTTGTTGACATTTCAGGAGGAACAAGATATCAGCCTGTGTTCCCAAACAAAGCCTTCTTTTGATAACACCGCAGGATTGCTCACTCTCATGAAAAGGAACACTTCTACAACTCATAAGTTAAATAATCACTGAATAATAATATGATTGAGTGACCAAATGTTATATGAATACTAATGAAATGTTTTGATGAATCTGTGCTTAAATTACTGTGGTTGAAATGAAACATTATGATATTATGATCAGTAATGTTGGTTTAACAAGTCAATCACTATTTTCTGACAGCTCACACACTCAGACACGTAACGATGACAAGGTTAAGCTAATATCCTGACACATTGCTTTCTGTTCCACAAATCAGAACTCCTGTATCTGACACAAGGCGTGATGTTCTGAGGTTTGCCTGTTAACACCCCTTAACATGGCATGTCCCGGCTGGCCAAGAAATCATATGAGAATATTAAAACAGAGCTTGCTAGACGGTGAGTCAGTTCTAGAGCAAGCTACGGAGAGTCCATCCAGAGTGAACCCTCTTTAACCCGAAGCTTTCGACAAACTAAAAGCTGCCTACAGCTGACACAGCAAAACGGTTCCTTCAGCTATTCAGAAACAGCTGCTCTAGACGCAAACACTTTCATCTCTCTGTTGTGACTCGGAAACATCTCTGGACTGGAGGGTCAGTGCTGCGGTTAATCTGCCAAACCTTGGTGCCCAGTGGTCATCCGACCTCCCTGACCTCCTGATCCGCGATGAGGGTCTCCAAAGAAAGGGTGAGGTAGACACACAGATAGCGTCTGATGCCGATTTGATAAGAATCAACTTCATAGCTTAATGCAACCCAAATGCGTTTCACCCAGAACTCAGTTCTTCTAGATACGAAGGTTCTGATAACCTCACATTCACACATAGTCACTGTACGTCACATCACTTAGATTCATCCATCACAGTAGCCTTGGTTAACTTGTCATGTTTTATTTGTTTAGAAAATAAATTTCTTATCTTTTATAAACCTGACTCTGTCTGAATTGAGACGAAGTGTGTTTGATCCCTGAAAAAAGCAAAGAATCCTAAAATCTTCTGATTAAACATACAAAGATCAAGCAGGTTGATATTCTATATTTATATAGAATATCACAGCTTATTGGTCATAAGTAAAGGTAATACATTAAGCTTAAAAGCAACAACATTTAACCCTCTACAGAGACAATAATTAGAGACAGGTGTTCAGCCTGTATGACAAACTCAGAGTGACTGATTATTTTCTAAAATAACGGTAACACATTACTTTGTTAACATCACTTAGGACATTAATTAAGCATTAATAAGCAAGGGATTTCAGTTACAGCACAAGATTTTAATCAAAGACTACAGTTTTTTTAAGCTGCATAAAATACTTTGTCTCCAGATCTATACGTAAAAAGATGAAGTTAGAGCTAGAAACATATAAATACTGAATCATAATCTATTATTCACTTAAAAGGTTTACAAACCACCCTGAACACATTAGACGCGGGCATGCACGCCTTCCAGAGACTCTGGATCATGCTCACTAGTATTTTTAGATTTATACTGTTGCCTCAAGTTGCTGCAAAGATACAGATTATATTACAAAAATAACAGTTCCTAAAGGCATAGAAGTAAAGTTAGTCAATGAGCTGCAACTTATTTGAAAGAAAAAGAAAAAAAACTACAAAATAATATTTAAAAGTAGGAAAACTAATAGAAAACACCTGAAGCCACTCAAAGGACTATTATAGACCGTCTAGCTAGCCACGAACAGCCTGCAGGCCTCGTGTCACCTTCAGAGTGACAGCTGCTGCTTGTTTGATATCTGGGTCATAAATCAGCACTGGGACTGCGTCACATTTTCATGATCATCATGAACTATTCCAATGGCTAAACCACCAGGTAACAGGGCTCGTGTTGATCTAAGGGGCCTGTTTGTGTGCATCAGTTGAAGGGTAGCACACAAACTTAGCTGACTATTGACTCCTGGCCAAAAAAAAGCCAGCTTAGTCACCGCTGCATTGGGAGAGATTTCTGCTGAATCCTCAGAATGAGTATAAAGATGCAGCTTCTACTGCATAACAGGAACTTACTTTCTTATTTTCATGGCTTCCTCGTTGTCGTGGCGGAAGAAGTCGTAGGACTTGTAGGCTCTGACTGCTTCTCTGCGGTACACACCCAAGTTAAATACTGCAAAATAAAGGAGACCAGAAAGATGCAAACTTTTACTTTTAATGCTGCTGGGAGGAATTTTGTTTTTCTGCACACAAAAAATAATTCACACAGTCCTGTTCCTACTCTGAGGAATTACTGTAATTCTTTGTTCCTTGGTGTTTCACGATCCCACCTCTCACGTCTACAGTTGGTGCAGAATGCTGCTGCACGGCTGCTTACTGGGACGACAAAGATGGAGCATGTTACTCCTGTCCTGGCCTCACTGCACTGGCTGCCTGTTCGTTTTAGAATCCAGTACAAGGTGCTTTTATGGGCTTTCAAATCTCTGCATGGCCTTGCTCCAGAGTACCTCTCTGAGCTACTGTTTTTTTTTATTTGCCTGCACGCTGTCTGAGGTTGGCTGATAGGATGCTCTTAGAAGTCCCAAAAACAAGACGTAAGCTCAAAGGTGACAGGGTTTCCTCTGTAGCAGCCCTCTAGGCTCTGGAATGAGCTGCCTTTGAGCGTTAGGTCGGCCTCGTCACCGTCTGGGTTTAATTCTCTTTTGAAAATCTATTTTTACGATTTGGCTTTTAACCCAGCATGAGAGTCTTTTTAGGGTTTTATCAATGTTAGTTCTTCAGCTTTAGTTTTTATGCATTTTTATGTTGTGTATTGTTTTTAATGTTTTTAATTTCTGTGAAGCCCTTTGGTCGGTTTTACATCGTTGTAAGGTGCTATACAAATAAAGTTGCCTTGCCTTGAGAACCCAGTCAAAGTGAAAGATTCACAAATGCTAATTTACATTGTTGTCATAAATTCTTAAACTTTCACCATAATCACTCACTGGTGTGCAGTTAAAATTGTTCTCCACATTTGACCCATCCCCTCCGGGAGCATTGAGCTGCGGACACGTCCGCGCTCTGGAACTATCTGGAAGTTTTACCGATTTGAACCCACGATCTCCCAGCCTCAGGGTGGACACTCATACCACCATGCCACTGAGCTCTGATACTCAGATTTATAGCTGAAAAATAAACCCAATAGGTAATGATATATTGTTGTTGTGTTTAATGGAGATGGAAAACAACATAAGAACATTAAAAGTTACAGTAGAAATTGTAGCATTGAGAGAAAACTCATTTTTTATTTGATCGAAACAACTTATTTAGGCTTCTGAAATGAAAACAGGTGGATGACCCCGGTGAAGACCACAGTCTGAATAAAGTATAGTCATATTTTTAATACATTGGCAGTGGTCTCTAGTAGGAATGGATGCCTTGTAAGTTGTTCTTGGGGGATAAACAATATACCAGTGCATCATTTCCAGGAACTGGTAGCGACCCACATCACAGCTGAGCCTCAGACGGCAGGTTTTAGAGTTTTATTTCCTGATATTTAGAAATTTTGCTTCGGACTGGATAACAGCAACGCGACTCTAGCACTGACCTTCAACTTTGATGTTTTATCTCCACAAATAACACAACCCTGGAGGAGTTCTGCTGTGTGGTGAATATGCTAATGCTTAGGTTCTGGTAGTCGAGACTTTCTCTGCTGTTTCCTGGACGCTAAACCAACATCATCCTTCACCGTTGTGAGTCAAGATGGGTGAGTCCATGAATGTTGAGTGACAGTGTGACGTAGATCCTAGAGTTTCAACATCTATTATAGCAGGAGATAGGTGGAGGAAACTATTTTCATGTTCAGCCTGCATGAAAAACTCAGAGTGATGATTATAATAATAAAAAAAAATCATAAAAATCAATTTCCCTCTGGGATTAATAAAGTATTTTTGAATTGAATTGAATTGTGAACCACACCTTTAAGTGACAATGATCTGTCAGGTTTCTCTGAAACAAGCATTTTCTATCAGAAGCTAATGCAGGAAATAAATGTAGGAGACTGTTTTCATGTTCAGCCTGCATGTTAAACTCAGAGTGACTGATCAATTTCAAAAATAAGAAATAAAAAATGGTTTCTCAGTGAACCTGCTCTAATATATGGATCTGATCAGATGATTTATACATGCAGGCGTGTGAAAGCACTAGAGCTGCGGCCTCCTTCACCCCTAAGCTAACGCAAACAAAACACACATTTAATGTATAAAAATGTTCCGCAGTTTCTTTAAAAAACCAACAAAAACAGTAAATAAACTCAACTGTTGTTTTTTTATTGTTTCCGTTGCTGCTGATCATCAGAAGTTATGTGAAATTTAAAAAATATAACTTATGTATGTCAGTTAAATGCAACTATTTATGCTGCCTGTTTCTCGTGAATAAAGCCAGTATAAATGCACATATTCTTAATTATCTTCAGTAATTCCTTTTGATGTTAGAAGGATTGATCACTTTTGCAATATGTTCATTCTGTATATGTCTCCTAGACATGGTTTCTATAGTTGTGGTGAACTCTCTGTCATAAATAAAATGCTGCGGGTTGTTTACTACCTTTGGTTGGGACTCCTATCCAGTTGAGATAGCGCGTGAGCTTCTTGGACATGTAGGTCTTTCCTCTTGCAGGCAGGCCGATCATCACAATCACTGTAGGAGAGTTTGTCATATAAGACGCCCACGCTGTGGAAGAGAAACACACACAAAAAGACCGACTATTTTAGAAAAATCCTCTGTAATGCACGCTGACGCCTGCATAATAAATGATTAAAAAGGCAATAAAAACTAAATAAGCGGTGTGTTGACTTTCAGAGAGGAGCTTCAAGAGGTCTCCCTGTTGCTAGAAGACAAACTAGGTCTACTGGACAAGAATAATATGTCCCTTTGGACATAAATATTATATGTGGGCTGAGTTCAAAGAAACATCCTGGGAATGAAAAGCTATTTTCTTAAGGAACATGATGAGCTCTTTTGTGCCAAAAGGACCAGACCTCCCTTTGGTTGAATTCCAGCCTAAATGAAGAAGCTTCACTACAAAGTGGTGATTAAAAAAATCATTTGTGAATTGGATCTGGAGAGAGAGAAACACCTTCTTAAGTTTCAGGCGCACCTGTGGACTCAGCGCAGTCGTGCAGAACTTTAGTCAAACCTAATTGTGGATGAATTCAGAGGATTACTTACAACATTTCTTCTCGTTCAGTCTCAGGTCTGATTTCTTGGCCTCTGTTGAGTTTGTGGAGGCTCCGGTGTCCTTTTGGGTGCTCGACATGCTGAAATTTGACCTCAGATTTGAAAATAACAATCAGAACCCTATCAGAAAAGTGGCCAAATGCAAGAATTATATATTAGATGAAAGACTTTTGGGATGCTATCTCCATGCATCTGGCAGAAAACATTTTTAATAAACGTGTTATGGAGTTGTACGTTTCCCTGGCAACACGCATGGAGGCAGAGCATTTGAGGTCCAGAGATGCTGCAATAAACAGGTTTGGTTTTAAGCTGTTTTAATAATAAAAAAAGAAATGTCTCACGTGGGTTTGGTGTCCCGTTTAAAGTAACAGTTTGACATACGACGCAGTACATTCATTATTTATATTACCTAATCGGTGTAATAATATAACGACTCCTGCACGTCAGCAGCGCCTCTGCGGACTTCAGGGACCGGAATCTGCGTTTTCCCGCTGAACCGAGGGGTAGCTCATGCGGCAGCGGCTGGATGAGACCGTCTGGTCGACCTGTCCTTGGAGCGGAGGTGCGTCCTCAGCTGGCTGGGTCTGTCCAAGCCGGGCGCGCGCCGCTACGTCAACTTCTTTGAACCCTACCGTAATGCTTATAATACACGCTACTTGATTGAATCACAGACACCTATGGACTGAACAAACCAGCCGTAGCACGAGTTCGGTGTCGTCTGATGAGGTGGAGAGGATAAATAAATAAATAATTGACTGGATGAAAAAAAAAACAAAAACAAAAACAAATTTAATCTCATTTATTCAACATTATCTATGTTCCATTGAAAGATGGCCTCCGATATAAAAAAGGTACAGCGCAATGAAATCCGATCACAAAGTAGAAACACAAATAAATTAAGTCACAAGAATCAAGTTAAAATACAACTGCCTCAGAGAGCTTTGAAATAGGATTTAATACAACTGCCTGCCCATTTTCAGATTTTGACTTTGCACACACACACACACACACACACACACACACACACACACACGCACGCACGCACGCACGCACGCACACACACACACACACACACACACACAATTATCCTAAAAATAAAACATTGATTAAAAAAACACTAAAAAACCAAGTTCAGCATGTGTGCATGTCAGGCTGAGTCTACACAGCTGTGATTAATTAAATCTGGATGCTACAGAGGCTTGAATGGACCTCTGTTGTCAGCTTTAATGAAACCATAAAGAAACATTCAAGGGTCAGAGGTTAGGCACTGTGTGAGTTGATAAAGTTGATGGAAACTTCAATGCCACGTCGGCGGAGCAGCCAGTAATGGTGCGTGAGTGATTGCCAGAGCATCTCTGGCTTCTGAATGACCCATAAAGGCTCCGTCAGCACAATGCACCATCAGTAGTTTTGTGTTTGAGGAGGTGTCTGCAGCAGATGGTGGATTTAGTGGCTTCTTCACATTAGGGCTTGATTTTCCACAGCTGGAAATGAAGAAAGAGTTACATTTACATTATAGAAACCATTTGAATGCAATAAAAGTTAGAAAAATAGTAGTAGAGATTTGGTTTTGATACTGGTTAGGTTTGGCACAGCTCAGGCTAACATGTTTTTTAAAAAAAAGATCTCAAATAAAGCAACAATAAAAACAAAACGAGCGTCATACAACTTTAAATTTATTTTGATTATTTGTAGGAGGAAGCATTTGGAGGTTCTTTCAGTTCAAATCAAAAGTAACCTACTGATGTGGATAAAAGTGGTGGTCCCCTTCCTTTAAAGCAGGGGTGCCCAATCCTGGGGCTGGAGGACCGCTAACCAACCTGTTTAATGTTTCTTTGCTCCAGCACACCTGATATTAATCAGCAACTAAAACGTGCTAGGACTGGGCACCCTGGTGTCAAATAAAAACAACAGTAATGGTCACCGAGATAACAGTTTTAAAGCAGCAACCAGAGTTTGTCCCCTTTCAGAAATCCGTAAAACACAAGATTTACCCTGTTCTGTGATAGAAAGTACACAATAAGCCTGCCTGTCCCATAGAGCCCTATGCACATTTATAGCTACAAAAGTAATTCTGCAAAGCAAGTTTGTTAAAACAATTTTTCATGCCTCTTAACAATGTTCTAACGTAGAATAGCTAGGTATACATGTTTTGTGGAGATTAAAAAAAGAATGAAGTGGTTCTCTCATATTTCTCTCATTAAAACCTCAGCCAATAACATGGCTCAGTCTGAAACCAACTACTGGACCACCCTGTTGTCGTTCTCACCAGACTGCTGCACTTCCCTGGGTCCTCCACTCATTACACACGTGGGTATTTTACAACAGAACTCCGCTGGAGGTTCTACGCTCAATAAACTCAGAGAAGGAGAAATAGCCGGCCGCTACCACTACAACTTTAGGAAAAACTACCGAAGTCCCAAAAGGGAAAACACTGTATGAAATCACGGTGTTTGGACCTAGAAAACAGCGACTGGTGTTTAGCACTGTCTCGTTTACTCTGGAAATGTGGGCTCTGATACTAGGAGGACATAGTCTGACGAGAGGGGTGAGAGTTCCAGGACGGTGTTTGTGTTTAAAAACTAGCTTTGATGCTCCACCTGAGAGTAAATCTGTAAGGCTTGTCACCGGCATTCAGTCATTAATTCTGTTTGCTTCACAGCCAGACAGGACATGGTAAAAATAAATAAAACTAGCCTGTTTTGAAGCTTTAATTGAGTGCTGCTTAGCCAATAGCGTTAGACATCTGCATAAGTACAGATGTCAATCATAGAGTAGGATGTACCTAGACTGAAGCAGAGTTGGTGAGATTTCTACAGACAAATAGGCCTTTAAAAAGTATATAAATTATTAAACCGCACAACATAAGAATAATATTTGTAAAACAATGTATTTGAGCTCTGTTGGCCGGCTAGAGATGTGCATTCACCAACGAGAGGTGGTGCTTCTGGCCGTTATCACGGAAGTAGGCAGAGGGGCTTAGACGTGTAATACAGCTTTTCCACCTCTAGATGATGAAGTCAGAGAAAATAAGTCCAGATTTCTGCTTTAAACAAAAATAAAAGAGATGACTAAATAAAACAGGCTCAGACAAATCTGGACTCAGTATCTTTACTATTCACAACCTCATAATGAGACTTCTGCACCTGCTGAAGGGTCCCTTCTCCAGACGTTTCAGCTCCTTCCACTGATGTTCAACAGGGTTTAGATCAGAGTGAAGGTGTTCTATTCTGAGACATTGTTGCTTGCTTTTAGCTGTTATGGTTCATTACCCTGAAAAGTCGGATTTCATCAACTTGTTCTTCCTCTAAAAAGACATCCGCATCTAGAAGAAATGCGTGAACCTCGTCTTTTTGCACCAGTGAAACACAATGAGATGTATTTTTCAACGACCAAAACTCACTCTGATGTTGAAGCCAAGCAGATCACTGACCACAGCAGAGACAGCAGACAGAATCACAACCTTTGTGATGTTGTAGATCAAAGGGTTCATGGTCAGACCCAACAGTCTGAAAGGAGTGTCCAGCTCCTGGAGACGGTAAGGCGGAGGTAAGCAGGACCTTCTCTTATTAGGGGATTTTAAATAAAACTACAAATTCATGCTTACCTTCATTAGCTTTGTAGCCAGTTTTAACACATTGTTCACTATGTTGAGCTGCTCTTTCTTATAAGGCTTTTTCTCCATCTTCAGATACAGATTGATCTGCAACCAAGGACAGTTTTACACACCAAAACCCTCACGCAGCTGAACGTTACTGCACCTCCTGTGTTCTTTAGCCGGGCGGCCTCACCTGCTCGGTGAGGAGCACTGAGGAGTTGCTGAATTTGGAGTTGGTCTCTGAGCCCAGTGTCGCGAGCCGCAGCAGAAAGGGAATGAGGGAGGCGCACCACACCACAAGCTCCCAATTTATCAAAGACTCCAGGAACGTCGTGTGACTGTGCAGAAGCTGAAGGGAAGCAGAGACGGTTATGTGTCGAGACAAAGAGGTTTCTCTGTATCTGAACCATCTGAGCCCTGCCATTTACCCTAAATCAGTGCGTTATTTCATTTTGTTGCCTGAAAATCTGTTCGTTAAAACTGCTTGACCGACCTGAGCACAAATGATGAATGAGACGGAAAGTGCCAACAGAAAGATTGTTGAGACGATGACGTCCACGGAGCGCTGTGGGCCTCGTCTCTATAACGGCCAAACAAAACAACATCCTCTTAGAAAAACGACCCAGTAGTAGTGAAGCTCCTGGAGATGACATACCCGCAGGAAAGAGCGAAGTGACAACCACATCTTTATGTTTTGGACTTTCTTCAGCCTGAAGTGGGGGACTTCAGATTTCTTGGCCTTGCGTGCTGATGTGAGATGGCTGAAGTACTTGGCGAATGAAAGCCTCTGTGGGGAAACAAGGACATAAGCTGTCAGAAAACCCAAGTACTTTAGCAGTAATAGGGGATAGAAGGAGGTGTTAAAACAGCACAAAACTCAGAACAATTACAGTCTCTAGTATCTGACTAATTAATGTTAAAACAATTTTAAACATCTGATAAGTTATCAGCTTGAAAGGAAAGGTTTGGTTTGTTTGCTTTACTGGTGGTACCGTACCAAATTTATTTATAAGCACATTTAAAAACAGCACGGCAGCTGACCGAAGTGCTGCACAGATTAAAACACAGCACACATAGCAATAAATGCATAATCAACAAGAAAAGCACATAAAAAAGCGTAAAATATAGTAATAAAACACATAGCAACAATAAAAGTTCATGGGTGGGGAAATGCCAGATCATAAAAGCGGGCTTTGAGTGAACGAGAGAGGGACGGGGCCAGTCGCAGAGAGGGGAAGAGCGTTCCAGCAAACACAAGAGCACACTCCTCTCTTGGTTTATCCCATAGAGGGAACACAACGCAACAGATTAGCTGACCTCACTGTCCGTTTTGGCCCTTAAAGATCGACCAGATCTGCCAGATAAGCTGGAACCAGCCCGTTCATGGCTTTGAAAATGAAGGTTAATTTGTGGTGACTAACAAGACCCTACTGCTCACCTGTTTGTAGGTCCGTTCAGCCACACACAACAGGAAGAAGAACAGGCCTGTGAGGAGGACTCTCTGAACCGCAGTAATGAAGAAAAAGGCGTAAGCTCGGGCATCGTATGGTCCCACCGCAAGCTCCGCCAACTGTTTTAGGGAGAGACAGCTGAGGCTGGACATGTCCAAGCGCTGAGCCAGGCGAAAGGCAAACGGAAGCAGCGCCAAGGTGGTCGTCATGAGGCTGCTGAGAACAAGGTAACCCACACCCTGCTCCGCTAACTTTACCTGAAACAGGAAACGCATTTAGGACAGAACTCATGATGGTTTTTCTAAATTGTTTTTGATAATCCTGATGTATTTTTTTCAAATCAGCACTTAAAGAGGACATATAGTGGGCAGAGTGCACATATATCTGTGTTAAAGGGGACATATTATGACATTTTATTTAAATTATAGTAGTCTATGGTCGATACAAAAATGTTTTAGCAGTTTTTATTAGTATTTTTTTTATTTTCAACCCTTTCCGGAATGAGCCATTTCAGGGCTCTGTCACTTTAAGAAAACAAGCTGGAGCTGGCCACACCCACCCATTCCCCGATTGGCTACTATATGCAACAAAGCTCTGGAATCTGGGAGAGGCTCGGAGTAGAGCAGCTGCTCCTCCAGCAGCAGCTCTCTCTTGCATGTGAGATGTGGTTCATGTCTAATTTCGAAGTATTAAAATAGCTTATTTTAAGCATATTGTTCCTGAAATGAAACACTGGCAGCCAAACGTTTGTCTGCTATTTTTCTCGTTTGGAGTGTTTATAGAGGACGAAGAGACCCACATTATAGCACAAAAGGATGCAAAAGGTGTGTTTCTGCAACACGTAGAATTAATCTGTTAATTCTGATCCAGAAACTTCACAATCTATCCAGGAGGATGAGAATGCGTACCCGTGTGAGAATGATGCCGCTGATCTCCAGCACTGACATGTCAGCCTTCTTGCACTCTCCGTTCTCCCATATTATAGCACTAACACGGTCCTTGGACGGATGACACGCCTGCAGCCAAGTCAGATGGCTCTAAGAATGAAATACAGGAGTTAGGAATGAGTGGGAATGGTGTGGAATTCACTGAAAAACACATATTTTCCATTATTTGTAGAATAAATTGTAGCGTTTCACATTTTTCACATATATACCAGATGCATCAACTAAAACTGAACCAGTAAGAGAAGAATACATGAAGACTGAATTAAAATTACATTGCTGATTCCTTGTTGCAGACTTTCGTCATCGCTGCTCTGAGCACTGTTTTTGGGGAGGTTCATTCCAGTGCTGTACCTCCCATTCCCTTCACTATCACTGCTTCCTGTGGAGGCGGAATCAGAGGAACCCTGGAGAAGCTCCTCCCACATCATGTCATCAGTGTCAGAGGCGGGATGAGAGCGCTCCACTCCATGAGGCTTCAGCTTGATGGATGCTGCACTCCCTTCCTGTCTCCATGACAACATTAGTCAGTGTTCATTTATTACAGGCACACTAATGACGTTTGTTAAAACACACTATGAAATGTTACGCTGATGCAGCAGGGTTGTACCTGAGGCCTTGGTGCCGGTTTCGGGTTAGACTTCACGATTCTGTTCCTAACAGGAGACGCTGGAGCAGAGGTGGACTTCAGCCTCGCCGAATCATGACGACGTGTCGGTCGACCAACAGACTCTGATTGCGCACCTTCTTCTTCATCACTGGAGAGCTCATCAGATGCTCCGAATCCACAGTGACTTTTACTCTGAAAAACACACATTTGAAACATCTCTTAAATAAGCATTTAAAGATGAGGTAAGATATGTTTTTTCTGGAGCATTTTTGGCTTATTACTTGAAATTCACGTCACATGAGAGTGAACAGGAAATTCACTATGATTGGATCCTGATTTATTCCTCAAAATGCCCTCGGAGCGCCCTTCCCCTGCACAAATCCCCGTTCATGGTTTGTCACTTTAAGAAAACAAGTTGGAGCTGGCCACACCCACCCACCCCCCTGATTGGCTGCTACACTAAATAGAGAAGATTTGATATCTGATGGAGAGGCTTGGAGTAGAGTTGCTGCTCCTCCAACAGCAGCTCTATCCTGCATGTGAGAGGAACAGGAATCAGAGTCAGAGCCGCGTTAGCTGCTCCAGCAGACTAAATGTTTTGTTTTGTTAAGAGCCAGGTTCTGTCTTTGTTGGGAAATGTTTAAGTGATGGACCTGTTGTCTGTGAATGCAGCCTGGCCTTTGTAAGCTGGCAGAGCCATCAGTCAGTTTGCTGCCTTGGCAATATAAATTTTCTGTAGTCTCTAGTATAAGTCAATGCCTTGTGAGTAGTTTTTGCTCTCGTGTTTCTGTTTCAGGAAGTAGAAGATCGCTGCAAAAGTGGGGAGCAGAAGATGGCAGGACGATTATTATTCATGATATTTGTACATCTCGCCACTGACTGGGTAACAGCTATGCGCCTCTTCCACTGTCATCATTCGCTCTGCAACGTTGATGTTGATCTCGTTCACAATAAATTTTAAAAACAGTTTCTCAGTGAATGTGCTCTATACGAATAAATTAGTAAAGCAAATAACTATTTTTTCACCATAAAAACACCACACTAAAGGTGTGTTTCTACTATCGGAACTTCAGGGTAAATTTATTGGGATTTCCTGGTATGCGCATGTCTCCACTTCACCGGGGGGACCAAACGAGCCATTTTCAGGAAATTAAGCATGAGCAGGTACTCAGAATGGCCTGCTGGAGAAGCTGAGTGGAACCTTTGTTTAACTCAGTAGGAAATTACATCAGTAGAGTCGCCCAAAACAACCGGCATTAATAAAATTAAAATAGTTGCTTGTGAAGCAGAATGGAAGCAAAAGCAAATAAACAAAGATCGCACTGCTTTAAAACCACTGCTACTAAACTCCCAACAACAAAAAGAAGCAGAATTCTCCCCAAAGCATAATTCACAGGGAAGAGTGCTGTAAAAAACTGCACTTCTTCTGGTCATTGAATGCCACATTTTTCATCAAACAGCAGCTCTCCGGTTTTCCGACTGGATTAAATTGCCATTAAGCACAACAAATAAAACTTTTATTGTTACTGTGGACACCTTTTGGAGCTGATCAGTGGTGTCACTCACTGCTGAAGCAGTCACAATATGCTGGTGTCTGTGCAAAGTCCTAAAAGGGCTGAATTTGTATGGAGACACAACAGCTTAGAGGACCTGCCATCATACCTCCCTGGAAAAATTTCCCCTCCCAGAAATGACTTTGTAGTTCCAGCAATGGAAACACGCCTTATATTAGCTAGCATACAAAACTGTTATACTTTTATAAGTGCATTATGCTGGGAATTATGGCAGACAAGGTGCCAACAACAACACTTGAAACTAAACCCTTGGGGAAACGCATTGCAAGGTGGAGAAGCCTGAAGAAAAGGGATTGGATCTTTGGGATGTGTATTTTTAAGAAGTAGCTAGCTTGAATGGCTAAAAACAACATTTCTTGTTGCAGCTTTAACAGGAAATGAATATAAGAACAAAAAGACTAGAAAATGAACTGCAGCCTAATTCAGACACAAAGCTGCAATCAGATTACTGGAGAGCCCCAAAACGTACGAACACATAAATGACCATGTCATTGTGATGTTGTGACCACAACAACAACATGGTGGGAAGATTTAATGCTTGCTCATTAATAGATTGTCCGTGTGCATTCTGGCTGCAGCAGCATCATTGATGAGTGGACACTGAGGAAACAAACAACTAAAAGCTCCTTCCTGAAGACACATGGCATGAAATATATTTTATAGACACTCTGAAAATTGCTTCTGCTGCAGAGAATGAGGCATTTACACCTCCATCCACCACAGTTCAATGACACACGTTTGTTGACTCCAAAGACTGACAGAGATGAGAGGCCGTACCCTCCTCTCCTTGCTTCTGTATAATCGCTGGCTTTCTTCAAACTGCCAGGGCTCCGGCAGCTCGGTGCTCCTGCTGTCATTCTTTTCTTCAGATTTTTTTAACCCTCTGCCATTCCGCAGCCTGAGAAAGACAGAATAAAAATTAGGCTCCAAGGGGCAGAAAGGATAGATGGACAGATATTTCCCTATGACTGTGATTCCAAACCGTCAAGAAAAAACCAACAAAACCCAAAAGCAGTCCGTTTGTACAAATGTCTGTTGTGTTTTTCTTAAGTAATTGTGGCTCGATCTCTACTCCAAACATTAAAGTTCAACCGGATGTTCACAGATTTGTAAATATAATCAACTAAAAACATATGAACATTTGGATTTGATATTCAAGGCACCACTTTCTATAAGGCCCCCCTATAAATGGCTTATCAATAGATATGTTCCAAATTAATCTGTAACAAATAATTATCACATGTTCATTATTAATTAATAAAGGGTGAATAAGAGAGAAAAGAGCTGGCTCACTGTTTTGCTACAAGCTGGTCAGATTTGTTGGCTAGACCATCATTTGCCAAAGCAAAATTACTTAGCTTTGCATGTTGATCTAGAAATGCTCCCCAAGCCCTGCCTGGATTGTGGCTGATCAATCACGGCGCGAAAAACGATGTGATGTTTTTTGTCTTTATGTTTTATGTAGGCATGCCAATATATCGGCATTAATATCGGTATCGGCCGATGTTAGTAATTTTTTAGCATATCGGTATCGGTCTGATAAGTAAACCTGGCCCGATATTAACAACCAATATTTTTTCCATCTTGTTTCCATTTGCTTATCTGTTTCAGAGGGTGAGGGGGTGATGTGTATTTGTTCAGTCATGTGATCTCAGAAACGTAAATGTGTGTGGTGTGTGTACATATTAAAGTAAATTTAGCTTAAATAATTTTCATTCTATACAAAATCTGCTGGTTTTAGAAGTATTATTGATTAGTATATCGGTATCGGCAAATATCGGCCATAACAGTGATATTGATATCGGTATTGTCCGTAAAATTTCATATCGGTGCATCACTAGTTTTATGTAGTTCTTCCATGATGTAATGGCGGACTGCCCTTTTGACTGACATCTATAGGGGTCCAATCATAGTGCTTGATTTGCTTGGTGGGCCACTCGGTAGGTGTGATGTTACTGACAAAACAAAGATGCGACTGCACGTTTGAACTCGCTTTGGCTTCAGCTTTGGGCCATTTAGACTTGGGCTTTTCTTTGGGCCAAGAGCAGATAGAGGTACTTAAGTTTATTTAGAAAAAGGATGCATTTACATCTTCTTTGACGAAGTATGGTGGACTGCCTTGTTGACTGACGTCTGTAGCTGTGAGTACGTCACGTTGTTTGTTATCCAGTCGCTTGTGGGGACAGCAGATCCCGCCCCACGACTGAGAGCCGGTAATGGATCATGATCAGACTAGTCTGGTTTTCTCTCTTTCTCACCCTGCATAATAAACACTAATTAACCATTTATATGGTGTTACAGACTTATTAATTAATAACAGTGATACCATGTTTAAGGTGTAAAATGTTTCCAGCATCTTTAATGATAAACATTAACATCCAGTTTTATGTAGAAAGCAACTAGAGATGGAAAAACCATGCCAAACCCTGCTTATAATAATTAACCAATCATTCTTCAATGACTTCTCTAGAAGTCCAAATGTAGTTTTGGAGTTCTAGATACATTTTCTAATATCAGCTGGGTACTTAATGTTGCATTTTTTCTAAAAGAGCAAGTAAATAATTCACTTTGTGGCAAAAAAGTTGGTCTAAAATTACAGTTGGGACATAATCTGACAGGGTTCACTGCACAGCAGAAAAAGAAACATCTCGAGGTGTTTGTGCTTAGTTTATGTCTGAGTCAGCAGGCGAGAATCTGTTCAGATTAAACAGAAGCAAACAAACAAAAAATTGTCCCACCTCCTCCTGCGTGCAGGGCTGGCGCTACTGCTAGCAGCTGGACTGCCTGAGGGCCACCGGCTGGACTCGGTCGAAACAATCTGGCAGTGCACGGTGCCCAGCAGCAGCATGAGACACATGGGCTGAAACAGCTCGCTGGCACTCGCCCGAGGGACCTCCAGGTACAGCACTGCCGCCGCCACTGGGGAGAACAAAACATTTGGCAACAGCAAACAAAATGATCTCTTAGGGGAGACATTACAGCTGAATTCATGTGTACTAATGAAGCCTCTTCTGTGTGTCTCAGGTGTGAGGTGGAACAAGTTTCTTACAGCACATGAATGTATGCAATGATAAAGTGATTTCAGACTCAGATGTATTTAAGACAAATCTGAAGCTCTTCTCATCATTTAAGCAAAAAAACGGTGAGCTCACCTTGCAGGAAGTAGAGCACAAGGATGCATGTGGAGATGGACTTGGACGTGACCTGAATCCACCACTGGAAGAAGAACGGATACAGGAGAACTCTGACCAGGCCTTTTCGAGTCAGAGCTGTCCAGGGACTTTCTGGCTTGGCTTTGCTGAACGTTGACCCTAAGAAATAAAGATTTCGTGTTAAAGCTGAGCAGAACGTTCATAAACCCAAAACATGAGACAAAAGCACATCACAGACAGGATAGACAACGTTAGTGAAGGGTTTTATTAACACTTCTGGTCCATTCCACTCACCTCTCACTAAATCCACATCAATGAGGTCTGGCTTCATGCGATATGTTTTCTTTGGCTTGCTCTCTAAACCCTAAAGACAACAAATAGCTGTAACCAGCAGGGTTTGGCAAGACAAACATATATTATTTTGATTAAATATCATAACTTACAACTAGGTCTGCCTTCTCCAGGGATTTCTCCCAGACTTGCTGATCGTAGGTACCAATCTATGAAAAAACAGCAAGAAAAAACAGGAAATGTTTGTTTAATGACACCATATTTAGAGTTTCAATCATTCCTAACAGGTATTTTTTTTATCAGACAGGTAGAAATAATGAATAGATGGAATAAAGCTCCTACTGCAGTAAGAAAAAATGCAAATACCAATACAGTAACTACACAAAAGGCACAAAATGCCTCTTCATGAAATGCTATATAGTTTAAATAATTATGAATAGTTTTTATTTAATCAATACATCTGCAGTGGTCTATAGTAGGAATAAATGTCTTTTAAGTTGTTCTCGGGGGGAATCAATACACCAGTGCACCCATTCTCAGAACTGTTTGTGGCCCACATCACAGCTGAGCTTCAGACGGCAGGTTATAGAGACTGATTTCCTGATATTTAGACATAGACTATTTTTATGTTCAGCCTAGGTGATCGATTATAATCAGAAACAATCATTAAAAAATGTTTTTTTCAAAAACCAATCATTATTTTTAAACAAATGAATAAAATCAATAAATAAGTGGCACGTCTCTGTGTATAAAAACGAAGATATCATGAGTCGTGTTCACTAGGAAAAAAAAAAAACAATATAATAATAATAATGATATGATAAATGACCAGAACTTGCAAAGCATCTTTCTGGCTCAGACGACTTCAAAGTACTTTACTCATTCATCCATTCACACACCGATGATGATGATGATGATGATGAGCCACAGGTGACCTGGGGCACATGGTCTGTTTCATGTTTTTATTTTAGATTATATATATATTTACAGGACGGGGAACACTGGGAACAGGGCTGGGCAGATATCCAAGTTCCAGGTAAACAAACGCATTGAAGCATCCAAACACAACACAATATCTAAGAAAACGTTTCTCTGGCAAAAACAAGCTTACGTATTAAAAAATAATAAAACCATAAACGTGGAATGAATGATATATATATATATATATATGAATTCAAGGTAGCTCACTCTCTCACTCACTCAGGGGAACTTCTGAGCGTATAAAGAAACAAACTCCTTCCCAAAAACAAACACGATGATCTGACAATGTAAATGTATTTATTTTCATTTTAAACTAGATTAGGCTTGTTTTCATTCAGCAACCATCTGGTTTTGTTGATTTAAAAAACAACAATTTTAAATATATATATAAAAAAGTCAACTAAAACTACTCATGTTGAGTTTGCTCATGCTGCTTCAGTTTTTGGCCTGATAATATTATTTTTATTACTATTATTATTATTATTAACACATTCAAAATTTAATTAATTCAACTAAAAGTTACATTTACACGCACAAAACGTATACAGGAAAAAAAAAACAAAGTTTAAAAAAATAATAAATGCCAATAAATGTGCTTTTTAACAAGTTAGTGTTGGCATAATAAACTTACCTTCTCTTGATACCAGGCTATTCTGGCCATTGTCCTCAGCTACAGGAGCCAGTCCACTCGGTTCAGGGCATTTTACAGGACTGGGAACACTGGGAACAGGGCTGGGCAGATATCCAAGTTCCAGGTAAACAAACGCATTGAAGCATCCAAACACAACACAATATCTAAGAAAACGTTTCTCTGGGAAAAACAAGCTTACGTATTAAAAAATAATAAAACCATAAACGTGGAATGAATGAAATGGTCAACTTACCAAGTCTTACGTTAGTTTTGGCACAAAACCACAGAGAAAACCCCTCCAGAAGCCATCTCCTTAACCTAAAACCACATTTTCATCTTCAGTTCAGTCGTTGCTGCATCTTCAATCACCTTTCTACGTTTAACCCCTTCTACGAAGGTTTAAGACTGGGAACGAGTCGTAAATGTAAATATCGTTCACTTCGTGTGCATTTAGCTTTTTATTTATCAACTGTTCTGTACTTTTAGCTGTTCTTCCGCTTCCCCTTTTCCGGGTTTACCGAGTTCTTCGTGGAGATTAATTTACCCCCAGTTTCGTCTTCCAGGAGAAATTCGAAGCTTCGCATACAGGTTTAAAATCTCACAACAGACTCAAAGTAATGTTAATGCACAACAAACATTTGATTTTTTTCATTTTAAAGAGATTTTTGTGTTAGAAAAATAAATGTTTAGAGGTAAATCTCCCACAGACAAGCTTGATGTGATGCCTGATCAGACAAACTGCGGAGAAATCTAGCAAACAGTTAGGAAACGAAATCGGAGCCAATCAGAGCGTAGCAACATCAAGCACAGACAAACGCCAGACTGTCAAACGTCAGCGCTTTTGTGCATTTATTTTAAATCTCTCACATAAATGTATGAAACAATTCAGTTTTTTTAAACTTACTTATTTGAAATAATTGAATATGAAGACGATCTATATAATCTATTAACATTTTATAGGAAAATGTCTTTTATAATATAAACTTCTTACAGGGCTATTAAAAGTAGGTCAGAAGACCAAGAAGAAACAATATTGTGCCTGCAGCTATGCTCAAATAGTTTTTTGTTATCAAAACCTCAAGCATGATGCCCAGAAAATGACACAAATACACATATAACATTTTTGTCTTTGCATTTTACTTATTTTGTGCATAGAGTACAAATAAAAACTGCAAATTATATTTTCTTATTGTGAATGCGCTGTTGTTGAGCTAACCACCAGTCTTCTGTAGAAGTGCTCAAAGTGATGGGATTCAAGATTTGAGTCAGCAGCCTGTCAAAATAGAGACAGGGTCATTTATCAGTAGACTCCTGAGTGTCCGTTAACGGTTGGCTGTGCTCTGCTGCACACACGATCTTTCTCTTGACCTTCTTGTTGGAGGAGATGATGAAGTAGGGGCTAAGCGCAGCGTAGCAGGATGAGAAGAACACCCTCATATCAGCCACTAGTGGTGAAACTTTTGACACCGTCAGCATGTAGATCCAAATCACGTTATCTATACCAAAGAAGATGGTGTAGAGAACCACCAGGGTCAGTACTGTTTTGGCAGCTCTGGTCTCTGCTCCGCCGCCCTGAGAGCGACGAATCCCTTTCACCTGTTGGCTATGGCGGTGGAGCAGCAGCAGGACATAGCTGCTGGAGCCCACCATCAGGGCAACAAAAGCAAAGTCTCTCCCAGAAACAGCCACCCCATTGATAACATAGGACAGGTTGTCTCTGAAGTCCACGTGACAGAAGCCGAGGTTGAGGGTGAAAGCAGGGATGGTGCCATTACGTGGAGCTGTGGAAAAGAAAGGGGCTGCTATGCAAATGGCCATGTTGAGGAACCACAGTCCTGCAAAAGTAGGAAGGACAAGAGAGGGAAGAGCAGGTTTCAACCTGGACAGTCGGGGTCCAGCTGGGGCGATTGTCACTGCTTGAAACACACTGAGCATGCAAGTGATGCAGACCGACAAAGCCTGGGTGATACGATAAACATAAATCACCACTTTACAGCCAGGGTCATTCAGAAGGTCCCTCAGCCCAAACGCGGTCATGGTCTGGGGCACACAGCGGGTCAGCAACAGCATCAGGTTGGCAAAGGCCAAGTGGCACAGGATCATGTCCACAGGAAGGAGCTTAGGCTCAGTGCAAATGATGCTGGCATAGGCCAGAAGCACAACAGCGTTCCCTAAGATCCCCATACCAGCTTGCAAGATAAGGGAGACCCCTTTGATGGTCACACACAGATCCATGACACCTGCAGGAGCCAAGATTCACAAAAACAGGTAAATCTGGTACCACTAATCCCCAAACTACAAAGTCTCTGTTGGATTACTGCACAAACCTGGAGGAATACGATTCTCACCTGAAGCTGAAGTGAGCTGTTAGTGAATTTACCGTCAAATGGGCCTCATTTATAACCCCCAATACCCCTCAAGACCATTGGCTAAGATTACACCGTTCAGCCCCCAGTTTAGCAAATAATAACTCACTTTAACTCACACAGTCTCAGTGGATTTGCACCACAAAGGAAATGCAATCTCAACACAATGCTCACCATTAAGGTTATGGAACATGTACTTTCTCCTGTTTTACAGATGATGAGGAGTAAAATCTAACATTTGTGCACAAATCAAACCAAACTTTTCTATATACAGTAACCCGACTTTATCCACAAAGACGTTTAAACACATTTCAGTGTTTTCTAGGGATTGCAGACATGCTTGCATTTAACATAAAACATATACCATTAGATTTAGCTGAATCACTGCACATAAGCACCTGGTCCATCCTATTTATCCACAATGCAAGCACCGTTGAATTTTCCTCAATGGAGGAAAAAATAAACCAGTGCTCAACCTAAACAGGACACATTCCCACAAATTAATACTTTTATAACATTTTATAACATGAACTGTTGCCTGAAAACAGAACGATGCATCCAGGAAGTCTCGGCTTCAAATTTGAGTAAATTGGAGATTAGTTGTTGGAAATATGTTACCATCATTAACACGCACTGAGCTGCCGTTTGGTGAACATGTGAATAATTCAGATGCTTAACTGAAATGACATTTCTTTGCTTTTAATAAACAAGATTTTTCAATTTTTTAAAATCCGTTTTTCAATCGTTATAATGCTATTTCCCTGCAGAGTAAAAAATAAATAAAACAGTCAGCCAACTGAAGAAAATAGTGTGTGGTTGTTGATGCAGAAGGTACAATCATGGAGCTTTCACACACACAGATGGTGCTTGGTTGTATGAATCTTTCCTCCTTTACGTCCAGGGAGCGTGTTAAAAGACGCAGAGGTGCAAGACAATTAGCTGCAGGTGTAAAACAATGTGTGTTGGACTAATTAGGGGCATTGGGACAACAGTTATTATCCAGTTCAGCCAAAAATCTCAGTCTGGACACATGCAGAAGTCAAAAGTGCATTAAAATTCCCCCTCTTAGTATCAAGTGTTCTGCAGGTCAGCGCAATTTACATAAATAATTGTTTTTTCTTTCAAATGAGCAGATTTTCTCCTGGGAGTACGCGCTGGAATACTTCAGTCAGATGAGCTCTTTTCCTGTGTGTTTTTAACATGTTTACATGTTCAGAGAGCTAATTAAAGCGGCGAGTTCAAGCATGTCTCTCAATCTCAGGGGATTTCTGCGTGTGCCATTTGCTGCTGTGTGACTTTATTAATATTTAATTACTTTATTATTCAATACAGGATTTGTTTCTGCCACTGTCATATAATTTTATCAGGAAAATGACCATGGCTGATCCAGTTTTTATCCACTAAACTCACTTATTCACTCACTTTCTACCAATTCCGCCTTTCCCGGGATCCACCGATTTCCCTCTTTCCTATTCATTTTCTCTTTCCCTTTCCTTGCATGTTTTTAATCACAATTCTCTATTTTTTAATTAGTATTTTTTCTTCTAATTTTTCATTTTTTGAAGATTTTTTGTAATTTGAATCATTTGTTCTTATGAAGCGCCTCGTTATTTCTATTGTGAGGCACTATATCAAGGATCATTTTCTTTCTTTCTGATTGTTCTTTTTAGATGGATACAAATTTGGTTTTCTGAGATATTAGTAAAGTCCTGTAGGGGAAAAAAAGCATGAATTTTGATGTGAAATATGACTTATTTGCTTTGTAACACTGTGAATAAAGAAAAATACATCCCCCAAATAGAATTTATTTCATTTTTCCTGCAGTAGAAATGTTGCTTATGGTGCTGTTTGTTTGTTTTTAAGTTAATTTTGCATTGAACTGATGCAACAAAAACAGACCTACTTTGACTTTATGTTCAATTACATTTTTAAAATCTTTTTTGTCTACAGCTGTTAAAATGCACAAGCTAAATATGGTAAAGTAGTTCATCAAAAATAAAAACAGAGCCAGGCAACCTAAAGATGCCTTTTGCTTATTTTTTCTTCACCTTACTGTGATTTATGTCTATTATTAAAACAAGTCAAGTAGAAAAATCCATCTTTACAACGTGAAGCGCACCATTTGTTCAAGTAGCACTGAGCACATACAGAGAATTTTCTTCTGCACTTAATAGCATGATGACACGGTCAAATTATAACAAGGACATAAAGAATAATAATGGGTAAATGGATGATAGATGCCAGACATCCACACACACATATGCATGCTTTAAGCATCTGTCTCTAGGTCTATAGATTTAACTGCAAGACAATCTGAAGACAAAAGCAGAATTTCTCCATAATGTGAACATGTTACATAAGCAACCATTTTACTTTTATGCACACCCATAGTGTCACATATTATTAAAAACCAGTTTTCATTTCTGGAGACATCGTACTCTTATGAGACGTTATACCGAAAGATTTGTTTCACCTTTAGACCTTCAGTTGAATCATGTGACCGACTCTCGTGAATCTGTTTTCTGGAATGTTTTTCAGTTTAGGTTTAAATCTTTTTATCACTGATGACATGTTCTTCTGTGTGGGTTGACTGTCTCCACTAGGGGTCACTGTGGTGCTGGTGTCTGACACAACCAGTCTTTAACACAACCAGTTGAAGAAAAGAAAAATACAAAAGACATAAAGGAGCTTATGAACATTTTAAACTTTTGATTCAATAGATGGAACAAACTCGAATTGTCCTGATTTGGTAAAATGCGGACTCTTTAATCAGACTCCACGAGAAGGAAGAGTAAGATGATTACATTTTTCTCTGATTAAACGAGTTGTTCCTGTAAGGTAACTCTGTACCAAATGACTGAACACTCTCTGTCACCTGTGTCACATTGTGTCTGTCTAAAACCCATAAAGAGACCAAATCACTCATCTGAATTGATCTGAGGTAATTGGAGGCAGAGGGAAGAGAAGTCGGTGGACCGTGCAAAATGGACCTAACAGCTGTTACCTGTCTGCAGGTATAAGGACACCAACAAGTTGGCTCCTTCATGCAGGCGTCAGAGTGTGTCAGGGACGAGTTCTTCTTCACAAATCTCAGATTTGCTTGCTCTCGGGCAATTTTTAACTTGTACTGAACTTGAAACTTTTAGTGTTGACCTGGTTTTCTCGTTCCTTTTGCACCTCTTTGCTCTCTGTAGAATGTTATCTGAGGTTGGTGTTCGCGGGACTCTTTATCTGTCGCTCACAGTTGTGGGAGTTCCAGGTAACACTGCTGTAATTGCTGCATTCCTCCACCTGATCTATGAGGACACAGGGCTCCTCACAGCAGACGCCATCGTCCTCCACCTGGCCTGTGTCAACCTGCTGGTGGTGACCGTACGCTGCCTCCTGGAGACCATCGCATCCTTCAGTCTGACCAATGTCTTTGGAGACGTGGGCTGTAAAGCTGTAATCTTCATCTACAGAACATCTCGAGCCCTCTCCATCTGGCTCACCTTCCTCCTGAGTGCTTACCAGTGTCTCAGCATCACCCCTCCTGGATCGCGCTGGGCCTTCGTTCGCGCCTTAGTTGCCCAAAATTTGGTATTTGTGTTTCTCTTTCTCTGGGTCCTCAACACCAGCCTCAGTGCAGGAGCGATAATGTTCTCAGTCAGTTCCAGTAATGGCTCCAACTTGACTAGAAGCGCCATCAATGCACAATTCTGCTACGTAAACTTTCCTACAGAGCAGCTCAAAGAGACCTACGGGGCTCTGCAGGTGAGCAGAGATGCGGTGCCCATGGCTCTCATGACTCTAGCCAGCCTGATGATACTACTCCTCCTCTACAAGCACAGCCAGCAGATGAAGGGGCTCAGCAGCAGCAGCGGCGGTGGTGCTGGTGGTGGAGGGGCCAAGCAAAGGGCTGCCAAAGTTGTGGTGGTTCTCGTGACGATGTACGTGGTCCTGTACGGGGTGGATAATGGACTGTGGGTGTACACCCTCACTTTGAAACAGACAATGACCTCATCTCTGATCTCCGACCTGCGTGTGTTTTTTGCTTCTCTGTACGCAGCACTAAGCCCTCTGATCATCATCGTGTCGAACAGGAAGGTGAACAGCACACTAAGGTGTGTGAGACAGGCCAGGCCTGTTGTGGGGAAGACTTCATGTCTGTCTGCTGTGTGAGGCCTGCTGAGGTGGCCGGTTGCTCACAGGGCTGCAGGGGAAGCTGAAGCTGAGCTGAAACACCCCCTCCCACGCCTGGGTGGTGTGTTGGTCGTTCACTCATTTCATGTCGTCACTCGTTTTTCTGTATTCATTTTACATGTAACACAATTATATTCAGACAGGCTTTGAAAGTTCATCTGTTACTGTAAATGACAAAAGTGATTGTGTCACAACAGCCCAGTGATTCAGGGCTGAGTTTTCTCTGGTTGTTTGTTGACTCACTATGTTCCCTCAGTCTTAATTGGGTAGAAAAAAAAAACAGCCACTAATTTATTTCATGTCAAATGAATTCCTTCTGCTTATTTAATTATGACAAATGCTTTGAATGAGATCTGGGAAATGTCTCGTACTCATCAAGGGAGGTTGGTTGATTTAAAATCGTTACAGGAAAATGCCTCTCTATGTGGCAAAGTGATGAAATATGTTCATTTCACACCAGTGACCCAAGAGAACCCTGCCTGTGATGGTGGAGACACGAGCATGTTGGCATGAGCCTCCAAGAGCTCGCTGTGAACGTGGTGATTGAGATGACTTATAAGATTCAAGGGCAGAGAGACGCGACGAGGGCATAGCAACCTCTGTGACTGACAGTCCCAGAGACATAAAGTGGGCCTGCTAGCACTCTGTCATCCTGCAACGTCTCTGAAGTGCAATCAGTGCAGCGCTTTCAAGCTGCAGGTGAGGAGGAGGAGGAAAAGGAGGAGAAATCATCTTTCAGTGCTTGTGCAGAACTTACATTTAAGTTGTCAAATAACAATAAAAATGTGTGTTTTATCACAAATGCTACATCCCCTTGTAAATTAAAGTTGCAAATCTTCACCTTGATTCGTTTTTCCAAAGCTCCTGTCAGGCGACAAATTCCGGGTGTCTTACTCTTCAAACCACTGAAATCTGATTGGCACGTTAGACAGACTCCGGTGGAATGAAGGATAAAACACACGGATGGTTTCAGACGAGCAGCTCGTTTCCTCTGGTGAGGGGTCGTCGGGAACGATGGCGCAAAAGTTTCCCTTTTCTGCTCCCAGAGATTTTAATTTTCCTATCGGAAAAAAATGGCAGGTTTGTAAAAAAACAAAAAAGAAAAAAGAAAAAGAAATCAACAAATCCATTAAAGAAACCGGTTCCATTAAGGTGTTTGTGTGTGAGTCGAGGGCGCGGCGGGAGGCCTCTCCTTGCACAAGACAGGACCTGTTTCCACTGGTTTTCCATGCTTTTGAGAGCCGGATCAAACCAAACCCTCACGCTTTTTGTCTTGTTCCCATTTCTATCATCCTCCAGGTTCATTCTGGATATTAAACAGAACATGTAGGATAAAAACAGACACGCAAGCAGCCTGGAATCAGACAAATCAAACATGATAACAGCAAAGCAACAACATTCTAAATAAAACTCTACTCTCCCATTTTTCATGGTAGGGAGCAGATAATACAAACCTGAAGACCCCCGCCCCCTCCACACATACACAAACCACCTTCTGAAATCCCCAATGTGCTTAAATCCTTTCCGTCTATCCCAACAGACCTCTCCTGTGACTGAAGTGTGTCTGCTTACCTGCACCAGGTACGGGCATTTTTGTTCTCCTGTCCACCAATAGCAAAGCAGCAGCAGGGTTTAACCCCCCCCCTCTCGTTCTGCCTTAGAGCAAGTCCACACCCTGCTGCAACTGAATGTTAACCGTCTCCTCCCCCGCAGATTTCACGATGTTCACACCGACAGAAAAAACAAGCATGACTGAACAAAAACTTCCAGAAATCAAAAGTCTCATAAAAGTCTAAAATGATCGTGTGATGATGTTCATCGTGCACAGTGATGTAGTTTAGAGTTTGAGTTTTGTGCATTATGGAAGAGATGCAAGGGTCATTTGAAACGTGAGGTCTTATTTTGTATCAAACTTTCAGATTTAATGGAAATCAGAGATAAGAATGTTTTTGTTCCATTAGTTTCTTCAGTTGTTTGGAGGATTTTAATTTTTATCTAATAAAAGCAACAAATAAATAAATTTAGAATATAATAATGAATATATCTGAGTGCACCTGAGCTCAAAGTAAAACAAAAACAAACACCTTCAAAATAAAAGCTTGAGTTTTTAAGAAGTCAGGTATAGAAAACCAACTAAAACACAAAATAAACTCAAACTAAAATCCAGTTATTACAAATTTTACCTTTTTGCTCTCTCAAAGTTAGTTTCATGTGTTTGACCCCTTTTCTAGCATCCACCCAGTTTAACCGATTCCTTTAGACAGAGAAGACACATGATCGTGTTTCAGCTTGTCTGGAATGTTGCGCCGCATGAAAGCAAAGAGTTTAGCTGCGAAGACGGCGAGAGGGAAGATTTACACTGGTTTAGATAAAAGTTCTGCCTGTATCTGATTAAATATGTTCATTTAACCCAAATTATTTGGAGAAGACTCATTTTCCATTTAAAGCTGCAGGTTTTGTGGTTTAATTGTTAATTTTATTGGTAAAATTTACAACTTATGCAAGTTTTCCTGTAAAAATTAACAAATGAGGCTAATTTGTTGGATTACAGCGGGTGTCGAATGGGACTCAAACAGTTCCTGCAGTAAATTTAGCCAGCAAAATGATTAATTAGGCTTAAAGAACGGGAAGAAAACAGCCTTTCTTAGAAAAACCTGAATCACTTCTAAAGCACATTGGTCTAGTTCTTGTCCTTTAACACAATAAGGTAAAGAATCAGTGACATGTCTTTCATGCAGGCGGATAAAGCAGTTGAGTTTTCCATGACGGTACAAGACTACCTTGAAACTATTTGTGCTGTCTTTGACGTGGTGCAGCTACAATCAGCAGCAAGGACTCAGACAGGGTGGGGGTGGAATGATGGCCTCTCACAGCCTCCTGCAACCCCTCCCCTCTCAGGTAAGAGATGCACCGCTGTGCTGACGCCTGACTGACTTTCACCGTGCACACTTCTTATCAAACTGTTCATCACACTGAGAGCGACAGGAAGAAAATAATGAGTTTAAAAAATGCTGGGCTGCTGAGTCAAGCATGGAGATGTTGTCATGTGACCTTTTAAGAAATAATTGAATATTTTGCATCTTTCACCAGCTATATAAGAAAGACAGGTTGAATTGGTGGAAATAAAGCACAAACCTTTCCTGACTCGATGAAAAACTACATAAGGATTCTCTCAGAAAGGGGCTCATGATTTATTTCTCAAAGGTGCTTTAGTTTTTCTTTTATCTTTTTTCAGGTGAGGAGAACAAGAAACCTTTTTTAAAGCAAAAAAAAAAAAAAAAAACAAACAAAAAAAAAACAAGAAGAGAGAATAAAAGTTTATATCAGGCAGAAACAGGCTTCGGTGGCATGTCAGTTTGAAGAGATTAATACGCTGATGAGCCAATCCCGGATCCCTGAGGGACTCTGAATCATCTAGATGGTGCTGAATGCCGTGTGAAAGCATAAACCCAGCACCCAGATTTTAATCTGTTGAAACGATTGTAGTTCAAAGGCAGCCAGCACAATGGGAGCTCCAATTGAGGACTTGGAAGCTAAAATAAACTCTAGAAAAGTTAGTAAAACAACAACTGTCTCTTTTAATTTAGAACACTGTCCTAAACCAAATTCAGCTGTAGCAACTCTCACACAGGGAAAGCTTCGACATGCAGGGGCGTGCACGCTCTAAATCATGTAAGTGCAGAGCAGTGTGCAAAACTGATCCAGTAAGGGACACATTTCTGTCATTAAACAAAGATTTTCCTGCTGTAAAAACCCCAAAACACGTTTAACTCCCAAAGTGTCTTTAAATCAGCACCAAGGAGTCGGTGGCTTTAAACAGTCGAAAAGGCACAAAACAAAACAGGAAACTTATAAAACAAACAAATAATTCCTGGAGGGTATAATTATCTTTTTTATGTACATCTTTGCTTTTCAGAACACAAATTACATTTCACAAATTAAAATGATGTCTCAGAATAATCATCATCCTCATATTTCCTCTAACATAATTCTGTTTTCTACGTCAAGTTCAGTTTCTGAAAGCAGCACCAAATGTTAAAATCTTGACTGCAGTAACATGAGTTCTGCAGCCTAAACTGACGTTCATCATTTGAAATGAACCAAGTTTCAAAAGTCATTAAAAATGACAATGAAGCAGATTTTTATTATGATTTCTACTCAGGTATAATCTAACAGGATAAATCACAACTGAATGGAACTGATAGAAAAAAATTGTCCAACAAAAAATCCTCCCAAAAAGCAGGAATTCTGTGTTGCACCACTTTTCCAGGGAAAGGAGTGGCTTTCTGGAGTCTTGGAGTCATAAAACAACAACTCAGATCTCAGCTCCTATTTATTGACAATTGTGACACTTTCCCCATCAAGTATAAATCAAAATAAATGGTAAAACTAAGAAAAGAAGAAATGACATTGAAAGAAAATTGGTTGAAAATCCATGTTCACACCGAACAAGACAACAAATCAACAAAATAAACCATATTATGTTAGATTTTTGTCTCCAACAGGAAGGAACCTGCCCTTTATCTTTCTCATCTTGCCCTCTAAATGCCACAAAGGTGGAATTTTCCATGAACTGCTTCCTTGAGTTTGTTGTGGAATTCAGGCAAGATTCAGCAAGCCTGCAGAGCACGGCATCTCAGCATGTAATCATGTGTTGAGGTGCTTAGCTAGTGCACATCATGCCCACCTCTTTAATTCTCCCTCAGGGGGTTTGCTAAGCTATCACTCAAAGCAGAGTTCTGTTCTGCTGCGAGGCTGTTGATGGCTGAGAGCTCTGTTCTAAAACCTCAAAGTCTTTGTCTTAAGTTTTCCACATTTGGAGACACATGATCTAGATGAAGCGTTCAACCTGCTGCTCCCATGCAAAGCAAGAGAAAACTAAATTCAAAAGGTGTTGGAGACGTTTACGATTGCTCTATTAAACAGCTGTAGACTGTAATCTGTGCCTCAAAGTAACAGACCTTGTAAAGTTATACAACGCGGGGCATGTGGGAACACAGCAGCTGCACGTATCTCATCTTGCCTCCAACACCCTTCGGAGACGAAAGATCAGGATGTGTGAAGGAAACAGCGAGAACAAAATGCAGGGGTGGAGGAAGTACTTGATTTTTTTTTACTTGAGCAAAAGTACAGACAAAGGGGTAAAGT